CAGTGATACCAGGTCTGCGTAGGACGCACCGGCTCTGAGGTGAGCGATCTTCAGGCGTTGTAACGCTCGGTAGTGGAGCGGGCCTGGAAACACAGCCTGTATCGAGGAGGCCAGTAGGCTGATGAGTCGTGCAAGCTGGCGTAAGGTGAGTTGGGGCCGGATGAGGGCCCTGCGTAACTCCTTGCGGATAGAGCGGATCTTGGAGATCGGGAGGCTCAGCGTCGCTGCCCCCGAATCCACAAGGAATCCCAAGAATTCCATGCGAGTGGCGGGGGTGAGGCACGACTTTTCCCAGTTGATAATGAAACCTAGGCGGGAAAGGAGGTTTATGGCCAGCCGTAAATGAGTAAGGAGGGTGGAACGCTCCTGAGCCATGAGGAGAATATCGTCTAGGTAAACGATTAGTCGAACTCCTCGACTGCGTAACCAGGCCATCACAGGCTGTAGTAGCTTCGTGAAGCACCATGGCGCTGAGGAGTGGCCAAAGGGTAGGCAGGTAAAACGCCAAGTCTCTTGCCGCCAGTGAAAGCGTAGGAGGTCTCGGGATGCCACTGCTATCGGCACCGTCAGGTACACATCCTTGAGGTCTAGCTTTGCTAGCCAATCTCCGTGGAGGAGGAGATCTCTTAGTAGGTGAATACCTTCCTTCTTGAAATGGCGGTACCTGACTATGGCATTGAGGGGGCGCAAATTTATGACGGGTCTCAATTGACCGCCTTTCTTTTTCACCAGAAAGATGTTGCTTATGACACCTGCGGGGTTGTGAGGTGCTAGTTCTATAGCCCCTTTGAGAAGGAGGGAGGAGAGTTCCTCGTCGATCCGTCTGTGATCCTGGAGGGAAAAGCAGATCGGTCGAGGAGGGGGAATGTGTATCAGATGGTTTATGAGTTATATATGGAAACCCCGAATAGTGGTCAGCACCCAGGGGTCTGAAGTTATTTGTGACCATGCTGGGAAAATATGTTGGAGTCTGCCCCCTACACAAACCAGAGAAGAAGTGTGAGGTATGAGGTACCTCACCGTATGGTCGTCTCGAACTTGGGTTGTCCCGAAAGCCTCTGGATCGCCATGGACGTCGCGGGATGGGAAGAATGTGGGGCGGGAGGTAGAGTCCTGGTACTGCATACGGTGTTGGAAGGAGCCTCTTCCCGTGCCACGGGATTGGGGATAACTGCAGCCGGCCAGACGGCTCCTGAATCTGCCGGCCCTGGTAGAGACCCGCCCCTGGAACACTCGCCTCATGGAGGCTTGGGCCTTGTCTAGGGCTGTGAACGCTCCAACAAAACGCCCTAAAGCTTTTATAAAGGAGTCTCCGAAGAGCAATCCTTGGGCGTCCTTACCCGCTTCCGTAAGGGCAAGGTTGGCCAGTTTAGGCTCGATCTTAAATAATATGGCCTTACGCCTTTCTATAGATAGGGAGGTATTCACACTCCCAGCAATACATATTGCTCTCTGGACCCAACCACGTAGGTCTTCAGGGTCAACCATGCGGTTCTCCGCTCTGGCGTCTTCCGCCAAATCAAAAAGTTTGGCCAAGGGGCCGAATATATCCAGATGTTTGTCCTGCGGACTCCAGTCCTTTATGGGGGTTCCAGCCCATTTTAGTGAGGAACTGGGTCATCTTGGGGTCTAGTTCTGGAGTGTCGCAGACTTTATTAGGCACCACCGGCCTAGGACACTCTGCCCTCAATTTGTTGCGGGCCGCTTTACTCAAGGGTCGTCTGACCCAATTCTCTAAATATGTGGCAACGTGGTCAGCCAGGAGCCACTCTGCCGATCTCGGATGGTGTAAGTCATCTGGGTCGAAGAGTGGGACACCTGACGGATCCACAAGGGTGGAGCCCGCAGCCGCGGGGTTCCTAATCCCTATCTCGCCTCCGGGCATCTCTGCCTGAGCAGAGGAAAGGAGGTCAAAGCCAGCATCTGCGGCATCCGCATCAGAGTCACTGTCCGACTCGTTCATAGCCTCCTCATTTGACCTGATTTCTGAGTCGGAGTCGCTCTCTAGTTGTGCTCTGGCACATTTCCATAGCCGCGCCCGTTCTGCCTGGCGCGGAAAGGCTTTTTTGCGTGGATGGGGCACGCTTTCTGGGGCGACCGAAGGTACGCCAGTCATGGTGTTTCTGGAGGCGGAGGGGTGTTTGGTCTTATGGGTAGCCTTTTTAAATGTCTCTCCCTGAGTGTTCACAGTGGGACGCGGTAAAGGCGTCGAGGAGCCCGAGAACTGCTCGTCCAAAGGACGAGGCAAGAGGGCCTGTGAAATGGTGTGGGAGAGGGTGGAGGACATAGACCCCATGGCCGCCATAATGGCGTCTGCCACTGAGCGCTGCAGCGCTAGGAACTGTGCCCCATCAGGGTGGGTAGTTCCATCTGTCATAATGGGTGAATTGCCTGAGGTGACAGGGGCCTCACTTCTAGTGAGTGGGGTATCAGACTCCCCAGAGGGAGTGGACCCAGCGGATAGTCTGGGTTTAGGCATGCTACACTAGCACAGAGTATAAGCTAATAAGAGAAATAGTATGGGTTAGTCACCCAAACAGCAATAGACAAAAACTAAAAACGCTCTCATCAGGGTCCAGACCAGAGACACACTAAGATGCAGGGTAGGAGGGAAGACAGGAAGTCTGAAAATGGCCGCCGATAATCTTGTGGGATTCGTGGCATCCGCGGCAAAATACTGAACGTGCAGTAGAAAAAATTTGAATTCGGGAACCAGATAGGTAAGTATAGGGGAATAATAGAGTAGGCAAATGGCCATTCGCGTGAAAAAATTAGTGCGGCAAGACGCGCGAACGCGCTGTGTGCCGAATGAGGAGAAATATGTATGTGCGGCGAATCAGCCGAATAGACTTAATTCGCGCGCATACACGCCCGGGTAGAGGGAAAGACACGTGCGCAAAATGGCGCAGAGTATGAGAAAGACGGAAAGGAGATAGACTACAGTGGTGTAGTGACAGGGAAGGTCTGGACCCTGGGCATGAGCAAACAAACAGGCACATGAAGTAATTCAAGTACAATAAACGAAAACATAATAGAATGAATGTAAATAGTATAAAATAACTAAAATAAATAAACTAAATACAAATAAGTAATTAACTAAATATAAACACATAAAAGTAAAACAAATATGACAATGATGTAGAATGCTACCAGAACTGGTAAGCAATTGAAGGATAAAATCAATGAGAGAAAAACCAGTACAATAGAGAAATATGAAGAGAAAAAAGTGACATGTACTTATCTTTCTGTCGGAGCAGCAAAGAAAGAGGTAAATGGAAGGGAAGTGCTGCCTATTATACTGGGACCTGAGCGGGGAGGGGCTTATGTTACTACATGTTCTTTATTTTTTCATTCTGTATGTATCCTTTGCTGCTATTGGTGGACAGTAAAGAAAGGGATATGCAATATAAGCCTCCGTGTCGTTATAAAATTACTCAACCTCCATTGAAAATCAGGTTTATTGTCAAAATTTACAGACTTTCAACTATTTGCAATGAACAAATCAAACAAATGCTCCAAGTGGTTTTCCCGAAAATGCAACTTATAATGACTTCTCCAGTCTCATAATTATTCAAGGCAAGCATCTTTAGTATTTGGAAGAGCACCCTTTTGCTGTTATGACCTGTTGCAAATGAGATGCATAGCCAGACAACAACTTCTGGCGGCGTTCCTGAGGAATCTTAGCCCATTTTCATGAGCAATGGCCAGTTAAGTAATATTCTTGGTTTAGCGGAGTTTTTAAATTTTGACAATAAACCTGATTTTCAATGGAGTTTGAAGAATTTTGATTACAATTGTATTAGGAATGGGAGTTGACTAAGAGAGAGAGATTGGATAAGGTGAAAGGATATGGGATCAAGATGGTAAGCAGTGGTTACTGAAAAGCCTTATATCTTAATACCGTGGTTTCATAGAAATATTTGCTAAAGTGTGTTAGCGGAGTTTTTTTTAAATCTAATTAGTTGGGGGACATAAGACACTCCATTTATAACTTGTTTTGGTGTTGACAGCAGGGGGCTCCCCCTGTCCTGAGTTGCAGCGCTGGGCGAGCTGCTCTAGAGCCGCCACCCTCCCCCCCCCCTTAGTGCAGGGCCAATCTTACAGTCACCTTAAAAATGGAGGCGCCCGGAGGAATCTTTTACAGGGTGCCCCCGAAGCTGTCCGTTTTTCGGTATGGCAGAGCAGGCACCTGCTTACACTGATGGCAGGTGCCTGCTCTGCCAATGAATGCCGGCAGAAAGGAGGCAGGCTGCGAGGGAGGCTCTTCTTGCAGCTTCCCATATGCGCGCCCTCTGTGATGCCGGGAGCCGTAATATGACGTCATTCCAGCCCCGGCATACTACACAGCATCCTGGAGGAGTGAGGAGCTGCCCCACACTGGAGGTAAGGAGGCTGGATGTCTGAGTCTGTGAGTGGTTGACTGTCAGTGAATGTATGTATGCCAGTGTCTGCCTGTGTGTGTGTCTATCAGTGAGTGTTTGACTGTCAGTGTGTGTCTGCCTGTGTGTGCCAGTGAGTGAGTGACTGTCAGTGAGTTTCTGTGTGAGAGAGGGGGTGGCAAAATGGATCTTTGCCTAGGGCAGCAGAAATCCTTGCACCGGCCCTGGTTCACTGCTTTTGTAATTGAATAGGAGTGTGTAGATTAGATTTTTTATCTTTATTATCTGTCTAGAATAGACTAATCGTGACATTTTTTTAACCCTCTTACCCACTGAAGCAGGTCACGTGCCCACCTGAAAATAGCTGTGTTCATGACAAACTGGTAAAAAAAAATAAAAAATAACTTCTCTCTAAATGCAAACTTTAGACTATAGTCTGCAATACTTAACTAAGCTTTCAGTCTTCAGATGAATATGTAACTGCCATAGCCCTAGGAAGTTGTAGGGGCAGGAGGCACCAGGGCACTCCTGGCACAATAGCCATTGCAGTGCACTATGGTGGTTATTGTGCTTTGAGTGTTTCTTAAATAAAAGTAACAACTAGTCATAAATACACGTGCATTCATTAGAACATGGGGAAAGTTTATTAACAATTTATAATTGGCAACTTAAGACATAATGCTCACCATACTTCATGGTACCTCTACACTTGATACATGTAGGTATTTGTCATGTTAAGTTAAAAGTATAAATTATAAAACCATAACTTAGATTAGTTTACCTACAAAGAACCAACATACTGTCACGGTACCTGTTAAAGTGAATCTGTAATGACAGGCTCAATTCAACATATAACAGCTCCTAAAGCATTTAATAATTTACCATAAATACAAATTAAATTGCTTTAAGTTGTTATAGTCTCTTACCATCTGCTGAGTGTGCCAGCAATGTAACATACGCCATCTACTTTTATTCCTCTATTCTCCAAGCAGGGCAATCCTCTGTAATGATGACAACACTTTGATAATATCCGATTGTAATTTACGATTACTTCCTTTCCACTGGTGGGAAAGTAGCTTATACGTTATATGTTGGATCCAATACTTTCATGAGCCATACAGCAAAACAAATTCTTTAAAACTCAAAACACTGACAATTTTGTATTAAACTATTTTGGTACGGAAACCCATTTTTGTAAACATAATTTTAACTTGTTAAGGACCATGACAGTTTAGTTTATCATAACCAATTGGAATTTACATACCCTGGGATGTCCTTTGCTGACTTCTATAGATGATTGGTTGGTAGTAAATAAATAGGACATTCCATCTTGAAATACGATGGGAACCAAATAGATAGTGATAACTGAATGATTGATCATTGGACCTTTATGTTGATTATTATAAAAAAAATTAAAAAAACAAAAACAAAAAACACACACAAACTCAAGGGTACTTCTTAAAGAAAAAGAGGAGGAATGACTCCACAATATTTATTCAAGAACTAACTTTTGGAAGAAGAATAAAAAAAAAATGAGGTAGTGTAAAGAGTGCCCTATTCAATCAAACTTGTATCAGTTAAGAAACCAGGTTTTCACAAAATTCTCTCGCTAGTACACAAATAAATAGGCATGAGTGTACAAGTAAACTAGACCCACAGTAGACTGTTCCAACCACAATTTAGGTCAGAGAAAAGATGATATTCCGTTTAATGTCATGGTATAGCTACAGAGGACATCCATTTAAAAAAATGATGGGATGCGACTCACTGGCACTATTCCTATAGCACTTGCCTTTTAGAAATTTTATCATTGTTTTTGCATGGGTTTTATTGCACTCTTACATACTAGATATTTTGTGTACTTCTGATATAACTAATCATGTTTATTGTTTGAATGTACAACGAAAAAGAGGATTTTGGTTCCAATAAATTCTTATATTTGTAAACATAATGACTCAATAAATAAGGAAAGATTGTATTGTTTAATGTGGATATCAATGCACCAATTTAATAAAAAAAAAAAAAAAAAAGAACATCCAAACTACCAGAGCTTCACTTTAGCTTGAAGTGGTTTAGGGGTATTACGTTATAAAAGTGCTGATTTCAAAATAATCTGCACTTTTATAAAGATCATTAGGTTGCACTCACCCAGCCTGGAGGGTTTTCTCCTAACAGGCTTGAGCACACCCTCAAAATGGATGTGAGGATTCTCAGAAAAGCATTATATTGAATGTTTCTTTACTAGAGGCACTGCTGAGCATGAGCCCTAAGTCCCAATGCATTGGCTGGGCGAATAGCTCACAAGTGATGATCTCATGGTTGGACACCAGAGTTGTGACAAGGAGATCCTCCTGCCACTTGATTACAGGTAAATAAAAGCTTTATTTCACATATGAGTGGTGAGCAGTACTCTAAATGCACTCGTTATAGCACTGCAACATTACAAATAAGTGCAAACAGACACTGGAGTTTTCCATTAAGCACAATGCAAATCAAACTCCTTGCAGTTGCATTCCTTGCATGCACATGTCAGTTCTGTAAACGGTCATTTATACAGGAAATCTTTAATTATGACTGGCCCTTAAAGTAACACACCAGGACAGCTTGCTGAAGTACTTTGTGTGAAGAGTGTGTCATATTTTAAATTTTATGGGGAAAAAATGCAGATTTCAATAAAATTGACACTTTTATAAGCTAACATTATTACACCCTACTGGCTGTCAGACAATCAGTCCCGTTATTTACTCAATGGACCTAAACTCAATTAGCAGGTAACTGCCTTGCAAATACTTAATTAGAGCTAGACTGGAATATCTGTGATTAGACAGTCACAGAAAGTATGGGCAGCGTTCAAAAGGGGTGTTTGCAAAGGCTTTAGACAAGATAGCTGCAGCTTTTGCAAGATCCTGCTCGATACACCCGCAATGAAAGAATGCATGAGGTTTTCATAGTAGATATATGTTCTAATCAGTGATTTTTATTTATTTTGTATTTGGGTAATGGAGTGTCCCTTTACTTTTGCAGGCAACTCTGTTATGTAATGCTAAGTTAGTCTATGATTTTGCAAATTTCAGTAATGTTTTACATAAAAGTATAATATATGCAATGACCAAGGTTAAAACTGAGAATACTTAAAACGGGTAAAAACATCAAATAGTGTATATCCTCTGCAACAAATTTAAAGAACAACTGCTACTAAAAACATAACTTTACAGAGCATTAATCCTTGTCCGGAGTATTGAAACATACTAAATATTTTTGGGGAAAACTGCTCCAAACTTTTCTTAGACCCTTCATTCTGACAGCAGACCATTATGTGATTGGTCAATTACTGTATACCCACCATAAGCAGTGTCCTCCAGCCCTACAACAGTGTAACTCTGCCTCCTTCCACAAGCATTTCCTCTATTGTCTGCCCTCTGGGTATGCTCACCTTCCTTTAACATCTCTCATATTCTGTCACTCAAAATATGTTTTCACTGTATATTTTACATGTGGAATCTAACAGAAATAGCAGCAAGATGGAGCGAATTATGGATCTGAGAGAGAGAGTTTGAACCGTGTTTCACAAAATTGTCAATATACTTGCTATAGATGTTTTCATAGCATGTTTCAAAATTTAGGACAAGAATTATTTTATGTTGTCCTTTAAAAAAATACATAACCAACCAGGGCATGTTGTTATTTAACAGAGATAGAAGCATGTATTTTTTGACTGCAATAACAGGCTTCCTTCATTGGCTTTTAAAATGTCACTCCAAGCTGGAGTTGACCCACATTTGTGATTTTTTTTTTTTTTTTAATAATGTATTAAAATTAGAATAAAATGATTAAAAAGAATGCTTGCCTGCAAAGATTATTTGCAGAGTTACTTCCCTTATTCTGTTCACTGAGTGGCAGCAAAGAAGTAGCTGAACAATTTAAAGCCGTGCATACGGATATAGTATTGAATTGGCACGCTTTCGACATGCAAAACGTAATGCACATGCACACTACAGTTCAATGCTGTCCTATATAAAACACAGAGGCAAGCACAGTAGAGCTGCAGAACTTGCATTGACTTCAGTGTACTTTTGGGGTGTTACTGTGCATGAAAATCCCTAGATGTCTGTAAATGTATCAGTATCTTGTGGGAAATGGGAAGTAGAAGTGAAAACTGAACAACTTCTATCCCACATATTAAACAAGCCTAGATGAAATACCTCAAGGTTTAATAGGCACAGAAGTTGTCAAAGTGCTTGGAGTGTCCCTTTAAGGGAGACAGACACGAGCATGAAAGGCCACTCACACACCCTTTTAAATTGTTTACATTGTTGTCACTTAAACGCACAATTTAAGGCTAAAATAAATCTTTACAAAAAAATTATAATAAATAAACAAAAATAATATTAAATAATACAAAAAGCAATTGTCTAATAATAAACAGGGAGAAAGAAACGCAAGAGGAATGGTGAACTGTTAAGCTCGAGTCTAATTCAGCAGCACCCAGAAGTCCTTCCACCTTCTGCTTGGCTTCGTTGTGCTCCCCCTCCCAAAGGCTCACTTATTGGCTGTTGTCCAACCTTGATGCCATTAGCCTTGAATGAAAGAAGAAAGGACGTGAGAGGCAGGAAAGTGATCACCTAGTGAAATGTAACTGTACTGCCATCATGTGGCAAAGTTTACCTCATTAGTCACATCAAACAGTCCCTGTTGGATCTTTTTGTAGATTTCTTTGGCGGTTCCAATGAAGGCCTTGGAGAGAATTACAGCAGTAAATAGCACACATAAAAGGTAACAGAAAAAAAATAAAAATATATCAAACTCATACCAAACCAACAAATAAATAAAATAAGAGACAGTGTTTGGGACTAGCAAACAGGAGGCTTTTTCACTGAAATAACAGCACTTCTCCTCCCTTACCTCCTCCACGTTGGCTGCAGTTTTGGCAGATGTTTCCATAAATATGAGACCATGTTCTTGAGCAAAGGCTTCTCCTTCCTCCCTTGAAACATCTCTGCGGCTCTCAAGGTCACTGGAACAGAGGGTCAAGGAGAAAGTATAAAGAAAGCCCAATGTATATAGTAAGCTGACTGACAGAAATGTGTTTCTGACATACTGAAAGTGCTGACCTTTTGTTTCCAATCAATATGATCACCATATTTGAACTGGAGTGCTGCCGAGCATCTTCCAGCCAGGAAGTGAGGTGACTAAATGTTTCCCGTCTGGAAATACAAGACAAAGACACCAGGCAGGTAAGAGAGTTGTTATAGAAGATTTTATTTGGCAAAAAGTGAAAGGGGTTGCTTCATAGACTCTTTGTATCTAACCAAGAAATGTATTTAAAAAATAATAATAATAATAAATATATAAAAAATAATAAGCAAGTCCCTCACCGGGCACACTGATATTTTTGGTAGCGCTTAGTACGAGACATAGCAGAGATATACAAACAAAGAAGAAAATGGACAGAGAAAAGACCTGCTTGCCGAAAGCAAACCCCTAATGCATACCCTAAGACAAAAAATAAATAAAAATAAAATCATGGACAGGCTAAAGTAAGCAGGATACTCTACACAGATATCAAATCACTTCCTTGTGAATGGGAATCTACACTGGAGTAGAGCAGCCTGCAACAGCTATCACAGCTCCTGCCCCTGACCTGTACCTGGCCACTAATGGGAAGCCACCCACACTGCTAGATATACACAGAGCTGCAAATGAATCCTCCCCTCATACAAATATTACAAACAGACTACACACAATCCCCACAATAACTCTGACAATCCACATACATGCACACAACCCCACAAGCAGCCCCAAATGTATACACACCACCATACCCACAATGTAAAATAGCCACACAATTTCACAAGTAACCCCCAGTCATAGGTATCATAAACAATACCAAAAACTACTCATGAACATATACAATAAAACAACCCACATACTAGCAAATACAACGCTACAAAGCAACTGCAGCACCCATAAATAACACAAGCAGAACACGGCAACATACACATTTCAATTTAAAAAAATACAAATAAAAAGAAATAGGACTGGCATACCAAGGGACTTCAAGATCTTGTTTTGGCACAGTAATACTAAAGGTGTCTACTCCTGTACTAAATATGGTCACAATTGTGCTGCTGTAATTTTGCTGCACAAAAGGTAGCCCTGATAGCCTAGTAAATTAAAATATACACAAAATTGGCCCAATCAAAATTCTGTCTAAAAGCTAGAAATATTGACAGAAGCAGATGTATAAATATGAATAAACAATATTTCATAAGATCAAATCATACAAGCAAATTCCTTCATTTTTATAAGACAAACTACTGTCTAATCCCAAAAGTTACTGTAACACCCTTCCTGGTGTATTCAATAATTGCTTGTTACAAAATAAAATAAAAATCTTTTTCCTTTTTTTAATTTTGTTCCAAGCAATTGCAATTAGGTACAGTACCAAGGCCACCAGTCCACCCGGCTTATCAGAGTTTACAGACTGCAGGCCACAGTACTACTGTGCAGGCCACAGTACTACAAACAAAGGTAGGGAACATGTCACCAACACCACGTACATAAGCTAACAAGTGAAGATAAGGTTAGTCCTTCTGGAGTGGCACAATCGGTAGGGACTCACACAGAACAATAAATATGTCCCAGAGCTGGGCATCCTCATAACGAAAGCTGGCAGACAGCACCAATAAGCGGCCGAGTGTAAATTCTGGCAAAGCCATCATGGCGGCAGTTTTAGAAGCAGCAATGCAGTAGCCCAGAGAACATAAACTGCTCAAAGGATAGTGTAGAAAGGAGATCAATGTTGAGAGTCCAAATAAGTGGTGCAGGCCATGCTTTGTTGTTTAGGTCGTGTGGGCCTACTAAAGTTCTATATCTAATTAACTAAGCATCTCACATATGTCCAATTCACAGGGACGGTTTCTATTGTAGCAAGTATAAACTACTATTTAGAGCAGTGGAAGCAGGAGCATCTGATCAGCGAGGTGGCCCGTCCCCAGCCCCAAAATAGAAATTTGAATGCTCTGGCTCACCAACCTGAGATAGAATATAAATTAACTTTTGCAAAATGTGACTCCATTGCATAATGCATGGATTGTGTACCGTGATTTACATCTTCTCCAGCTACACTTTGTCCCCCAGAAAGCAGCGCAAACTCTTATGTAGATAATCCATACTTTTTTTTTTCAGTGAAACAAAAATAGCTCAAAAAATTTCTAGTATTTCAGTATGTAGCAAGTTAAAATTCTTTGGAGAACCTGGAGAATAAAATCGCAAAAATAAACCCAAACAAAAGCACAATATCACCCAAATGTGAACAAAACAAAGAGATCCTACCTAAAGTGGGCAGGAAAACTGAGACTTAATAATTAGGTTCCATTTGGGTTTTTTAAAATAGTTTTTTTGGCTAGACAGAAAGACATTAAATACTGCTTGGATGTCATAGGAAAATACCAATCATAAAAATAAATTAATTAAATCTCTATTATTTTATATAGACTATGAAGTCTATTCTTCCACACTTGGCCCCGTGTTTTTACATGACAGATATATATTCCAAATATGTGATACAAGTCTATATAACAAAGTTCATCATGCAAAAAATATACAGACCTGACCTGTGCGATGGACTAGACTAATTCAAGATTAACATATAAGGCATGCCAGGAGTCTATTTAGAGAAACAAAATAAGTTTTTCAATTAGAATTATGGAAACATGGATTTACAAGTAGGTGACTAAACAAACAGAATTTGTTTGACAAATAAGAGTTTTTTTCTAAAATGATAACGTAGGAGGTCGTACACTAAACAATACTTTAAGGCAGGCCCAATAATTATGCAAAGGATTTATCAATATTCCCCTTCCATGTTTCCACTCCTTTCTCAGCTCTTCTGGGGGACCATGCAATGGGAATCAAAGCATGCAGAGCAATTACATTACAGTGTCTCAGTAACATGCATCCTAAAGCTACTCTCACCTGGTAATGTCATACACTAGCAGAGCTCCTGCAGCCCCTCGGTAATATGATCGTGTTATGGAACGGAATGATTCTTGCCCAGCCTGTGCAGGACAAGGGACAAACAAAGTGATATAAAATAAATGAATAATGGATGCATCCCAGCATCATATCTTTGTATTCAAGTACACCCAATATCTAGCTTTTATTCAACAAATGTCTCTGGCAACATGTCCTTTCAAGTACCATGAAAGACTATCTATTTGAAACCGTAACTTAAATTCATGCCTATGGCTTTGAATTACATGTATAACATGTTTGAAAGAAAAGCCAAATAGATCTAGGTTACAACATTGTCTAGGAGGCAGCCCAGAAAGGAACCTGGATAAGGTCAATACGCAACCAGAAAAGACATTACAAGAGGAGCATGTACCAAGCAAATGAGCACGTAAATACTGCACATTGGAAGCTGGTATGTTCAGTAAATCAGTGATGACAGTAAAATAATGAGTGTAAAGAGTATTCAAACAGAGTAATGATTAAATTAACAATTTACAAATAATTCCTATATGAGGCGTCATTACAATTAACCTAGGGTTTTCGTTAGGTAACTTAAATAAGGGAGAAGATTTGCAATAAAAAAAATTAAAAATTAATGGTTCATGTCATTACACATTCCCTAGCTGACAACTGAACATGCAATTTGTGAGAAGTGTGTATGTAGCAGGACAATGGAATTTGCAGATCAGTGACTTAGTAGCATTATGTGATGCATATATGTACAAAGGTGAATGTAATTTGTAGGCAACATGTATATGTTCATCAATTAACATTGTTGTTGATTGATTTCCTAAAGGATTCATTGCAATGCAGGTGTTTCTATAGAGAGTCCTACACAGATCTATTTCAACACATTACACTGGTATTCTCCAGTGTTACTCTTACTTGTAAAGCAATTCATGGATCATATCTATATGGTCTATATGACACGCATGAAAATTGCAATGTACAGACTATCATATCCAAGGTGTGACTAGATCAGAGCTGGAGGCTTTTTCCAAATTTGCCTTTAAGGTTTTCCATTCCCCGTTTGGTGAATATACCCTTTGATGGGATTTGTCATGTTTTTTTCTATTTTTGTGAAAAGACTCAGGGCACCAGCAGGTTATAAAGCTCCAAACCTATAGAGTCTCTCACCGTGTCCCATATCTGTAACTTTATAGGCTTCCCGTCAATATTAATCATCCGGGCTCCAAACTCAACCCCTGTGGAGATAAGAATAATGTTACTAAAGAGAGTAATGGAAAAAACAAAAAACACATTTCACACAGTAAAGGGGTAAATTATTACACACCATAAACATTAAATTATTAAACGAACACTACAAACAGCTAAAACACTTTAACTTGCTGAAGTGCTTTATGTGTAAAGAGTGTCCACTTATTTTATAAAAGTGCAGATTTCAATCAGAAAACAGGTCCTGTTACTTCCTGGCTGCGTTAGCTCAGTGGAGCTAAACTCAAATGGCAGCCATTGCCCAGAACACCTGCCCTACAAACACTATTCATTCAGCTGCACTGGGAAGGCAGCTGCTGTGATTGTGACAGCCACATAAAGTCTGGGCTGCGTTAGAAGGGGAGGGCCTGCAAAGGTTCTATAGAAGAGAGACATGCATAATTTAATCACTAAATAGTAATTATTGTTTTATTTGGGCAGTGGAGTGTCCTTTTAAACCTAGTAAGATTTAAAGGGACACTCCAGAATAAAAATCAGTGTGTGAGTAGGCAATACATTTTTTGCATAAACAGATTAATATAAAATAGTATATCTTGAGAAAGTCTGCAAGAGGTGAAAACATATCTATAAAAGCCAGATTTGAGGCAGCTGTCTCATCACAATGAGGAGTCTTACCAATAGTTAAGTCATGAACAGGTTGGAACCTCTTATCTGTAAACTGTAGGAGGAGACAGGACTTTCCCACACCTAGGATAAAGGTATCAGAGACAAACCGTGATTAAAACTGAAAATAATGCAAAATGTATAGCAAAATAAAACCAACACACATCTTAATTGTGTTAATTGTGTTCTCAGGCATATCCTTGAAAGAAGACAGTACATATTACTTCTCATTTCTTAAATGTTGTGTAAGCATAACCCATCTGCCAACCTTAAAGTGGGTTAGGAAAACCAGACGGTTCATGTGCCTTGAGGACTGGTTACAGTTCAATGAAGTCTCTGTCACGGTGTTCTTGCAAACCGTTGGTTATAACTGCTGCTATTAATGTGTCTCTTTAGGAACTTTGTTAACCACAGTCATGGCTTCAGTTAGCCTGTTTTGTAATTAAAATAAACAATTTTGTGTTAAGGATACATCTTTGTATTCCTAACACTAATGTGTTTCTCAGCCCCTTCTCTGCATTTAAAGGGTTAAGTAACCTTTTATTCACTTTCCCAATTCTAGCGTCAAGGTCCCTCGATAATGGGTTACGCTCTGCCTCCTCCGACATCATTTAAGTGGGGACCTAATGCACATGTGTGGCAAGTGCCATGCACGCATTAGACCTTACCCATAGGAAAGTATTGCCACAATGATTTCCTATTGGGTTTTCTCTGACACTGGAGGTCCTCATGCAGAGCGTAAAACTCCACGAAGCGCCTCTAGTGACTGTCTGGTGTGAAATTCCAACCCAGTCAAAAGATTTGATAAGATAATTAGGGACTGCCTTCTTTCATCTAAGAAACATAGCCATGATACTTAATCCCACAGGATGATATGCCAACATTAATTCTTGCATTTGTGTCCTCTCATCTAGATTACTGAAATGTAGTTGTCACTGGGGTCATAACCCAACTTACAGGAATGGCAAATCCCACCAACAAAGGTACTAGATAGACGTAAAACCGGGACTTAGAGTGGACGGACTTAACGTTAATACAGATAAGACAGAGTCAGGAATAGCCAAGGTCAGGGATATAGAAGTACAGATAAACGGAATAACAAGCCGGGTCAAGATACCAGAAACACACAAAGTCAAATACAAGCCAAGGTCGATATAAGAAGAGAAAGACTTACTATTAGCACTATCATGACAGAAACCATGATAGGGCAACGAGTAAGGGCCAGAACATGCCTTAAATCGGTTCACATGAGTTCCCATTGGTCCACGTCATCTCTGCGGCCCCAAACAGCATGGGATCGTCTAGATGATGCAGTCCCTTAAAAGGGCGTGACGTTGTGGCATTTTTTTTATTATTTTTTTTTACAGGGGCTGTAGTTTGCCCGTGAACCAGCAGAGAGCTGTTTGCGGGACTGAAGGAGAGTATATCCTATTCAGGTGCAGCCAAACGAGAGGAGCGGGTAAGTTTGTGACAGTACTCTACTTTGGCCTCCCAGAAAAAGAATTCCATCGCCTACAGACAGTTCAAAATGCAGTAGCCAGACTACTGACAAACCACACTCGATCATGTCACATAGCACCTCTTCTCCACTGTCTGCATTGTCTTCCAGTGGTGAATAGATTTTAAAATTAGCCTGCTGCTCTTCAATGTCTTAAGCAATCAAGGTCCATAACACCTGAATGAACTCCTGACACTATATATTCCATCCTGCACACTTCGGTCAACCAACAAATCCCTCTTGTCGGTGCCCAGAATAAAGGCAAACTTAGATTCCCAGGCATTCAGCCACGCTGACATATTCTGGTACTCTTGCTCAACCAGAGAGGCACTATCCTTACAGACTTTAAAAAAAAAAAAAAAAAAAGCTACAGACCCATCTCTTTAAACAGACATTCAGTCAGCTCACCAAACCATCAAAAACTTAACTTTCATGTCTGTTTTATATATTTGTAAAGTGCATTGAGTCTCACAGGAAGAAAAGCTCAATAAAATAAACAAATAAATTATTATACTTTATCTTATGTATTTTTGTAGGTAGATTCCCATATGTTGTACAACTCCTACAATGCTTTTTCAGTTGGGGATCTACCACGTACCCATCCTTGCAGTGCTGTATTTGTGAGCAGTGTTTCTATATATTCATGCTTTGTGAGTTTGAATGTATTTTTGTGTAGTGTTGGCATAATGCATTTAATATGGTTGTATATACTGTTACTATTTCAAACTAGTGGTGGACCTGTGTTTAGAGTTTGTGTTTAAATGTGTCTGTATGTAGAGTTGGCTTTTGATTGTCGAGATGTATGCACATATACTCAGGGCCGGCCGTAGTGTTGTGAGAGCTGTGTGGTCACACAGGGTGCCATGGCAGCAGGTGGCGCCATGTGGCCGACACAGCTCACACACTCCCTGGGTGAGAGGTATCAGGGAGTGCACAGAGCTCTCCAATAAGGTAGGTCGCGGAATATAGCGTGACCGCGCTGCACCTGAGGGGAGCATTTCATTCTTATTAGCCAGGACTAGCTGATAAGGCAGGGTCGGAGATAAATTCCCAGAGAGGGAGAGCTAAATCCCCGGAGGGGTGGATCTACTCGAGCGGCAGGGGCGGAGCTACACACAGCCAGAACCCACTGTCTGGGAATTTGTGGACACAGTGGGGGAAGCAGGTAGGTATCCCCGCTCCCCAGACACCTATACCCCAGGTACTGCAGTGCCTCTGCTCCACCAGCCAGCTCATAATGGCAGCAGATACCTGTGTGTGTGTGTGAGAGAGACGGTATGTAACTGTGTGTGAGTGTGTGTGTGTGTGTGTGTAAGAGAGCACAACTGTCTATGTGAGAGAGAGACTGTCTGTAACTGTGTGAAAGAGAGAGACTAACTGTGTGTGTGTGTGTGTGACTGTCTGTAACTTTGTCTGCTTGTACCTGTGTGTGTGTGTGTGTGTGTGTGTGTGTGTGTGTGATTGCCTTTAACTGTGTGTTTAATTATTTACCTGTAACTGTGTGTGACTATGTGCATGTGGCTGTATTTGACAGTGTAAGTGTATAATTGTGTGCATCTTACCATGATACTGTGTGCATGTGAATCTGCACACAGATTCACACATGGGCCTACATGCATATTTTTATTTGTTAAATACCCATCACACAGCCAATAATCCCAGCACAAATTTCACAAAGCCAGCACATATCACACACAGACGCTCACACACATTTAATAAATCCACTATATAAACACTATACCCCTTTACATACATTATACATAAATGAGGGGTATGACTGGGGAGCGGCGCTGTGATGATTTATTTTTCACAGGGCACCTTAAGACCTGCCCTGCATATACTGCTCTGCACATACACACTGCCACATAAACACATAGAAAACACAAAAATCATAATTTACATATTTTTCGCCACTCCCCTGCTACCTTTGGTAGCTTTCCTGAGGTCCATCTGGCTGAGTCTGGTCCAGGCCCTCCTTCCTCTCTATTGTCCTCCTTTCTCCCTCACAGCTTCTAAAGCACTTTAGCTTTCTCAAAAGATTTAAAAGGGACACTCTAGTCATCTGAACAACTTCAGTTTAAAGGGGTTGTTCAGGTGAGTAAAATAGCTCCCTGCAGGCCTTTTCATGTAAACACTGTATTTTCATAAAAAATTACAGTGTTTACATTAGAACCTAGGAACACCTCCAGTGACAGTCACTCAGACGGCCACCAGAGGGACTTCCGAGTCAAGTCCTTCCTGACGCGCGAAACTCACGTTTGACGTCTTCACGCTTAGCTGTCAGTCAGCTGAGCTCGCGAACGCGCATACTGGTAGAGTGCTCAGTTAATTCATAGAGGGGTATTTAATGGTGAAGTCACGCATGCGCACCAGAGAGCAATGATGCATCTCATAGAGAAGCGTCTGTCCGAGCAATGCTATTTTGTCACTTTGATGGAAAAGGGGGCGTGGCCTGCCGAGGAGCTTGGCGCTGGAACGGAGGTAAGTTTTTATCATAAAAAGCACTGTGATTTATTTTTTTATTAGGGGGAAACTAATATAAAAGCAAGAAAGAAGGCTTTTTTCTTTTGTATGTTGACTATAGTGCTCCTTTAAGTGTGAAGAGTTTGTCCTCTTTATTTCATTTATAAAAAGTGCATATTTCAATTGAAATTGACAGATTTATAAATTACTTCCTGGTTGGTTTTGTTAGCTCCGTGGAAATGCATAATTAAATGCATTCAAATTTTCATTTGGGTATATCTACTAAACAGTGCTTTTTATTTTGTTTTTGGGCAGTGGAGAGTCCCTTTAAATCACAATTTAAAGAGCTAAGTGCAGCACTCACTTTGAGCGCTACCTGCAGCTCAACCAGTCAGCATGAGGCCGCTAATTCAGTCATGGGTCCGTAATGGCAAGTCCCGACAAATCCCAGGCACCAGGTCACCATGGCGACTAAGAATTTTGCCCTGGTGTCTGGGATTGGTCAGTCCATTCCCTCATTCTCTTGACTCAATCCCATGTAGCTCTCTGTGTGCCTGTGTACCGGGAGGACGTGAGCGTAATTACTTTCTTCCAGGGCTGAGGCCGTGGGTCTGTTTGCCGCGTTCCGTAGACCCGGCCGCCCACCCACATTTCACAGACCCAACTGCCCGCACTATCATTCCTCTGTGTGGCCACAGTGCCAGGAGGAAGTAATTGGAGTTCCCATCGAGACAGGTGAAGGAGAGGAGTCTTGACCAGCAGCAGCCAACTCCTATTAGCCGCAGCCAGCCCCACTAGTTTGTCTCCTGCTGTGCCCAGTCCCACTGGACCTCAGGGAAACCACTCTCCTGCGCCAATCAGATAGGAAACAGGACAGTGGCAAAAAATGTATTCGCTTTTCTTAAATTTCTGTGTGGATACCTGTTATGCATGTATGTCTCTGCCTGTGTGTATTTGTCTATGTGTATATCAAATAATTAATATCTTTTGAGTGTGTGAGAGGATGTGTGTATGTCAGTGAATGTGTGTGTGTTTGTCAGTCAGTCAGTCCAGGTGTCTGCTAGTGAATGTGTATGTTTAGGTCACCAGCTCCCCTCCGGTCTTATTTCCAACGCCGTGCCAGTCTCGCCGCAACAGGCCTGCCTTCATAACGGAGATTATCAATTATCAATCAACCTCTTTATACTGAAGCATTAAAGCAATGCATCTCTATGGGGAACGTTCAGTGCCACCTCCACGCTGAATGCAGGTGCTGCACATTGTGCAGCACTGATATAGGTGACACTTTAGTGGCTGTCTGAGTGACTGCCACTAGACAGCAAGGTAAACACTGCCTTTTTTCTGAAAAAGCAGAGCTTACGTTGAAAAACCCACAGGTTTGTTATAGACACCAGAGTCACTAAATTAAGCTTTAATGTTTCTGGTGACTATTGTGCTCCTTTAAGAATTGTATTTTTAAAGCTCAAAAAAACTGGTTCCTAATTTTTTTAGCTGGCTCCTCGATTGAAAGCAAATTTGTCAAGCACTTGTCACCAGCCCCCCCCCCCCCTCTCTGAAAAGTCAGTGTTTACATTAAAAAGCATGCAGGGACAGGCTGACACCAGAACCACTACATTAAGCTGTAATGGTTGTGGTGACTATAGTGTCTCTTTAAGAAATTCATTTTATCACTGAAAATAAAGCTTTGTAAGTTTAAAAAACCTGGCTCCTAGATTCAAAGCAATTTTGTCAAGTCATTTTGTCATGTCCTGTTCTAAAACATCATCTACACAGAATACTTTTGAAAAAATAAGGTTATAAGTGCCATCCCACTGTTAAGAGGAATACTGTTTTGAAAGATTACATAGGTCTCCACAGTCTGGTCCCTAACCTAAAAAAAAAGATATAGCCAAGATGCACATTTCTACTTTCGCATTAGTGATATCAATTTCATCCATATTTGTACAGATGTGTCAGATGACATAGTCAGCCAATTAATTCTGTTCAGAGAGAATTAAAGGGACACTATAGGAACTGATACCATGGTATCTCATTGTAAAACACTGCAGGGTTAAGACTGCCTGTAGTGACTATCTTCCAGACTGCCACTAGAAGTGCCTCCTGCATCCATGAAACGATGTTAGACGTCCTCACGCTTTGCATGAGGACATCAAGCGTCTTCAATACCTAATCACTGATTCAATGCTTTCCTATGGTAAAGGTCTAATGCATGCATGTCCTTTATGTTCTCCATCGCAGTGACGTCACGGGAGGAGAAACCCAAATCGATTACAAGGGATCTCGAGTGCTGGACAGAGGTATGTGGAAAAAAGGTCTTTTAAGCCTTTAATCAGAGGGTTGAAACCACAGCGGCAGATGGATACTATAGTATTAGGAATACAGTTTTGTATTCCTAATACTGTAGCGTTCCTTTAATATCGCTAATGGGGAAGGTGAATTTCTGCTTTCGCAAGATCAATGAAGAGGTACCAAATTACAGCATCCGTTCGAAATCGGTATTACTCTTAACAGTGGGATGGCACCTGGGCACTCTAAGCATTAGAACTTATACGGCCTGCTGCAGTGGCTTTGTGCTTGCAGTGTCCCCTGTGCTTTGGCTTGAGTGTTCTCATTTTTATCTGAGCCCTCTTTTGTAAAGGCACATTGGCACTGAGGTTAGACAGTCTATTTGGCTTTAGGTTTGTAGTCTCTAGGGCAGAATATTTTATTAGTGTATACATATGTATATAGATTTAACATTAGCAATCCTACAGAGTGTATTTTTACTTAATTTTGGGGTTTGGTTAATTTACAAAATGGACAACAGATTCATCAAACTTTGCACTGTTGTTGTAAAGTGGCCACTGTGACTCTCCTAATTACAGTGTTTGTGTATCAGCCTTACTGATAAGCTAAAATTAGAATTTTACAAAATCCTGTGCCATCTTCAACTCACTACAATGGGTGGCACTCAACTACAGAAAACAAAGATATGCAAGAAACTGGCAGGTTGGGTAATCATGAAAGGCATTAGAAACATTAAAATTCTGAACGTCTTAAGATTCTATAAATATAATAAATGTACCAGCAGATACCATAAAAATAAACAAATCAATAATTAAATAAATAAATAAAATGTCCACTGCAGGCATGTATAAAAATGCTGATGGGTACATAACTAGAGGGATAGATAAATCCCATTATACAATTGGAGTTGAAAAGCATCAACCTTTCTCTCCTCTGGAGGTTCCTATTCAAGTACAGGACTAGTGTGCAAGTCATTATTGCAAGATTATATCAAATCACATGACAGTCATATGTGTTTGAATATTATTTTTCTAAATTTAAAAATTAGCATTACGCCATTCATATACAAAGCTGTATCATGAAGGGCCCCTTAACATGCTACAATTCTACTACTGTATCTATCCAAGTTTGAAAATGTAATACAATATTTAAATTAAACAAACAAACAATGAGAATTTAATCTGCATATCACTGAGGGCTGAAATCTGTTTTTCCATATAATCATGTTGATGCATATTCAGCATGCAAAAATTATGCATGAGGATTATTAAAGATAAACAGGTGCTATTTTAGGTGCAAAGTGCTAAATTATTGCAGACATTCTACTGGTTTCCACAGTGATTGCTCTTTTTTGCACTTTACCTCAGAATAGCACCTGTTATTGCCTCGATAAATTTCCCTTATTATTATTGCCATTTATATATTGCCAACAGATTCCGTAGCGCATTACAATATTTAACTATAAATAGGTGGGGGATTTAACTATAAATATGACAATTACAAAAAAACCTTACAGGAACAATAGGTTGAAGAGGACCCTGCTCAAACGCGCTTACAGTCTCTATGAGGTGGGGTGTAAAACACATTAGGACAGGAAATAGGAATCAAATAAGGGGTGAGTGAAGCAGAGCTCGAGCAGAGTGCTGCCTTTTAGCAGAGAGCAAGAGACAGATAAGTGAGGTAGAGGTTACTCTGGGAGGCCATAAGCTTTCCTAAAGAGATGGGTTTTAAGGCACTTCCTAAATGATTGAAGACTAGGGGAGAGTCTGATGGCGGTAGGCAGGCTATTCCATAGGAATGTTTAGTAATTGTTTTACTGTCTATTTGTTGTGTACCTCTTGATATTATCCAGCCTTCTAGCAGATATATAGCTATTTCACTGACGCGTCAAGATAATACATATCAGTGAGCTCCACATTTACATTTAAAATGTTACAAAACAGTTGGCAAATTGCATTAAAAAAAATATTACAGACTTTCCCCCCCCCATCTTAAAATTAGGAAAAACCCTTAAAGATGGGAAAGAACAAATTGTGAACAGACATTTGTGATGAGATGGGAAAAGAAAAGTTGAGACTAGATAACACATTTTTAAAAAGGCACGTCATAACCATTACAGCTCATTATTATTTGCCATTGTATCATATATCATATCGCATTATCGAGCCATATGGTGTGGGATGCAATATCACTGATCTACAAAACACATCTATTAAGAAGTAAGTATAGTTCAGGGATGAGAGAAGCAGTGTGTTGGGAAAAAAAAAAATACCTAAAAATGTAAGTGTGTAAACTATGGAATCAGCCATGTTAAATTCTACAGAATATGGAAGCTACTAAAATATAAAAGTAAAAATCAAGTCAAAGTTTCAGCATAAATATTAACCCGTTTGTGCAAAATACTCAATGGTTTGCGCAGATTTCACTCAACCGCAACTTAAATATCAAAGAAAAAAAAAAAAATTAGGGAGGCTCCTTGGCAAAGTATTTACGTTCAAACACTTTTACAATTTTCCACTTAAAACCATTTTTTCCATGCTGGATTGCGTGAAAATTTGTGATTTAAGTATAGTTGTGTGAAAATGGAAAAGCAATTCCTCTGAGAGTGAGAAACTATTCAAGAAAAAGATCTAATGTAAAACTATGAATGGACGACAAGATTATCAAGTTGACGGCTGGGGCACATCGTCAAGCTGTGATGTGAGGGATAAATTCTTGACTCTAAAAATACCTGCACAAATTTTATTTATATGCTCCACAGTAAGATGGGGAGAGCCCACAACTACTGCACCAGAGTGTCTACTCTAAATCTTTAGCTTTCTCCTACAATATATTTCCTTCAACTCTATAAGCTGGATGTAAAGGCCATGAAGACTTCCCATACTCTATCCATATTGTATCTTGGAAGGCGGACCAGAAGAGGTATTGGTACCAAGCAGATGAAAAATAGCATTTTAGAATGTTATAGCACGCAGAACTATGAAGACATGTTTTAATATTATAAAGTGCTGCACAATAAGTTGGCGTTTATATATATATATATATATATATATATATATATAATAATAATAATAATAATAAATAATAATATTGTTATAAACATGCATGCGCAAAGGAAGAACAGCATTGATGGCAATGAAATTGCTTGACTGTTGAGATTTCTCATGAAAAATGAATAACCATGTGCAGCACATAAACCACACAACACTAAAATTACTTGCAAATTTACAATCAAACCTAAAACAAGGTATAGAAGGCGGAATAATCAGATACACTCTATAATTGATTATGTGAGACCTCCCCCTGTTTTTTTCCCCTGCAGATTTGCTTTCATAATTATGACTCCAGATTCAATACATTCATAAAAACTTAAATAACTTATCACCAACAAGATATAAACACATTTTCCCCAAAATACACTTATTATACATGGACCTTTAGTATAAACGGTTATGCATTGCATAAATGATCCCGTGTGCGGTTTACATGGGGCCATCACAGGGTAGCACTGCAGAATGTCCCCCAGTACAGAAAAATAAATGAAATAAAATCTGAATAATCCCCATTCACGGTAAGGGAGTATCAGGGCAGTGGGTAGAGCTTTCAGACACAATACATGCAGATAGAAGAACAGTACTTCACAGCCCATAGCCAAGCCCACACAATACCAACAGACAGACAGCACTCGGCTTGAACGCACCTGTGTCTCCGATTATTATATACTTGAATAAAAAGGCGTAAGACATGACGGTACGACCAGCAGAGCCACCGGGCAGGTGATGATGGGGAGGATGCTCTGTGTACAGCGAGTATCCGCTCTATTCCACCACCACCAGCAGGTGTCGCTGTACACTGCATGGACCACCCTTGTGTCTATGAAAACGGACGCCCTTGTCTGAGCGTTACCTGCTCTACGCCTCCAGGAGCCGCTCTATACTACGGAAGTCAACTCTGTTTCTCAAACAGGTCGAGGACTGAGCGGTGCGGTGGGCTCAGTACTATATGCACTAGCTCGCTTTACCTGACCCGCTTTCCGGTCTCCACCAACATGGCGCCGTGTGTTCCGCCGGAAACGAATGGTGTCGCCATGTTGGTGGAGGCGGAGGAAGCGTGAAAGAAGAAGAAGAAAAAAAGAAGGTGAATATTCGGATGTGAAGATGGAGGTGAGGAGAGCACAATGTTAAGAAACGGTTTAACAAATAAACGGCTATATATGATATACTGTGCCGTGGGAGACCGGTAAATGTGCCCTGGTGCCCAGTAAAACGTGATGTAAGGCTGCAGTGCAGGGAGTGAGTAAGGGGGTGAATGCAGGACATTATCCTGGCACTATAGCAGCCTGCTATTATGAAATATCCCAATACAACAGCACTGTGTGCGGCAGCCCTGTGTTAACACAGACACCAGTCTAACAATGTGAGATAATAGAGCAATGCTGTAACACATGGGGGCAGAGAGCTCATATAGCACAGGCTGCTAACTGACCTCTGCCACTCTAGCTCTTGTCAATTACATTTATTATTATTTTCATTCAGCCAACTACATTTACCCAGGTGCTCAGCCGGTTCAAACTTATGTACATGTTGTTGCATGAGACATTGCCATCTATTACATCAGCTTATTATAGCACTGCTTGTCTGGGACACACATTATTATTATTATTATTATTTATTAATATGCCCCTAATTAACTCCTACAGCTACCCCTACTTGTTTTACACCAGTGGAAAATCCTTTTCAGCATTTGATATAAGCAACACACACTCTTTTCTTTTTGTGTGCCCTGGTATTAAACCTGAAACTCAGACCACACAACAGTTTGCTTGGCTGGCTTACAAAAGGTGACCTAGCCAGTCACAGCATGCACCACTCAAGAAAAAACGTTTCTTATCAGCAGAGAACAGGTTAATTAGGTTCATGTCACTGGCTTTTATTGATCCAAACTGGTTTATTCACTAAACTCTGAAATGCGGTTAATCGGAATCTAAACAGTAAAAATGAGTTTAAAATAGAGAAGCTGTGATTTTTTTTTTTCAAAGTTGCATTCCTAACACTATAGAGCTCTCTGGTCCCCATCTTTCACACTCCCCCTCCCCAGCATTCAAAGGGTTAAATAACCCTTTATTTTCTTACCCAATTCCAGCGCTGCATCGGTGCTCCCCCTTCAGATGTCATCCGAACGGGGGGGACCTAATGTGCATGCGCAGCAAGCTCATTAGGCCCTCCCAAAGGAAAGCATTGACTCAGTGCTTCCCTATTGGGATTTTACTGGAGCTGGATGTTCTCATGAATAGTGTAAGGAGTCCAGTGTCTGTTAGGTGACCTAAAGCCCAATAAAATTCCGGAAGTGCCTGTAGTGGCTGTATTGTAGACATTAGAGTCAGTCTTAGTACTGCAGTGTAAACAATGTTTTACGTTGCAGGACTAAGGGAAACAGGGCATTGCATTCAGGCCACTTCAACCAGATGAGTATAGTTAAACATGTTACTTGGATATTTTATTATAGACATTTTACTGTTTTTATTTATTAAAAAGTCAGAAACCACTTTCATCAGGGAAGAAATTTATAAGCCAAGTCTAAACAATCATGGTTATTAATTTAACAATTGACTGTACTATTCTAAACATAAATTACAAAGAAAAATCATATCCAGACTCCATGTTTGTCTGAGGCTTTGTACTTATTACAATAATTAGACACATTTCCATACACAAGCCACCGATAAACCCTGTTGTTCTTAAGATAGGTTTCAAGAACACAAGGTTTGATTATGGAAGGACTTAATCAGCCTTTGATCATGTAAAATGAGTACCATGCAATTTAGTAATAGCAACATCTTTGAATCATCTGTCAATTTTGTAAAGGGTGAGATGGTAATGTGAGTATGTTGATCTTCCTTCTGAGGGAAATGCATTTATATAATTTGCTAATTTGGTGTACATCAGGTGCTCAGTTTTACAGAGAATCAAGTGTTTTCTACTTTATCACCCATCAATACATGTGTTTAGTGTTTTGGAACATGGGGGTGTATCCATTTATTCATGTAAAACATACATTTAGATTTTGATTGTTCATAAGGATTTTAGAGGCACACTCCAGACCCCTGAAGTACTTAAGCTTGCTTTAAAGCTTTGCGAGAATGGTGTTTAAGTTTTTTGAATTTTTTTTTGCTAAAAATGCAGATTTCAGTAGAAATTGACACTTCTATAAATTAACGGTTACTCCCCCCCTCCCTGCCCCTTCCTCATTTCCTCCTCTCTCCTGCCCTTCTCCCTGACCTGCTTTGAAGCAGACAACTGTCAGACTTCCTGGTTTGATTAGCTCAGTGGAGCTAAACTCAAGTGGCAGCAATTGCAAAGGCTTCTCTTTGAGCTGCATTGGGAAGTCTGTAATTGGACATCTCCGGCAGGGTTAGTAGAGGGGAGGGGGCTTGCAAAGGCTGCAGACGGGAACTGGAGGCTTCGCAAGCATTGTTTAAAGGTATACCCAAATGAAAAATTGTAGAAAGAAAATGCATGCACTTTTTAGTTTGGGACATATCTACTAACATTATTTTTGTATTTGAGCAGTGGAGTGACACTTTAAGCTTGTCACTTTTATATGTGGTGGCGTTTTTTTTTACTTTATGTGTGAATAAAGTGTAATTACTACTTGCTGTGGGTTTTTTTTTTTTTTTACTTTACGTGTGAATAAAGTGTAATTACTTTAGTATTTGCTGTGTTTTTTTTTTTTAAAGTTTAATTTATGTAAGTTGACCATTTTTAGTTTATTAGCTTGATTTATTGCTTCTCCCCATTATTCTAGTTTTTGTTGTGCGAGAGCCGCTGCACGCGCATTCAGTCAGTCCAAAGGAAAGCATTTCTCAATGCTTTCCTATGGACGACAGCGTCTTCTCACTGTGATTTTCACAGTGAGAAGCGCCACTAGAGGCTGGATTAACCCTAATGTAATCATAGCAGTATCTCTGAAACTGCTATGTTTACAGCAGGCAGGGTTAACTCTAGATGGACCTGGCACCCAGACCACTGCATTGAGCTGAAGTGGTCTGGGTGCCTATAGTGGTCCTTTAACACCCTAACCGCGAGGCACCCAATCATTGTAAATCGCCGGATAAGTGCTCCGGGAAATCAGCGCTACCTCATGCCAGTCAAAATTTATATCGGGTGCCGTTTCCATCACGAGCCTGGGATCAGGGCACTATTTTGACAGACTGGGCACTCTGGGATGGGCTATCCGGGGATACCAAGTGTGTGGGGTAAATGGTATTTTTCAAGTTATTTTCGGGGATATTCATGTTAGGTGCCTATATGTCTAGGTTAATTAACTTTGTAATGTTTAATCTGACCATCTTCCAAACACACAGGGGTCACCAAGGTTTAGTTACTGACCCCATGCTGCGGATGTGGTATAAATATATGTATAGAATCCTAATAAAGTGTCCTTGTTTTCACCCTTCATCAAGTCTCAACTGATGTCTGGGTGGGTTGCTATAATCACTGAAGACGTTGCAGGACTAGGTTGGCTGTTTAGAGGAGATACTCATCTGGATTATTTCCAAATGCTCTAGCCATACTTAAAGTGACACTAGTCACCAAAATAACTTTTGTTTAAATGACCACTATAGTGCCAGGAAAACAAACTCGTTTTCCTGGCTCTATAGGGTCCTTGGGTCATTCTCAATGCTTTCCTATGGACGCTGGCGTCTTCTCACTGTGAAAATCACAGTGAGAAGTGCGGAAGCGCCTCTAGCAGCTGTCAATGAGACAACCACTAGAGGCTGGATTAAACTATTTGTAAACATAGCAGTTTCTCTGAAACTGCTATGTTTACAGCAGAAAGGGTTAATCCTAGATGGACCTGGTACCCAGACCACTTAATTAAGCTGAAGTGGTCTGGGTGCCTATAGTGGTCTGGGTGCCTATAGTGGTCCTTTAATGAAGCAGTTTTGGTTTGTAGAATTCTCCTGCAGTCTCATTGCTCAGTTCTCTGCCATTTAGGAGTTAAATCACTTTGTTTATGCAGTCCTAGTCACACTTTCCTGCATGAGAATTACATAGTCTTCCTAAATACTTCCTGTAAAGAGTCATCTAATGTTTACACTTCCTTTTCTGCAAATTCTTGTTAACCCCTTAAGGACTGGACTGTTTTTGCGATGTTGTACATTTGCGACCAGGCATATTTTTACACTTTTGTGGTGTTTGTGTTTGGCTGGAATTTTCCGCTCTCTCATTTACTGTTCCCATACAAATTATATATAGTTTTTTTCAGGACAAAAGGGGCTTTCTTTACATACCATTATTTATATAATCTCATGTATTTTAATTTAAAAAAAATAAAAAATATGATGAAAAATTGAAAAAAATACATGTTTTTTGACTTTTACTTGAAAAATCTTTTACTCATCTACAAAAGCGAATTAAAAAAACTGCTAAATAGATTCAAAATTTTGTCCTGAGTTTAAAAATACCCTGTGTTTACATGCTTTTTTGCTTTTTTTTGCATGTTATAGGGCTATAGGTACAAGTAGAATATTGCGGTTTCAAAACATAAATTTTTAAAATTTATCAATAGTGACATTGTAACACTATTATCTGTCATAAATCTCTGAATAACACCCCACATGTACATATTTTTTTTAAAGTAGACAACCCAGGGTATTCAATATGGGGTATGTCCAGTCTTTTTTAGTAGCCACTTAGTCGAAAACACTGGCCAAAGTAAGCATTCATATTTGTTTGTGTGTGAAAAAAGTAAAAAAACTAAATTGAACGCTAATTTTAGCCAGTGTTTGTGACCAAGTGGTTACTAAAAAAGACTGGACATACCCCATTTGCAATACCTTGGGTTGTCTTCTTCTGCAAATGGTATGCCATCATGGGGGTAATTCTCATTCCTGGGCTACCACACGCTCTCAAAGGCAACGTAACCAACCTGGCCATTTTCAATGTAAAAATATTTGACCCATATATTTGACCTTCTAACTTTCAAAAATACTATAAAACCTGTACATGGGGGGTACTGTTTTACTCAGGAGACTTTGCTGAACACAAATATTAGTGTTTAAAAACTGGAAAACGTATCACCACAATTATATCATCAGTAAAAGTGCTGTTTGTGTGTGAAAAATGCAAAAAAAGTCACTTTCACTGACAATATCATCGCTGTGATATGTTTTACTGTTTTGAATCACTAATATTTGTGTTCAGCGAAGTCTCCCGAGTAAAACAGTACCCCCCATGTACAGGTTTTAGGGTGTCGTAGAACGTTACAGGGTAAAATACAGTGCTAGCAAATTCAATTCTCTGGAATTTCGGCCTGGGTTGGCAGGCAGGTCCCTTAAATTGCAATCAATAAAATTACTGAATTATGTAAAACTATTACATAAATACGCACGTAGAATTTAAATATATATGCATATTTATATATTTGAAGTCTACGTGTATATTTATATAATTATTTATGTAATTTTGTATATGGACATATGTATATTTCTTATTATTTTTATTTATTTTTATATACATAGATATATATATACAAATTCATTCTAAGTGTATTTTGATATTAATATATATATATTAATTTTAAAATACAGTTAGAATAAAATTTCATATAGATATATAAAAAAAATTTTTTATTATTATTTTAATTTTTTTTTTTAATTTAAATTACTTATTATTTATATTTTATAATAATATATATACAATATATATAGTTATTATATATATATATATACGTGTGTAATTTAATTATAAGTGTATTTTTATATTAATATAAGTACATATTAATATAAAAATACACTTAGTATGGCATTATATATATATATGATATATAGACATATATTATATAGATATAATATATGTCTATATATCATTTGTGGTCGTGGCAATATAGCCGTATATGGAAACATAGCATATAATAACATATCAATATTTGGAATTAGTCGGTTGTGGTGTGCCGAAACCGACAGAGGAGTAGGCCTGTAAAAGTGGGCAAAAATAAATTATCATAAGACGTAATACGTTGACCAAAACTTTATTTAGATAAGTCACAGAAAGCTAGTCTTAATTCTTTAACAGGATTGGGTATGTAAAGAGTATAAGCGGAAGATTTCCAGCGTCCCATTGTTTTGATGATGTGCGGAGGAATGTGGTTAGCAGAAGCTGTAGATGCTGCTCCTATTCGGAAAGAATGACCCGAAAATTGACTAGGGTTCAAGCCGAGTCTAGTCAACAGCAGTCTTACATAGAGCATAAACTTTACTGTAGTTAGAACGTTAGTTAGTACCGTGCAGTTCTAGCAAAGGTTGTAATGGTTGTTTGTGGAGTGATAATAGATAATTGTCAAAATTTTGTACAGGGCACCATTTGTTATGAGTAGGGTATAAGGGGATCGTAACGGGATGACCTATGGCGCTGGTTTTTGATTGTTTTAGCGTGAGTAGGTAATGGTCGTTCTGTTTCGCTAAGTCCATAGTTCTTAGGTAATCAGGGGACGTGATAGTCCTAGTTGTGAATTCGTTGGGACGGAGGAATCCATAAAAAGCAAGATATATGGCTGATTTTATTACCGTGTTTGTCCTGGGCTCAAAAGGAGAGGAATCTAACAAGTTTACTAGTGCATGAAATATGTGGTTATCAATAGTTAGTCGTTTCTCGGGGATATGTGTATCTAATTTCTTAATGCCTCTAAGAACTGTCTTGATTTGATATGAGGACAGGAAACTCGTGGCGTTGGGTTGTTGAATTAGCATGTGGTGTTGAATTCCCGTAAGGTATAGTTTTATAGTGTTAAATGATAGTTTAAGGTTGATGTGGCAAAAAGAAGTGAAACCCAATATTGTTTCTATTGTGAACATATCGTGAATGTGAAATTCAGTGATGAATTTTTTGAATATGTGAAAAGCTCTGTCGTAAGTGTTTCTAGTGTTTACAGAGAGTGCCATGTGAGAAATGTGACGTGCGTGATTTAACAAAGCTTTTAATCCATTATCATGTCTGTGAAAAGTGGGACTGGAGTTGCCCGTCTGGAGGCGGTGGGTAGTGTCGTGAAGAATTCCTGAAAACGAAATCGAGACAAGTGATCAGCACTGATGTTTGTGCACCCTGGAACATGAATACATGTTAGAAAGAATTGACAAGTGGCTGCTATCCATGTGAGTCGCCTCAATAGCCTCATAATTACCAGGGATGATGACCGGCCTTTATTGACAATATGGCAAGTAGCCATATTATCAGAATAGCACCACACCGTGTGACCGGACCACTGGTGGCCCCAGGTAACGGCCGCAGCCACGATGGGGTACAATTCGAATAAAGCTGAGGTCTCTGTGAATTTTGTGAGTGATTTGACCTCAGTTGGCCATGGCCCCACGAGCCATAGGTCACCCCATATGGCTGCAAACCCCGTGTTTGCTGCAGCGTCTGTCCATATTGTGGGTGAAGTGTCTGAGTGAGATGGTATAAACATGGCACGCCCATTCCAAGAAGTGAGGAAAATCCTCCACATGCTCAAATCGGATGTCGCATGTTTGTCTAGTGAAATGTAAGATGTGTCTGAGGTGAATTGTGGAAATAGTGATAGCAAATGTGAAATAAATGATCTCCCCTGGGGAATGATTCTCATTGCAAAATTAAGCGATCCCAGCAATGATTGTAGGTCTTTCTTAGTGCAACGACCTTGCTGTAGGTAGTGGTCAATACTTGCCAGGATACGCTCAATTTTCTCCTGAGGGAGGCTGGCCTGCATGGAATCCAAAATGGCGGTCTGAACCGGAAGTAACGTTTCAGACTCGCCAGACCATTACGGTAATGTGGGAGTGGATTGGCAGCCTTTTTATAGGGAAACCAAGCCCCTCCCACAACTACAGGCCAAGCCTTTTAATATATACACAAATATAATTTTTTTTTATTTTTAATTAACACTAACTTTATTTTTTTTTTTACTGATTTTACACATGCAGGGAGACTGCCTGTCAGCACAGACAGTCCCCCTGCAGGCAGCACTATGGACACCTATTGTGACCATGTGATCGCTTTGTTAAGCGATCACATGGCCACAGGGGTCCTAAATCAGTGTGGGGAGACTGTCTGGGCTGCAGGCAGTCTCCCCACAACCGGAGCCACGCTGATCGCCGCCGGGGGAACGACGGCGATCAGGTAAGTAACTAAGACCGTTAGGACGGTTCAGGACCGTCATCGGTCCTCAAGGCAAAAATGCCGATGACGGTCCTGAACCGTCCTCGGTCGCTAAGGGGTTAAAGGACCACTATAGTGCCCTGAGGGTGGCCCCACACTCAGGGTCCCCCTCCCGCCGGGCTCTAGGGGGAGGAAGGGGTTAAACTTAACTCTTTCTCCAACACTGGGCAGGGGACTCTCCTCTTCCTTTCCGCCTCCTTGGCTGAATGCGCATGCGCGCCAAGAGCCGCGCGCGCATTCAGCCAGTCTCATAGGAAAGCATTCACAATGCTTTCTGATGGACGCTGGGGTCTTCTCACGGTGATTTTCACATTGAGAAGCGCCTCTAGTGGCTGTATTAACCCTAATATAAACATAGTTTCTCTGAAACTGCTATGTTTATAGAAAAAAGGGTTAAACCTAGCTGGACCAGGCACCCAGACACTTCATTAAGCTGAAGTGGTCTGGGTGCCTATAGTGGTCCTTTAAGTTAGAATGTCTTATCTCCTGCTCTGTTAATAGCTTGCTAGACAATGCAGGAGCTCTGTATGAAATTAAAGTTCAATTAACAGAGCAGGAAATAAAAACTTTTAAATTACGCTTGTGGCTATGGCTGCATAAATAGAAACAAAAGTAATTTAACTCCTAAATGGCTGAGCATTGAGTAGTGAGACTGCAGCCGCATTATCTATACACAGAAACCTCTTCTTTAAAGGACCACAATAGGTACCCAGACCACTTCAGCTCAATGAAGTGGTCTGGGTGCCAGGTCCATCTAGGGTTAACCCTGCAGCTGTAAACATAGCGGTTTACATTAGGGTTAATCCAGCCTCTAGTGGCTGTCTCATTGACAGCTGCTAGAGGCGCTTCCACGCTTCTCACTGTGATTTTCACAGTGAGAAGACGCTTGCGTCCATAGGAAAGCATTGAGAAATGCTTTCCTATGGACTGATTGAACGCGCGCGCGGCTCTTGCGCATTCGTTGGAAGAGGGAGGAGAGTCCCAAGCGCCGAGGGAGCCTGGCACTGGAGAAAGGTAAGCATTTAACCCCTTAGTCCCACTAGAGCAGGGGTTCTCAACCCAGTCCTCAGGACCCCCTACGAGTCCAGGATTTGGGGATTACCTGGGTGTGTCTCAGGTGTTTAGAAAAAGGGAAAAAAACACCTTCTTTTTTCTAAACACCTTAGACACACCCAGGTAATCCCTAAACCCTGGACTGGTAGGGGGTCCTGAGGACTAACGTTGAGAACCCCTGCACTAGAGCCTGTTTGTTTTCCTGGCACTATAGTGGTCCTTTAACCCCTTAAGGACACATGACATGATTCCCTTTTATTCCAGAAGTTTGGTCCTTAAGGGGTTAAGCTAAAGTTGTTTTTGTGACTATTTTGTACCTTTAAGGTATGTGCTACTAACAGGGTTATTTACTAAAGTTTGAATTGTTGTGAACTAATGACGGTGTTAGATCTGCTTCAAGAAGAACAAAAGTGCCAATTGAATGTACATAGGTGTTATCGTTTAGGGCACCAATATTGTTTTCCTCAGCTAGATTAGTTTTCTATAGCGCTAAATCTTTAGGAAGTTGCTACATTCAATAAAAACTGGGACCGTATGAATAGTGATCCAAGATATTTTTCAAGAGATTTAAGTATTGCCATGTTCACAAAATATAGACCTGCTAAAATAGGCAAGCATACATAGAATGGCAACCTGAGATTATGAGGGGTCTAATTTATGTTAATTTAAGCACTAATCATGCACTGGTCATTATGTTCAATATTTTACCATAGATTATGGATACTGTTCCTTCTAAATTCAATTTTGTAGTTAAAACAATGTTCTTTGTTTGGTGAATCATGTATAGTTTCCATGTTGGGATTTCAGATGTTTTAAACTCCCTTTCATCAGGGATAAGGTAGTTTGAAATAATTATAATTTAGAAGGCTGTCTTTTTTTTTGTAGGCAATATAAGAAAAGACAGAAAAAAATCAGCGCTTAAAGACACTAATATTTTTTTTTTCTTGTTTGTTTATTTTGTTATCAGATATTTGGCTTCACAAGTCAATTCACAACTACCCAATTCTATATATAAAACAATCAGTGGAAGTAGAATTGTAGTTGTAACTGCCATTAGTTGTGGTTTACCCCTTTTTGATCTTTATTGAACCTGTGACATACGAGGGGCACTGCAATGTGGTTTTTGTGCATTCAAGCTCCGGTTGATCACTTGTTTTGGACGTATTTCAATTAAACTTGTTCTTGTTGTTAAACTATTTTAATAATTAGCATTTTGGTATCTTTATTTTTACATGACAAGAGGCTTCATATTCTGCGTGTCTTTCTTTAATTTAACTCCACAGCAGCAAAGACACATAGAAAAAAACAAGAACCAATCAGATACAAGTAATATGAATATAAGGCACAGTGAAACCACACACTTCCTCTTTCTTTGCTGCTCCAACCACAAGACAGGTCAGAGTTCCTGCTGTCTTCACGGTCTTTGTATTATTGTCAGTTCGCTGTATTTTTTACCAATGTTTTATTTTATTGTTAAGGGATAGTGTTAGTGTGGGTTCTGTTTGTGCACCTCTGTTTTACTTATCTCTGACAGACTCTGCCTGCACACTGTGGCTTTACTGGGTCCTTTATCTGGCAGGCTGTGCCTGCATACTACTGGGCCTCATTTGCTCATTCTCTGGCAGGCTCTGCCTGCCCATTACTGACTTTTCACTTTTCTGTCGCAGACTCTGCCTGCACACCACTGGCCCTTAATTGCGACTCCTTTCTCTGGCAGGGCTTTGCCTGTTCACTACTATGTTTTATCTTTCCCTTTCCTGGCAGGCTCCACCTGCCCTAATATTGTCATTTCACTTTTCTCTGGCAGGCTGCACCTGCACACTACTGGTCCTTATTTGTCTACCCCTTTCTCTGGCAGGCTCTGCCTGTACACTACTGTGCTTTATTTGTCCCTTTTCCAGCAGGCTCTGCCTGCCCCATTACTGTCTTTTTTTTTTCTCTCTCTCTACTGGCCTGTTTTGGTGTGGCTTGTTTTTCTCTCCGGGTTTTTGTTTGTTTCTCTCTTCCTGGTGGGGATAGTCTGCTGTATTACCTTGCCATTCGATCTTAGGAGATCATTGGTGAGCCTCCATATTTCTTACCTGTAATAGTGCTGCTGAGGGGAAGCTGCCTTTGCTGTCTTCTATATTTGGTGAATGCCAGTTGTTTGACCACTTTTGTTATTCAGCCTGTACTTATTGTGCCTGATTTTATACTGTTGAAGAAGACCCTAAGCGCCAAAAGCCCCCAGGGTCAGAGAGTAGGTTGTCCCTCCCACAGTATATAAAGATATATAAAATATTAAAATATAACTTTTATTGAGTTTATTAAAACAATCATATAGCCACTGAAAATCAAGCTTGTTTCGGCACATAAGTGAGGGTTACCCCCTATAGATTTGTCCACAGACACACGACTAGTTCCCCCTAGGGGTGACCAGTTTTCTTTACTGATTTTATACTGTCAAACTGTCTGTACACTTTGGTCCATACTTTGGGCACCTGGTCCCACGTGACCTACTGCCCTTAGTGACTAATGGGAAATTGTTGTGGTCTGTCTGCCTACATACTTGTTGACCATGTGGTACTTTGTATATTGGGTGAGCCCCAGTGGCCTGTAATTGTGATTGACTATGAAGGATTCCCAAAACCCTCCGGGACATTTCCAGGCCATGATCAATGCAATGGTGGCTGCATCGGTAGAATGCCACTTTTCAAAAGTTTCCTCTACTACCAAGTGTAGTATTCCTACATTCGTCCTTACAGACTTGTATTGGTCACTACTCTAGCCAGGTGGATTAGTTGGCTCCTGTCCCTGGTGGATGTTAAATCTTCATTCGGGCCTATTTTCTCTTACCTCAATCGTTAAAAATGCAAAATATGTTGCCTCCTGTCATGGTGTAAAATTTAATATAATGCTAGTTTAGTACTAATAATCTAAATTTTTGGAATGACAGGAGGCGAGTATTTTCCCAACATTCTCTCCCCCCCCTTCTTTGTTTTTACTGTTTGTCTTTTTGATGGAGGTTTCTGTTGTTGGGGTGTTTTTATTGTGAGTTCATTATTTGATTTTGGTATTTTTATATGGCATTCGTCCTGTTTTGCATATTGTTATCGAAGGGATATTGTCTATACTGCTATGATTCAAGTATTTGAAATTCATCGATTGCTTGCATTATATCATTGTTTCATACGATTATTTCTGTATGACTAAGCCTATTACACCTTTTCTCTTCAGTTTAATTAATTTCTGGGGACGCGTTTGCTGTTCTGATCTGGTGGGCTTCCCCGTTCTATGCTGATTCTGCAAGTTTTTTTGCCTGTTCAAGGTTTTCTCTGTTTTACCTGTGATTTTGCATAGAGAAAGAGGAAGTACTTGGTTTCACTATGCCTTATATTTATATTACTTGTTTCTGATTGGCTCTTGTTTCTTCTTTGCTTGTTTGCTGCTATGGAGTTACAAAGAAAAATATGCAAAATACTCGCCTTGTCTTATTACTAAAATATAAGATCATTATTACACTAAAACTAGCTTGACCTTCAATTGTGTGCTATTTAGAGAGCTCATATCACACTCCTGTACATAGTTCTTCATGTCTTCACTGGTCTGGATCATTTTGATGGTGGAACGGATCTCATGGTCATCACATGATGTAAACAGGGGCTGTGGTCTATCCTATGACCTCGAAACTCTAGAGTTAGTTTCCTCCGAGCTTCTGTATGGGCAAAGCAAAGTTAGCGACAGTTACTCGACTATAAGGTATGGCAATTTATTCTGATTTGTTGGTTGATATTAAGTGACCATTAAGGCGCAATTTTATATTAATACAACACGCTAAAAAAATACATAGGATGACTTAGTATTTATATTTTGGTGTGTGATTTATTGCAACTCTTACCTGCATAAAATGCTGCATTCTTTTAGTGAACATTGTCTCTTCTAACTTACAGTTTCCGGGAGGCAGTGACAGTTACCTGACCATCACTGGATCTGGTCACCCCTTCCTGACTGGGACAGAGGTGAGTAGTAACAACATCTTAGTTTATTTTATTTTTTTACAAATGTGTGGCACTATCTGAGACACCTAAAAGTCTTCTTTTTTTTTTTTTTCCTCCTTCTTCTTCTGTCTAGACATTTCACACACCTAGCTTGGGTGATGAAGAGTTTGAAATCCCACCCATTACTCTAGATTCTGATCCTTCTCTGGCTGTCTCTGATGTTGTTGGGCATTTTGATGACCTTGGAGATCCTTCAGTTCAGGATAGTAGCTTTGCTGCACAATATGGGGTACAGACTCTGGACATGCCAGTGGAGATGACCCACGAGGTGATGGAGCAGGCAGGAGGGCTGCTTGGAGCTGGACTTGCCATGGTAAAAAAATATTTTTATTTGTGGCATATGCATGAAAACTGGCTCTCTTAAACTATGATTTATTTATCAGAGACCATGTTCTTATGGTCTATTTTTTACCATTGGAGAGCCATATATCACCTTTTCAAGTGACATTTCCATAACTAAGACTGGCCAACTACTTTCGTTATGTTGTTCTGACATAAAGCTGTAAAAGATATGTCACAGCATTTAATATTCATATTAATAAGAAAACAAGTTGCATCTGCACTATTGTATTAATTTTAATGGACATGGCACATGTGAATCTATTGGTTTAAAAATATATAAACGTGTATTTTGTGAGTTAAAACTTCACATTCCCGAATTATTCACTAAAGATTGAATTGTAGGGTGATCAACGTGAATTTTAAATTTAAAGCCATGATATCTGAAATGAAGAGCGAAAATATGGAAAATATTTTCAATTCATCTGTTTTGCATAAAATTAGAATTCACTTTTGAAGTCATATTGATTGATCACTACTGAGCAAACCTGATGTTAATGATTGTTAATTAGTAACACTAATGGATATTGAACAAACCTAATATTAATTAAGTAAATTGGTGTTAGTCCCACAAGCATGTCACAAAACACAGGCCTGGATGTGTCGCAGATGAATTCAGGCATAAGCCATAAGATGACACAGCATGAGTTGAAAGGGTCAGGCTAAGTGCAGGACCTGGAACATGCCCAAAGAGATAAAGTATAGCATGAAACTAACAACCAATCATTTTATAAGATAGTATAGTGTTAGAAGATAGATAAGAGATAAGCTAACTGCACAGACCTGGCATGAGGCCTTTGGTGGGCCTTTCCGGCCTGGCCAGCTGCCAGTCCCACCTAATGCATGTGACAAGTCTGCTGGGCTGCACTGATAAGAGAATCTAAGGTGGACCAGTACAGACTGCCCACCCTTTGACTAGGTATAAAAGATGAGATAACTTGGCACTCAGGCGGGAGCTTACTTGTCTGCATCACAGACGCGTGGTCCAGTTCTTTGCTGTTTCCCAGCGGAGAAAGTCCCTCCAGCCTGACTGCCTGAGTTTCCCCAGTCGTGTGTGGCAGAGTGACAACAAACTTCTCCTATGGTGATGTATTTTAAACGGATACTTAAGCTGTTATCGATATATTAAGCTGATCATTTAAGCTGAATGCATGCACCATTTATAATCAATAGATGCGTCTTAAGATTAGAGTGATTTGTATTCCAGTGTATACATTAAAGTATGATGTTAATTCTTACATACTACTTGGTCTTTGTGTGGTATCATTTGCCTATTACTCAACCTCCTCATCACGAATTGGGCAGTGTGCCCCTCAGACCTTATTAGGTACTGATGATCATTAATTTGATGATTTGGCACAACACTTTGACGTAGTTGGCAGGATGATATTGGTTGAATTAGGGGATGTTAAATCTGTAATAAAATAACTTTTTACCGGTAAAAGAATAGGTTTGTGTGAGATTAAAATCTGTTTGATGCTTCAGCATAGCTTCTGAGCAAAAAGTGAAAGTAACTTAGAAGTGAAACTAATTTAGTACGCTGCTAATTTCTGCTGAGTGACAGAGGAAAATAAGTGTTCAAAAGCTGCTGCTTGTCCGCTTGCTGATAAGCGAAACGTTCTGTTGTCAGTTTTTCCTTCTCATTCTCTGCTGAAAATATTTCATGTGTGCACACTATATACATATACTGTATTATATATGTTTTTGTTTGCATTGAAAAAATCTAAGCAGTTTAAAAAAAAAAAAAAAAAAATCTGTTTCACATTGTGCAACCATGTATTGGATGTTTGGTGTGAATGAGCGTATTTGTGCTCGTTTGGTAGATGCACCTATACTCTACGGAAGGCTGTAGAAAGCCAGTGCCGAACAGGGAAAGATAACCTTAAGCTAGGATAGTTGCCTGGATAAGCCCAGGCACCTGGATAAGCACCATAGCGTGAGTAATCGTGGTAACCATAAGCCAGGGTAGTTGTCTGGATAAGGTGTGACTACTCTGTTAAGTAATAAGCCAGGTATTAGCTGTCTGGATAAGTACACACTCAAGTGAACATAGTAAAAACACATAACACATCCATATACAAGTGTGCATGATTCTCCTGTGAGGGTATTCCAATTGCACAATGTTTAAAAAGAATAAGAAACAAAGAGGACAGTGATACCATCGTCCCAGGCTAGGAACATGAACCATATGCATTGATTGCAAGTGAATGGACCCGCTCCTCGGGCAAGTGTGAAAATAACAATGAATGCATGAAAGCTGAAACACCTGCTAATCTGCTTGCTTGTATGAAAGAAATACCAAAGGTTAAAGGGCAGAAACGAACTTGGGTTATACTCACTGCATACAGACATGCTCATAAGGATAGAGACATGTTGCAAAATGAGAATAAACAGTTCACCGATAAACTGAATTTGTATCAACATATAGCTGCAAAATCCATAGTAAGGATAGCCCAGTATAAAGTTAAAAGACAAATTGGAAAGTGAGCAAGAAAAAAGTTAGGGTATTCCTCACCCAAGCTGGATATGAGTTTGATCCAGAAGCTTGGGATGGCAATATTTGGAGTACCTCGGACGAAGAGTCTGAGACAGGGGTCAATGCCTTGCCTGGTCAGAAGAAAATTAGAGTACACTGACCTAGGACAAGTCGGGAGGACCTCTATGGAAGATTATACACAACAAGATATAGCTGACATTCTGTCCACCTTCCGACAGCTGCCAAGGGAACTGCTGGACGAGTGGGTGCTCTGATTAAGTGAACCAGGGGATGCCACTGACTCACCAAAATTAGCAAACATCAAGGAGGATCAAAGCATCAGGAGGATGATGCTAAATAGGCCTCCCCCAGTTGATGGGACACCTTCTACGCTCACCCTCCAGGAGCTTGTACAAATAGGATTGAAATTACGTTATCCCTCTGTCAGTGACTGGCCAGACAATGACAAGCCCTGGTACGGATTCACAGGCGCAGTTAAGAAACTAAAACAAGAAATGGTGAGGCAGGCTACACAGAACTCTCATCAACTAGATAGGCTGATGGAAATGCCTGTCACAGTCCAGATGAGGAATAAAATTATGAAAACTGCCCCTCCAGCTTATAAGCAGGTAATAATGACTCTGCTGATAAGTCAGAGAGGAAACTCTCTGCAGATAGTGGCGGAAGCCATTATGCAGTTAGGGGAACTGGGAGATTAGGCTCCCAGGGTTCTGAGAGATAGGACAGATTCAACAGGCTATAGACCACCCCGTGAAGCACCCAGGATGGGTAATCCTGGAACAGCAGATCAAATAAGTAGAAAGGAAATGTTCCTAGCCCTCCACAGGGAAGGGGTAAGCAGGGAACAAATTGATGAGAAAGACACCCCAATGTTGTGGAGGATGTACAAACAAAAAGGATTACATAAAAAGGGAGCAAAGGTAAACAAACCGCATAAATGCCATGGTGATGGCCCAAGAAACCACCATCTTTTCCTCCTGTGGCACCCTCAGTGCCACCACACCCTTCTGTAATACCTACAGCGCCCCCATTGCAAGACCCTGTGGTAATACCCTTACCCGCCTTGGTAGGGGTTGAGATTTACCAAAACTTTAAAAAGCTAAATGAAATAGCAAAAGCCATGCGGGACCTGAGGGAAATACTAGAGGCACAGGAATCAGAGAAGAGCATTACTCCTCTTTATCCTAATCTTGATAGAGAATTAGGATTGGCACAAACCCAGGTGAGAGAAAACAGTTACTCTCAGAGGGAATTGCCCCACCTTGAAGATCTAGATGAAATCCTAGAAGGGCTAATGCCCACTGGAGAGTTGGCACCTCCTAGTTCCCATGAGGCCAGTTCACCCTGTAATAAGTGAGCTCCAGAAATAAGATTGGCACATAAAGATTGCAGGCCCCATGTAAATGTGAAAATATATTGGAAAAATAAAAATGTTCAAAGGGTTACTAGTAGACACCCCGAGCCGAAGCCACGTTAATTTATGGGAATCCAAAGAAAATCATAGGAATGCTCTTTGTGAATATTGGACTTTAGGGTAAAAGAGCAGTCCAGACTTGGTTAGAAATGAAAATTGGGCAGTTGCCTAAGAAAAAGTATTAGATTTTGGTAGTCCCAATCCCTGAATACATAATTGGCATTGATATCTTGAAGGGATTAACCCTATATTTGGGGGGATGCTTTTATAGCTTTGGGACTAAACCATATATATCAGCTAGACCAGTGGTTGTAGGAAAACTTGTAATGCCTCCTGTACAACTACCACCCGCCACAAAAGTGACGCATATGAAACAATATCAAATACCAGGAGGGCACAAAGAGATAGGAGAAACAATTGATTTACACAATAACTTTAATTGAAAACATACAGAAACATCCAGGGATCTGGTATGCTGTAATAGATTTGGCCAATGCCTTCTTCACTATTCCAATAGCTGAAGAAAACCAAGAGCAATTTGCCTTTACATGGCTAGGGAGTCAATATACCTTTACTAGGTTACCTCAAGGATATTTACATATTCTACCACCTGTCACCGGCTGGTGGCAGAACATCTGGATTAAGTAAAAACCGTCTGGAGTGAAAATATCTCACTACATAGACGATATTATGATACAGGGAGAAACCAAACAAAAGTCTCAGGAGGTGCTAGAAGAAATAATAGAGCATAAGTAGAGGTTGGAAAATCAACCCAGGCAAAGTGCAGTGACCTGCACAAACAGTGAAATTCCTGGATATACAGTGAAACAAAGAGCATAGGGAGATACTCCCCAAGGCCAAACAAAAGATATTGGAATTTCACACTCCCAAAAATAAGAAGCAAGCCCAGGGTTTCATAGGGCTCTTTGGATTTTGGAGACAGCACATACCACACCTAAGTCAACTGCTGTCCCCTTTATACAAAGTTACAAGGAAAAAATATGATTTTGAGTAAAGAAAGGAGCAACAAGATGCGTTCAAAGGAGCCAAACCTTCCATTCAACAAGCCTTGGATCTATGGCCCGTACAAGATGGGGATATAGATCTGAATGTATCAGTTAATAACCAATGGGCAAATTGGAGCCTTTGGCAAAAACAAGGAAGGGCAAAATTTCCTCTTGTATTTTGGACTACGAAGTTGCCTGAAACAGGAGACAGGTATACACCTTTTGAAAAACCGCTTTTGGCTTGTTACTGGGCTCTAGTGGACACAGAGCAAATTACAGTGGGACACACAGTGTTCCTACGTCCAGAGATACCCATAATGCAATGGGCTATGAGCTCTCCTAAAACCCACAGGATAGGGCATGCGCAAGAATCAAGTATCATTAAGTGGAAATGGTACATTCTGGACAGCGCAAAAATAGGTCCTAGTGGCATAGCTGTGCTACATGAGAAGGTTGTGGATGCACCTATTCAAGAACCTGGATATTTGCCAATGCCAGAAAAACCGAGAGAATCGCCAGTAAAATGGGGAAAGCCTTTAACTCAGTTGTCCCAGGACCAGGCTACGCATGCGTGGTTCACAGATGGCTCAGCAAAATATGTTGGAAACACCAGACAATGGAAAGCAGTGTCTTATTTTTTTTTTATTCTTTATTTTATTTGTGCATCGGTTAAACAAGCAGGTTTGCACTGCCACAACATCTGGTGCAAACTGATAGTATAACATTTATGTGGCTACGAAAACATTGCACATTTTATTTATAAGAATAAGCAAGATTAGACTAAAATCCTTAATCTGAAGGAGGACGATATCTCTCACTAGGCATACATAAAACTTATACATAAAACAAAAACTTAACATAGCATCAAGGTGAGACACTGCACAGACTTAGCCTACCACTCATCCTCTCTAGGCTATATTAAGATGCTATCAGCCTAGGTGATACAAGTGAACCCTAGCCAAGTCAGCTAAGCTAAGCAGAAAACCATCCTCTTGCTATCATGTGACCTGATAACAGAAAATTACAGCCTATTTTCCTTCTTTTGTGTTGTTGGTGTTAAAGATAAATAAATAGGGAAGTAAGTGTGTGATAGGCCTGTCTGTTTGAGTAAGTGGTCTCAACATTTATTCTAAGTTATTGGTTATTTTATTTATTTCTTGCGTCCAAATGCACTGGGTTTAACATCATAGGACAATAACAGGGTTAATAGAGGTAGACAATTGGGGCCAGGGTTCTTGCATTTATATAGGGATTTATTTATATGCTAGTGTTGGGTAGGAAGGTCTGTCTGTATGGTCTTAGATGTGGGTAGGTAGCTGCATACCCTCTGATTAGGAATGGGTTGACTCTCTGTTAAGAACTTAGGAACCTGGGCTTTGGTCCTGTGCCGGACTGCCGGTGTTCTTAACCTGGAGAAATGTTGATCGGCTGTAAATTTAATGCTATTGGGGTAAGTGGTAATCGGTAGTATATAGGTGGTTTACAAGCCTGCCATCAAGGTACGGTAATTAAGAGAGGGTGGTAAACTGCCATGTTGGGCCTTACAGATTAATAATATGTTTGGCGCTCATTAACCCCTGAGCACCAAAAGAGGGGGTGGGGTACGTTGAGCTGCAGTAGAGGTAAATGTATTGCTGTCTTACTATAAAGGCGTTGTAACTAATAAAATTAACTCAGAACAGTAACTTGATATGAAAATAAAAGATAAAGTGAACATATGCCAGATAGGGTCTTAGAGTCCGGTGGACCCACAACCGAGTGGCTTGATCCTGTCCAGGAGTGTCCCTGTGGCTTCAGCCTGTGTCAGCAGTGGAGCGGGGGACAAAGGGGACTATGTTGGGTACGTCCCAGAAGCTGCCAGGAGTGGGATTGTTGGAGTCTGGTTTATCCAGTCCCAGTTTGCCGAGGAAGGAACCGGAATCTTCTGTCAACGTCAGTCGGAAAGTGGTCGCTACCTTTGTGACTATGAGCATCAATGGTCCCCATCGGTATTTGACTGCAACCGCTTTGAGGGTCGCGGTGACTCGCTGGACAGAATGTCTCCAGGTCAGAGTAGCTCTGCAAAGGTCTTGCAGAAATGTGAGCTGCATGCTCTCAAATTGGTAGGGGCTCCTGATTTTTGCGCGTTGCCGTAACCGCCATTTTGTCCCAAGTGGATTGAAAGCTCGGGAGAACATCGCGGGAGGCCTCTGCCGGAGCTCTTGGAGATTTGGGGAGTTTGTGGGCACCTTTCATTTGAGTACTCTTCGCCTGCTTGGGGTTGAGTAGTGTGGTTGGTAGACGTCGGATGAATTGAGGCAATTCATGGTCATTGATAGATTCGGCAATGCCTCTGATTTTTATGTTGGTGCGGCGTCTAGTCCATCCATCTGGGCCTGTAGTGCTTGGTGTGAGGACTGGAGGAGTAGTAGCTTCTCCTCCATTGCTTGATGGCGTTATGCCATGGAGGTGATGTCCTCTTTGGTGGCCCTCACCCTGTCTGTGACAGTGGTCACCTCCTCCTGCAGAACTGCTATATCTGTGCGGAACAGGGTGCGCAGATTCTTTAGCATGTTCAGGATATCTCCTTTGGTAGCCGGAGCTCTCAGATCTCAGAGTGGTAGGTTCAATAGGGGATCACCAGGCTCTGGTATGGGGTCCGGAGCATCCAGTGTTTCCTCCTCTGAGGATAAACTTTGGGTATCCGGGGTCGCCGCCATTTTAGGTTTAGGCCTTGACAGGAAAAGACCGCCGATTTTCCGGGATCCGTCCTCTGGGTGAGTTTTTTTTTTTTTTTTTATTTTGTTTCCCCGTGTTGTCACCAGGTGTAGGAGCCAGAAAATAGTCGGGTTGTCGTCTGGTGGATCTATCAATCTGCATTTATTGCTGCTATAACTCCGAAAGCAGTGTCTTTTAACCCTAAAACAAAAAGGATGGATGTGTCGCAGATGAATTCAGGCATAAGTCATAAGATGACACAGCATGAGTTGACAGGGTCAGGCTAAGTGCAGGACCTGGAATATGCCCAAAGAGATAAAGTATAGCATGAAACTAACAACCAATCATTTTATAAGATAGTATAGTGTTAGAAGATAGATAAGAGATAAGCTAACCGCACAGACATGGCATGACGCCTTTGGTGGGCCTTGACTGCCTGGCCAGCTGCCAATCCCATCCAACGTGACAAGTCTTTGCTGGGCTGCACTGATAAGAGAATCTAAGGTGGACCAGTACAGACTGCCCACCCTTTGAAAAGGTATAAAAGACGAGGTAACTAGGCACTCAGGAGGGAGCTACATATCTGCATCACGGACGCGTGGTCCAGGTCTTTGCAGTTTCCCAGCGGAGAAAGTCCCACCAGCCTGACTGCCTGAGTTCCCCCAGTCGTATGTAGCAGAGTGACAACGAACTTCTCCTATGGTGATGTATTTTAAGCGGATACTTAAAGGATCATTATAGGATCAGGAACACAAACATGTATTCCTGACCCTATCGTGAAAACCCACCATTTAGGTGGCTTGCGCCGCCCCCTCTGAATGGGTTAAAACTCTCCTTATTTCCAGCTCTCCACGGGTCTGCCGGCGCTGGCCCCACCCCCTTGGTGACAACATCAAAATTGCCCATGGGGAAAGCATTGGATTGGCTAAAATCAGAAAGGGGGCGGGACCAAACGCTGTTTTGGCTAATCAGCACCTCCTTATAGAGATGCATTGAATCAGTGCATCTCTATGAGGAAAATTCAGTGGGGACGCTGAACGACAGGGCTGCCTACTGTGCAGCACTGAGCCAGGAAGCACCTCCAATGGCCATCTAAGGAGTGGCCACTTTGAGGTGTCCCTAGGGGCAATGTAAACACTGCCTTTTCTCTGAAAAGGTAGTGTTTGCATAAAAGTGCCTGAAGGGAGCTATTATACTCACCAGATCAACTAGATTAAGCTGTAGTTGTTATGGTGACTATAGTGTCCCTTTATGATGATATCGATATATTAAGCTGATTGATCATTTAAGCTGAAAGCATGCACAATTTATTATCAATAGATGCATTTTAAGATTAGAGTGATTTGGATTCCAGTGTATACAATAAAGTAATTGTTATAATAATAATGATGTTAATTCTTACATACTAATTGGTCTTGGTGTGATTTCATTTGCCTATTACTCAACCTCCTCATCATGAATTGGGCAGCGTGCTCGTCTGTATTATTACAGACCTTATTAGGTACTGATGATCACGAATTTGGTGATTTGGCATAACAACTTTAAATAATTGTTAAGTTCTCAGCAATTAACACTATACTTAATAATTCTGCTGGCATTACACTTTATCTCCTTGTGTGTATAAACAATAAACTTGGCTTCCCTGTGTATTTCCATTCCTTGCTAGATAAGAAAAGGCAACACCGCATGAGTAGCAAATTGTAAGGTTTTTTTCCCATGGGAAAGGATGCATTATTTGCATTCTTTTAGGCACTCACGTAGTATTTCAATTAAAATACAATTTGTATGTAATGCTTACTGTTACAGGATCTGGATCACCCAATTGTCACCACGTACAGTGCCAACCCCCCAGTTACCATCGATGTGTCGATGACAGACATTTCCTCTGGTCTCCTGTCTCATAGTCAGCTTACTACCATTGATCAGTCAGAGCTCAGCTCTCAACTCGGTCTCAGTCTTGGTGGGGGGACTATCCTGCCTCCTGTCCAGTCTCCTGAGGATCACCTCTCTCCCACCCCTTCACCAAACAGCTCTTTACATGATGAGGACATGGAAGACTTCAGAAGGGTGAGTGAACTAAAATGCTTATCTTGTTTCATATTGAAGTCTTGTACCCACACCTTTTTTTTTGCATATAATTTATTTTCGGTTTTGTTTTTGTGTCTTTCTCGTACAGATAACAGCACCCAAGAATATTATCGTAGAGCAGACAAAAAAGCAAAAAACTCCAAAAGGCAAGAAAAAGAAGAAAGATCCTAATGAACCTCAAAAACCTCTCTCTGCATATGCCCTTTTTTTCCGTGACACCCAGGCTGCCATTAAGGGTCAGAACCCCAATGCCACCTTCGGTGAAGTGTCCAAAATTGTGGCTTCTATGTGGGACAGTCTTGGAGAGGAGCAGAAACAGGTAATTTTGTAGGTGGAAATATATTTGTAATATTTCTACTTGCCAGCTTTGAGGACAGGTTTTTTTTGTAACAGAAGTATGTCGTAAATCTGATGTTTTCAACAATTACTGTTTTATTATTGCTTCATCAATTGTGGATGAATCATTATACCATAGTTTTCTCTGCTCACTTGCAGGTGTGCAAGCAAAGGATACACTACATATCCTTATATAGTAACATTGTATTTAAAATTATAATTTAGGCAATCACCATTAATATGTATTTTTATTTGGCATTATACCAGTTTTAAGCTATACAACTTCTAATGTTCTGTATAAATGTGTTTTCACAGGTTTACAAGAGAAAAACGGAAGCAGCTAAAAAAGAATATCTAAAGGCATTGGCACTTTATAAAGAAAACCAGATGTCACAGGTAATATAAATTGATTTGGAATACGACATAACTTAATGGGACAGTATAAATTCCATAGTCAGTTAAGTATATTGTAGTGGTTATGGCGCATTCTTTCCCCTGTTTTCTGTCAAACTGATTTTTTGAGCAGAGAAAAAAAAATGGGCTATACTCACACCCAAAACTACACTACTTCTGCATTATATGTCAAAAGCCATACACCTTTGGGTTTTGGGACTGTAAGGGCATGTTGAAAGCCTACTATTTCTGTCCAGGGCTATACAATAACTGTAGTGGTTATGGTTCTTAGAGCACTCCGTATTGATTTACCAAAATCTAATGCGGTAAGTGTGACTTTTGTCTGCAAGTCCAGGAAAAAGATAACCTATTTGCATGCAAATGGCAACTGTTAAAAACATTTTCAGAAAAGTTGAAACTGTTAACATTTTAAACTGGAATTGTCACTTTGTAATTTACACCATTAAATAAAACCTTTAAAATCCCTATAATGTGAGTTACTTTTTTCATGAGATGCTCAGGATTTAGCATATTACATGGTAATCCAGTTCAGCCAGGGCAAACAATGCAGATGAAGAGGAGAAATAGAAACACGTTCATTTTTCCTCTTCTCTGAATGCTTTCTCTGTGCTGGGAACAAAGCTTGTAACAATAATTGACAAGGAGCTATAATGGAGGCGGCAAGCAGCAGAATACAACTGTGTGAGTTTCTGAATTTCGTTAATTTTATTTTTCACACCTCACAAATACATATTTGTTAAATATTACCCTTTAAGAATGAAATAGTCTCTCATTAATTTCAGTGCTTAAAACCATCTTAAATTTTGAATAGTCATTTTGGTTTTCTTTTTTCATGTTCTACACAAAGAGGCTTTAATTAATAAAGATAACTATTGATTTAGTAGCTTAATTATTTCTCTTAAGATCACGTTGTACTTTTTTTGTTTTTTTTGTTCTGGCCTTTAAAATTATATTCTTGGCCCTTAGTGTATAGGGATATATGTTCTATAATTCATTAAGGATTAACAATTATTTCTCTATATGTTTACTTCTGAATACACCTGTAATGATATGTTTCTTGTGTGCTGATGACTTCAATTATTTACCCACAGGTTGTTGTTGACACAGTGGAGTTAGACCCTCCAGTTGCACAAGGCATGCTATCGGAATCCCCAGTACATTCCCCGTCTGTAGTGACTGTCTCCAGCATCCAACAGTGTGTGTCTTCTCCAGCATCTACCCAATCACCTGCCCCTACCCTTCCTCCTGCAGCCACTCCGCCTCCTCAAGCATCTACCATCACTCAACCAACAATCGCAAAAATAATAATATCCAAGCAGATGCTTCAAGCCGGACAAATTCCCACCTCTATTTCCATGTCTCAGGGAATGGTAACGGTCATCCCGGCTACTGTGGTTACGTCTCGTGGACTTCCTTTACACCAGCTACAACCCAGCCCACAAGCCCAGAGGGTAACACGCTCAGTATTGCAGGCAGCAATGCAGCTACCTCCACGTCTACACCCACCACCATTGCAGCAAATGCAGCAACCTCCACGGCTCCAGCATATGGCTCCTGCACAACAACCTTCAATTACCATCTTGCAGTCACCTCCTCCTCTGCAACCCATGCAAAAAGTGCGACATCAGCCTCCTCCTCTACAGATAAAGATTATTCCCCCTCCTTTGCAGCCCCAACCACAGGCTGTTCACGTTCAGGAGCAAAGCATACCAGTTATCAGTGTGCCTCATTCTCCTGATGCACCCACCTCACCCCCTGAACAACTGGAGCTTGTGTCAGAGGTAGTGCAAGAAGTAAGTGTTCTCTAAAAAGTTAAATACCACAGTGAATGGAATATTAAAAACAAAGTTTTTTGATAAAAAGATTACTGCAGTAATGATGGTAATTAGTTAAAATCCAGGCTGTTTATGTGCTTCATCTTTAAATGTCTAAGTTAGCTTGTAGTTCTTAATTAATACTACGCAATCGTCTTAAGATGACCCCATTATTAGGTAAATGCACACAGTTACAAATATGAAGTTATTGCAATAACTGCAATTCAGGAAGGCATTTGATACTGAGATCTGTCCTTATATTCTTGTAAGGAAGGTGTAAAACACTTAATTTAGCAGTGTAGGTTAGACCATAAAGAGAGAAAAAAAAGGTTTGCTCACTTAACAGTGAGATTTTGTTCTTTTGAAACTGTCATTTAACAAGAATATCAACTCACAACAATTCCACTATGTAGTGAATAAATCCATAATCCCTTTGGTGCGATCAATATCGCTACCAGGGCAAGATGAAATACTTTAATTTAAAGACTAATAATTTTTTGGGGAAAATTATGTGATTAAGAGACACTCTAATGTTAACATTTTTTTTTTTTATCCTTTTCAGGAATCTCCACTAACTCAAATGGATGTGGAGCTGGTGAGTGGCTCTCCTCCCCGCAGCCCTTCCCCTCAGCAACGATGTGTCCGATCAGGTTGTGAAAATCCTCCAGTGGAAAGTAAAGATTGGGACAATGAGTATTGTAGCAGCGAGTGTGTAGTCAAACATTGCAAGTAAGTACATTAAACGGTTGTATGAAACATTGTTTGCCATGTGCCAGGGCTAAGCACTGGAAATGAAAATGTAACTAAAACAGAGCATTTTTGACTACTGTAATCCATAACTTTATTCTGACCTGTCCATCCACTACTTGACTCACCTGATCACCAATTCCTCTTACCCTGACTAATCTTGCCAGTTCCTCTTGTATTATCTTATTATTATTAAATGGTTACTCCAGGTGACCTGACTACTTTAATGATTTGAAGTGGTCATGTTGCCTGGAGTCTGTATGTGCAGTATTTTGCTAAGTAACCATTTGCATACTATGTTTAACACTGCAGCTGCCACCACTGGTCTAACTTCACCTCTGGCAGCATCACTGGGATACCATCCATCAGCCTGGAACTCTAGCTCAAATTTCAATACATAGAATCTAATACAATGGCTTAGAGTCGTCAGCTGACGCTTTAATTAAATGGTTTGCCCTATTACTGGGGAAAAGTAGGCTATAGTGGTTATGATGGGTGGAGTAACCCTTGCTTTAATGTTGCTTTACACCATACAGATTTAAATTTTCTTCTTGATTCCTCTGTTTTATAGTCTGTTTGAGTAAACATTGCAAATTGGTTGACATAGCATGCATATATGAAATTCAGAATTACATGGTTAGACGATAAAGAAACTTGCATGGTGCTCAGTGTGGAATGGCTGCAATCAGACAATCAGGAAAATGTGTATGACAGAATATCAGAATATAGTTCATATTGAAAGAAGCGATAAAGGAGCATTATAGATTTTGGAATACATACATACATGCCTAACACAATGGGTTTTTATCTAACTGTACTAATGTCTCAGTCGCTGTCATTACTCGAAGGGTGCATTTTACTTACCTTTCAGCCTTCACTGCACCGGTCTACAGCCTGCTGGCATGCCTTGACATTCTCCGCTAATCTGATATTTTCCCATAGAAATGCATGAGAGGCAAAATGCCACACGCCTATCAGATGGCCTTTATGAGTACATCGGATTAAAATAGCAAAGGTTCACACAGCTGTTTCGTCAGAAGCGCCTATTGTGGTTGTTAGTGTGATAACCACTAAAGGCATTTAAAGCAATGTAAACATTGCTGTTCCTGTAGAACAGGAGTTGTAGGGTTAAAGCTAGAGGGGCATGGCACCCAGACCACTTTACGTCCTGTATTTGACAGGACAGTCCTTATTTTCTGGTCCTGTCCTGTGTTCGTTCTACGGTGTCCCACTTTTGGGGACACTGGGGAACTGTCCCGGTATTGATAGCACAAGCGCATTAATAGATACACTCATGCTATGATTAGGACCCTGCAGGAAGAACTGAAACTGTGCTCTCTGCAGAGTCTGCCCTCAGTGGGCTGGCCTGCATGATGGACATGCAGCCTGGTGTGTATTCATGCCAGGCTTGACCTGCCATCAACTCTGGTGGACCCACCCCTTTTCATGTGAGTCTGCCCTTTGAGCGCAGAGTTAGTGACGTGAAGATTGCTGGGCTAACCAGCCCATTGACCATTTCATTTAGTGCCATCTAGGTTGTACGTACTTGAGATTCGCAGGATGCTGGAGTTAGGTCTGCTCAGCAGGACAAATACAATAAGCTGTATTTGTTCTGGTAACTATAGTGTCCCTTTTAAATCACTCATGTTTATGTAGCACTGGTCACGTTTTCCCTGCAAGTGACCTACACTGTCTCTGAACACATTTTTTGTAAAGACAGATCTATCGTTTAAACATTACATTTTAAAATGTCTTATCTCCTGCTCTGTTGATAGCCTCCTGTGTGTGATTAAAGGTACTCTCCAGTGCCAGGAAAACAAACCGTTTTCCTGGCACTGCAGGTCCCCTCTCCCTCCCACCACCCATCCCAGGTTGCTGAAGGGGTTAAAACCCCTTCAGTGAGTTACCTGTATCCAGCGCTGATGTTGCTCGGCGCTGGTTCCGCCCACGCTCCTCCGGCGGGGTAGACCTATTGCGCATGCGTGGCCGGCAGCAGGGGAGACCTAATGCGCATGCGCGGCAATGCCGCACACGCGTATTAGACCTCCCCATAGGAAAGCATTGAAAAATATATAAAAAAACTACATATACAGTCTATATTAAATAGCATTAAATATCGTAATATTGTGACATGTTCCCTTTTTTGGAGTTCAGTCTAAAAGCACAATGCCTGACACTATGTTCTCCTGTTTTCTTGCAGAGACACCTTCATGACTTGGATTGCTGCTCGTAGCCAGGGTACACTGGCATCTGTAAAATAACCCAAGCTTCAGTGGACCCCCAGGAGAAAGACCCATTATTTTCATGGACAATAGAAATCTGGAAGATTTTAACAACTGCTCTGTACATATAATTATATGTAAAGAATGGACAAGGCGGCTGGGTTGGGAAAGAGGTCTATTCCCTCTAAATGGGGCTGGTTGTACATTAAAATAGAAGTAATCGGTGGCTCCACTGTTGGCATTTTCATTGTGTGCTGGAAGACTTTGTTTTTCCCCATTACATAGACAATGTAAGCCAGTACAAGTTTGTGCACCCAAGGATGGCAGATTATTGAAAGGTTTGCATCTTTTTTTTTTTTTGTTCTAAATACATCATTTTTAATTCGTGCACAATTCAAAAGAGCTTTTCAACTGTACAAATCTGTTGGTACCTACCTATTGGTCAGTTCCACTCTAGGAGCATTTTTCTTTGGGGGGATGAATCCAGATGACTCATTTAAATTGGGTGATTTAGATCTTATCTGCAGATATGATGGGTGAATTTAATAATGCCACAAAATGTGAGGTTCCCTATTCTTAGTAGAACATTTTGTTTTTAAGCTACCCAAGACAAATTAATCTCAATAAACATACTTATACAGTTTTGATGAAGCGTCGTGTGTCCGAGATGTCCTGGGCCTGAAGTAGAGATTTGTTTTGTAAATTTTATTTTAAATCCTAGAATGGATATATTTACGTATTGGTCAACAGCTCCCAATACATCGTGAATTACAATTTCTTCCATGTTAAACCGAATACAAATTATGGTCCTCTAGGGAACTGCACCTTTATTATAAGTAATAATTACTTCTGGGTGTTGTCCCACCACTGTGCAAGGGCTTACTAACCAGTTCCTTACCAGATAACTCATTGTTTTAGGTGCCTCTGGCACCACATCGGTTAAAGTATTACTGAAGTGTTTACAATGTTATACTTTATAATAACTAATAAAGGGTACATAAATTGAGTGACTGTTACCAGCTGAACTCAGCACTGTCTTGAATACAATTTTTCCTTTACAAGGCAGCATCTGGAGATTCTTCCTCTGTGTGAGATTGACAACATTCATTTTGATGTACTTTCCCAGGCCTGGCTGGCTTTGTGATCATGAATAAAAGCCAAATTTTAGAACAGCCGCTGATTACTTGACTGTTTTATAATCTATTCTTTGCACTTTTTGATAGACCAGTAACTCTAAGTACATATTTTGTGGTTTTGGCTGTCATTTGACAGCCATGCTTGTCCTACTTTGATAATTACATTGTATTAGAATCTACTCTCAAGTTAAAAACTTTCCCACACACTAGAACAGTTTCCAAACTTAAAGGGAAACCAAGCAATATAGCAGCGGTTGTGCTACACAGGTTTCCCTGTTGTGGTCAGATCAATTAATCTAAGAACAGATTAATGTCAACTACCATTTCAGCTACACAATGTGGAATATAAATTTCAGCAATATTAATCTCAAGTACGTACAACCTAGATGGCAGTCAATGGGACTGTTAACTCAGTAATCTTTGCCAATCACGGTTATCCAGCTTGGATGAAATTGAATGATTACCTGTGGATCCTAGGCAGCATAAGAATTACCACACACTGTAGTTACGTTGCTTATAGTGGTCCTTTAACTGTCAAGATACTATACACCAGGGGTTCTCAACGTTAGTCCTCAGGACCCCCTACCAGTCCAGGGTTTAGGGATTACCTGGGTGTGTCTAAGGTGTTTAGAAAAAAAAAAAAAAAAACCTTAGAGTCTAAGGTGTTTTTTTCCCTTTTTCTAAACACCTGAGACACACCCAGGTAATCCCCAAATCCTGGACTGGTAGGGGGTCCTGAGGACTGGGTTGAGAACCCCTGCTATACACTAAACTTGTGGATAAGCTAAAAACCACCACTAGGTTCACTTGTATGTCAGGATTGTTGTGTGTGAACTAAATACGTATTGCTGCAGAGTTTCGCGGACTTTGCTTTCAAGGCCTATAATGTATTACAGCATACTTTATTCCAGTTCATATGGCATACTAGCTAAATATGAAAAATAAAGTTATTTTGGATGATCTGATGTTTTCATTATGTCTCACAGCAGCAATGGTGTATTGGAAGTGTAATATATGGCAAGTCAACAATTCCTATCAGTCATTGCAGGTCAGTAGTGTACCCATCTTTATTAGAAGATGACAACCCAATTTTTAAAAAGTTTATTTTTTTATATGTAAAAAAAAAAAAAAAAAACAACTAAGTAGGACAGGATGTCACAGTTACTATGTGAAATCTTAATTTTGTTCCCACTTTTTCATATAAATTACTGATTGGTGTGTTTGAGCTGAATAATCCATAGAAAATTGAAGCAGTGCAGGAGTTGGTATCCTTCCTACAGGTTACGTTTAAATCCAGCAGTGTTAGACAGCTTGTTTGTGCACACCAGGCCAGTATTTTTCACATGTTCTTTGGTTTTGCAATTACTCCATCCGGATATTGCTGCTTGAATCGAGCCACCACATCTGGATCCAACAAGTGAATTCCATCCAGCTGATTTCCTAGAGTGATCCTAAATAGAGAAGAGAAGAGGATTGTTTCAGACAGTCTCTATGATCTTCACTTTGTGCACAGAAGACCACAGAGACTAACTGTTGGTTTTCAAATACTGTCTGACCCCAAGGGGGTGGTGCATTCAGCAGAAGGTTCCTGTGAATTTTTTTTTCCTTTTATAACTTGCTGGAAGGATTAGTATTAGTTTAGAGGTGACATTTGTCCTTTAAAATAGATTTGGAGAATTGACAAGAGAATTAAAGGAATACGCCCAGCAGCCTGCTTCAATTGTTATGGTACCATGAGTACCCCGACACTAACTTAGTATGTAGTCAAAAGAGAAGTCAAGCTAAAGCTGCGTTCTGAGCAGTGTTTCATCCAAACTTTACTCTAGTGCTCACCACCTGCATAGTGAATATTATAGCTGGTACCACTAAATGTGAAAGCCTGCATCTTGTTGGAATAACGTGTTTGAGCTGGGCTTCCAGAGCTTGTTATGAAAAATGGTTCCACACACTGCCTCTTATACATATCAATAGCACACCCATTCTTGCAAAAATTTCAACTTAACTGGCACCAAATACATTATTTTCATTGCTTCCAGGCTCCCTCTATGATATAATATTACAATGGTCTATTAAGGTTTCCCTACTAGCTTACTATTGTGTTATTTTCTTCATTGCTTAAAAGTGGCACTGTCATGCCGAACTTACCTTTCTTTAAATCGATTCCTCTTCTCTCCCTCTCTCAGGATCTGTTCTTCATATCTGCTCTAGTTTTCATTAAAACATAGAACAAAGTAGGAACTATTTGTCTTATGGAGGTTTCCTACACCTAACCAGCAGAGGAGCAACGTTTGCTTCATTTCCGGTGGTCAGAAATTTTCCCACAATTCTTAGCTTTCCTCCCTGTATTGCCGAACGTCCTGTCATTTAGACAGAACACTGGCAAAACTGCCGAATTGCGTCCTAACAGAATGAGAACAGTTTCTGCATTCATGTTAGGATGCAATTCGGGACTTTATTCGGATCGGAATTTAATTCTAATGAATGGAACTCCGATTCTATTCCTGCCGTGGCTGCATCTTGCAGCCGCTTAGTAGATAGCTCCCTAATACCGTGGGAATTAGGGAGCTATCTACCAAAATACTGAAAGACCTAAATTGGGCTTTCAGCCACATTTACTAATACTAAGTAAAGATTACTTAGTATTAGTAAATGCTGCCCCTACTCACTATATCGCCCTTATTGTTCTCCCCTCGGCCCCCACCCCTGAGCGGTGGATGGGGGCTATGAATAACAATAAGGGGGGGGCTATTGTCCTCTCACCCCCACCCCTGAGCATGTGGGTTGGTGCCATGAATAACAATAAGGGGAACCTATTGTCCTCCGGCCCCCACCCCTGACCTATAGACGGAACTCACCACTCAGGGGCCCCACCCACCGGTATAGCGAGTAGGGACATTCGGGAAATTTTAATACTGACCCTCATTGAGTGAGAGGGGACCTGGGGGCTTAGCACTGCTCCCTGCCATTTATTTCTTTACATTTTACAAGGAGGGAGCTCCCTCTTTGTAATAAACTGAACGAATAAACGAACACTGATATTCGGTGTTTGTTTGTTCGTCTGACATTTCTATTCATTCAAGTGTTTAACCGGGCATGTGCGGGAATTTCACAGCGCTATCTAGTGTGGGCAGATGACGTGTCCCACAGGGACTTCATCTACCCACACAAAGATGGCGGCGCCCTGAATATAGGTTGGGGCAGAAAATAAAGATTAAAAAAAATAGGGAACATGGGGAGCTTAGGGGCATTTGGGGCTGACTAGGTGGTTAGTTAGATGTAGTGGAGTCGGGAGGGGGGTTTAAAAAAAAAAAAGGGTTTTCGGCCATGACAGTGCTGCTTTAAAGGGACCCTAGTCACCAAAACAACTTTAGCTTAAAAGGACCACTATAGTGCAAGGAAAACAATCTCTTTTTCCTGGCACTATAGGGTCTTTAGTATACCCCCCCCACCCTCAGGATCCCACTGCCGCTGGACTCAAGGGGAGCTTCTCCAGCACCGGGCTCCCTCGGCACTGGGGAACTCTCCCTCTTCCGACATCAGCTCTGAATGCGCGCGCATGCAATCAGTCCATAGGAAAGCATTTCTCAATTCTTTCCTATAGATGTCAGTGTCTTCTCACTGTGATTTTCACAGTGAGAGGCACGGAAGCGTCTCTAGCTGCTGTCAGTGAGACAGCAAAACTAGAGGCTGGATTAACCCTAGTATAAAACATAGCCATTTCTATGAAACGGCTTTGTTTACAGCTGCAGGGTTAACCCTAGATGAACCTGGCACCCAGACCACTTCATTGAGCTGAAGTGGTCTGGGTGCCTATAGTGGTCCTTTAACCCCTTAAGGACCAAACTTCTGGAATAAAAGGGGAATCATGACATGTCACACGTCATGTGTCCTTAAGGGGTTAATGAAGCAGTTTTGGTGTATAGAACATGTCCCTGCAGTCTCACTGCTTAATTATCTGCCATTTAGGAGTGAAATCCCTTTGTTTATGAACCCTAGTCACACCTCCCTGCATGTGACTTGCACAGCCTTCCTTAACACTTCCTGTAAAGAGTCATCTAAAGTTTATCCTTCCTTTATTGCAAGTTCTGTTTAATTTAGATTTTCTTATCCCCTGCTATGTTAATAGCTTGCTAGACCCTGCAAGAGCCTCCTGTATGTGATTAAACAATTGTATCTCTTCTCTGTAAATTGAACATTAAAGGTACATTACATCTGATTGAAAGTGAAACCAGTTTTTTTCCATGCAGCCCGTGTCAATCAGATTAAGAGGAGGTGTGCCAAGGGCTGCATAAACAGAAACAAAGTGATTCAACTCCTAAATGGCAGTGTATTGAGCAGTGAAACCTATACACTAAAACTGCTTCAGGTGACTATAGTGTTCCTTTGAAATCCATTGAATAAAGCTGAAAAGTATTAAAACCTCAGTTTTTTTTAACTATAGTTAAAGGGATACTCAAGGCACCCAGACCACTTCTGCCCATTGGAGTGGTCTGGGTGCCAACTCCCACTACCCTTAACCCTGCAAATGTAAGTATTGCACTTTTCATAAACTGCAATATTTACATTGCAGGGTTAAGTCCTCCTCTAGTGGCTGTCTATTAGACAGCCACTAGAGGAGACTTCCGTGTTCATAAAACACAAAAACTGTTTTAAAACGACGCTGGACATCCTCACGCTATGTGAGGAGCTCCAGCGTCGTCAAAATCCCCATAGGAAAGCATTGCATGCGCATTAGGTCCCGAGACAGCGGCGCTGGAATCCGGTAAGTCACTGAAGGTGTTTTAACCCCTTCAGCAACTTGGGATGGAAGGTAGAGGGGCACTGGAGGGTCCTGCAGTGCCAGAAAAACAAATATGTTTTCCTGGCACTGGAGAATCCCTTTAAATAGGCTGAAAAGAAACCTGTGTCCATCAAGTTCAACCTTCCTTACATCTGTTTATTGCTGTTGATCCAAAAGAAGGCACAAAACCCAGTTTATAGCACTTCCAATTTTGCAACAAACGAGAAAAAAAAATTCCTTGCTGACCCAAGAATGGCAGTCAGATTTATCCTTGTATCAATAAGGTATAAATAACCCTACAATTGAAAAAAAAAATAAAATAAAAAAAAAATATCCTTAAAAGATGTTCTTGCAAATATTCATCTAGTTGCTGTCTAAACATCTGTACAGTCTCTGATAAACCAACTTCTTTAGGCAAATAATTCCACATCCTTACATAAAAAAAAAGAAATATAAAAAGAAATATCTTGCTCACATTGTATTACTTTACAGAGTTTAGGTCATCTGCAAACACATGACTTTCAATGCTTTTATCAAGATCATTTGTACATATGTTAAATAGAAGCAGTCCCAGAACAGAAGAACCCTTATTGACATCTTTTGTCCAGCTTGAAAATGTACCATTAATTGTATATCAATTCACCACAATTAGTGCCAGTAATAATAATTTAAAAAAATCTCCTGGATAATAACAGCTGAATTAGCTATAGATGTATAGTACAAGGTTGGTTAAATGGTAGATTGTCAGCTGTTGCAGATCTATAACATTCACGTTGCTTTACCAGCTGTAAGGATAGCAAAGCATAATAAGCAATGTAAAACTGCAACAGCTGGTGATAACCTTGGGCAATCCTTGACATAGTAAAATTTGCTAAAGCTGTAGAAATTTATTCTACCACATTCACTGGTGTTTAAAGTCTTCCGTTGCTTTTAAAGTATGAAAATAGAGAGATCAAACATCACCCACCAGTTTGGCTGTACATTGTGAGGGCGCCCAAATAACTCAATCTTGCGGGTTCCAGGAGAAAGGCGTTCAATCATGCCATAGATCTCATCAGGTTTGTGACTTGTAGAACGGACCTAGAAAAAACTAAATACGTTAACATGCTACAGTGAAAAAATTAATGATAAAGTAAATATTATCCACATATCACTTCCATCCTCCAACTACAGAGCTACTTAAAGTGCACCTATCATGCATATTTTAATGTTAGCCAATCCCACTTAATTCCCTCCAGAGTGTCGAAATAATATTTATGTTTTTAGCTAGTCTTATATGTCTCATGTTAATCTTTTTGCCATACTCAACTTCAGCTCTCAGCAGGGTAGATGGCACGGTCCATGAAAGGTACCCTTTACATTGGGTCTATCACTAATAGAATATTTATGAAAAAGATCTTTTCACAATAGATGCATATGGCATCTTACTGCACAAGCACAGTATAATCTATGGCTCTAACATAAATCCCCAATTGGACTCTCGCACATGGGCAAAAAAATAATAGTGATGACAGTTTTCGGGAGAATAAGTTGCCTTGTGCTGAAGGAGTATGTCTGAGGGAACTTAAGGTATGTATATCTTTTTAAGCACTGTCACTCAAGCAAACACGTCACCTTGGGGGGGTCTTTGAAAAAATTCAATGCAACTTCAGCTACAGTGCTTTTGTTTCTTACATGCATTACTGTGCAAGGAGCTTCCCGACTCTTTTATTTGTTATTTAGAATTGTGGAGATGTGCAGACATCACTACAGCTGTAAGCTCTCTCCTGCAGCCATTACCTAGCAGTAATGGTTGTGTATGGAGTGTGTACATATTGCATATATATGTCTTACAAGTGCTTTTATACCTTTCGATAACACAGCCTTTACAGCAACTGAGTGGCTTTATTAGTTGAAAAGAAAAATTAAGCTACACTTCTTGACAGCTTACAGGGTGGCTTTCCATGGAAGATTAGAGGCAGTGCACAGACACATGGATATCCACTGTCTAGACAGGCAGTCACCTATACATTTAAAAGTTAAACCCCTCCTAATACTCCTCCTCTCCTTAAGGTATAAAACCCCATCATGTCCTGATAACCCCAGAAAATACACAAACCAATTAACTGCAAAATTATATTTATTAAATAAGGAGCAAAATATGTGCACAGCCTCTACACATTTACCGTAATTCAAATTTGATCTTTTTCCTCCAGATTAGACACAGTACACTACAGCAGGGATAGACAAGCAATCTCCAAAGGATGGGAAGACATTTCACCGCAGCTTGTAGCCCAAAAACAGTTTCCTAAAAGGCCTGTATGTTTTATTTATAGTATTTGGAGAAAGTAAGTGTGAATGGACAATGTGACAAACCCTTCCCACATGAGTTTGCCATGAGCTCCTGGAGGAGCCTGCTTGCCAGCCTCCTGCCCACAGACTATGGTCCCTGAAGGGAAATCTGTAAAATACTTTTTAAATGGCTTGGTTCGTGTAATTTCCCTATACCGTTCAGGAACCGAACAACCCCTATTAAACTGCTATGTTTACACTGAGGGTTAATCCAGCCTCTAGTGGCTCTCTCACTGACAGCCGCTAGAGGTACTTCCGCGATTCTCACTGTGAGATGCTGACGTCCATAGGAAAGCATTGAGGAATGCTTTCCTATGGGTGGTTTGAATGCGTGCGGCTCTTGCCGCGCATGCGCATTTGGCACTGACATCGTCAGGAGAGGTCACCAGCGGTGAGGAAGCCCGGCGCTGGAGAAAGGCAAGTGGCTGATGGGGTTTGAACCCCTTCACCCCAGCGGGAGGGAGGCCCTAAAGACAACATAGTACCAGGAAAACAGGTTTGTTTTCCTGGCACTACAGTGGTCCTTTAATTTTGTACAGACTGTAACCTGACACTGGTGATCTAAAACAGGGGTGTCCAACCCGCGGCCTGGGACTGCTTGCCGTCTGCACTGTTGGGCATTGAGGAAGGCAGGGAGCCCTTTACATTCAGTGCTCTTCCTGGACAGCTCCCTCGTGCCCCGGGATAAGATATCATTCCGGCATCGGCATCACTGCTGGGTGCGCGAGGGACCTGGGCAGGAAAAGCACAGAGATCCCAGCCCAGCAGCAACTGCTAGACATCAAGGACAGAGGATCCATTTCAGCCCTCTCAGAGCAAGGTAGGGAGGCTGGGTGGACCTCTTAAATACTAAATGTAATTTTGTGAGTCGGTGAATATGTGTATAGGTGTGTGTCTGTGATTGTTTGTGTATGTATGTGATTGTGTGTATAGGTATCCGTTTGTGATTATGTGTGTGTATATGTATGTGCATGTATCGGTCTGGTATTGTGTGTGTGTGTGTGTGTGTGTGTGTATGTGATTGTGTTTACAGGTCTGTGATTGTATGTGTGTGGGTCTGATTATGTGTGTGTGTGTATGAATGAATGAGACTGTATGCGTGTGTGCAAGTCTGTGATTGTATGTAGGTCTGTGATTGTGTGTGTGTGTGTGTATGTGACTGTGTATATTTGTGATTGTACGCATAGGTGATTGTGTGTGTATAGATCTGTGGTTATGTGTGCACATGTATATACTGGTGTATGTGTTTAGTAGATAAGTCCCTAAATTGGTATCCTTAAACTTGGCAAGCCCACATAAGGATACCAAATAAGGGAGTCATCTATTAACACATTTTTAAAAAGGGCTTTTGAAGTTTTATTATATTATTCTGTGTTTCTTTTTTTTTTTTAAAGTAAATTTTTTTTTCAGTCAGATTATCCTTTAAAATATCATCGAATAAGAATGAGTCTTGCTTGCATACCTCTGCTACAATTACATCACAGTCCAAGCCCCTGTTGAATCCTTGTGGGTTTCCTTTAACACCAACCTGCCAACATAAAAGAAAAAGTAAAAAATGTAAACCTAAAATAGCCTGATAACAGATGCAAGATAGTTTGTAATTAGGAGCCTTATGCCACACTACTCTGATTATGAAGTAACACAAGATAAATGGTTGGGTGGCAAGTTTTTCATGTGACTTGGTAGTTGGAGAGAAAAAAAACCCCCAAAACTATACTATTTACCAGACAATGCTCTTTTCCATGGTTAAGCCAATGACCTGTACGGCCTGTTCGGATAATTCGCTGTAATTGGTTGGTTTTCACCCAAATGATTTCATCAACTCTCTCATACCTGTGTAGAATAAAATGTAGCAGATGTTATGGTACAATGAAATGTATGAATGAATAGACTCTTTTGGAAGCTTGTGGCACTCCGTCTCACCAAGCCAATATAATTCAAAACACACAAAATAGGATGTCACAGTAAAGAAAGTACAGGGAGTGGAGCACATATCCCTGAGAAAATAAAAGAAAGATTAATTGATAAAAATGTATAAATACTCACCCCCATAGCTTCAAACACTCCCGGCCTAACTCCATGGCCCTGAAAATATAAGAATATAATAATTTGATTTTCAAAATAGGTTTCTATGTAGAGAACCTGAAAACATTTGGTGACAGCGGAGGAGAAAAAAAAAAAAAAAAAAAAAGCTTTTGGAGTACCTGTATATTTTCACTGTATACAGTTTATGATTTTTCATCAATATAGGAGAGCTACCATTTTCTATTACCTGCCAGTGACCCAGAGAAAAAGGAACCCATCATCCTGTAGTACTGGAATCTGCAGCTTCCTCATCTCATCATCAGTCAGGGTCCCATATGGTAACTCCATGTGGATATCCCATGGGGGGTCAGCCATCACCACTGAGAACTTGCCCAAGATACTCATATCCAAGTAACGGATGTCACAGCGAATCCACTAATGCCCAAGGATGTCCAGAAGTCACATGGCAAAAAAGAAGCAACAATTTACTGTCTGGAAATAATTTTTCTGTATTTTAATTTTAGAAGATTGATGCTTCAAAAACCATGAACTTCTAGTAACAGCAGCCAGGTTTTAAAGTATAAAAAGTTGCACTGCTTTCTAATATCACCCTACTGGTGCAAAGATAATCAGGAAGTGCTGCAAAAGTACTGTAACTACTGGTATGCACACAAAATAAGTTTACAAATGACAATTAACAAGAACTCCATCTTATTTTAATATAAGGCAACAAAGACCCTGGGTGTTTTAAATTACTAACCTCTAAAGCAGTACTTCCCAAACTAGTCCACAATACATCCAACAGTTCAGGATTTCGGCATTTTCCAATTCTGTCCTAAAAGGGATGCTGACAAAACCTGGACTGTTTGTATGTCTTGATGACAAGGCTGAAAAACTCTGAACTAAAATACATATTGTAAAACTAGAGAATATGTTCAAGCGAGTAACTACACTTGCACAGCTTATTGCATCTTTGGAGAAAAAAAAATAAAAAAAAATAAATTGCAAACCAAAAATACACTGCTACCAACAGTTTCTCTGTAGAGAAATATGATGGTATAATGTTATGTTGAGCATTGGTTAACATTTCACTTTAGCTAGTTTCCGAATTCTGTCCATGTTTAAGACTGATTGAATTTGTAAATAAATTTCTTACCTGTGCTGGAAAGAGACGACCAACACTGGAATCTCCTACCCCCTTTACAACTGGCATGTCTTGACTTGGAGTGGAGTTAAAACTTCCTGTAGTTCCACCTGGCTCAACCCAGGCATCAATCTCATAGTGCACATATTTACAAGTGTCCATGTGGAAACAGGTGTTAAGGAAAGAGCAGTCACCCAGCGACTCATCCGTGTGCTTGTTAATAATGCGCCTGTTGGGTTAGACAGGGACATTATGGAAGACCTTCCGCAGACTTATACAGCAAATCAGTCTTTCTAAATCAAACTCTGTCCAAATAAGAAATGAAGGACCCAAGGACAAATATACTCTTATATAATATATACAAATATACTCTTCCTCAAAACATTAGATAGAGCAATAATCCCTTAAAAAATTATTTGCCACATTTCTCTTTAAAACATACCTACTACACTTCAGTATAATATTTCCTGCAGTCTTTCCTCCTAATACAACTTGCACCTCTTATTCAAAAATTGGAATCTCCATCTGCATCACATTGTTGTGGCATTGCTATCCACACAATACATATAAAAAGCAAGCAACACATTAAGACATGATTTAGTGATGAATGTATATATCACAAGGAAGACCAGCAACCGAATAAACCACTCTCCTTTGCTCTAATCCATGCTCCTCCTTTATAGTTACTGGATAGTACAGGAGAAGGCCTTGATGCAAAATTCATGAACATCAATTGCACAAAGTAGTGCTCTTTGAACATACATTTGTTAGTTAATATAAAGTGTATATTTATTTTGCAGTGTAGGTTGATAAATGTGACATGGATGTTATGTGTGTGTCACACAAGTGCAATATTGAGGCAATAAATATGGTGCTAGATGTCTGTACAGCAGATTAAAGCACTTCATCTTGGTCAAGTGCTTTATGGGTGAAGAGTCCCCTACTTTAACCCCAGTTTATAAAAGTGCTGATTTCTATTTTTAAAAAACAGCACTTTTATAAATTTACTATGGAACTACCCCTGGCTGTCAAACAGTCGGGAAGGATTCCTTCCTACTTCTGTTAGCTCTCCAGAGCTAACAGAAGTGGCATGCACGCTCTATTTGAGCTTGTCTGCCTCCCCATCCCTCACAAACCCCAGACCAGCTCCTTGGCTCCAGGTGTGCGAGCAAGTGTTCTCAATGAGAAGCCTCTGATTGGTTATTTCCCTGTGAAGAGAATAAAAAGTCTCTTCTGGGGAAAAAGGAGAGGGCTTACAAAGGTTACAGTGATAAGCATTGCAGCTTGTGTAAGCTCTTTTAGACTATACTCCCAATGAATACATACATAGAAATATACCCCAAATTAATACATGCATGCATATTTCTATGTATGTATTCATTGAGGGTATATCTACTAAACTGTTTTTTTTTTTGGAAGTGTGGAGTGGTCCTTTAAGACAGCAACATATGTTCTGTGGCTATAAGATGCGTTTAGGATGATAGATTAAATTTGTCAAGCCCTGACCTGAAGTGCAGCCTTCGACATGGAGTATCAGCTCCTGCCCCCCTCATACATTCCTCTTTGGTTCCATAGTCACAAAACTCTTGCACTTGAGCTCTTCCTCTGGACCGAAACTTCTCCACAATAGACTGCTCCTTGGCTGTGCTGGTGTTCAGAAGCTCTAAGATTTCTTGGCTTACCTGGAAAAATAAAATAGTATATTTAAAAGCATCAACTAAAATAATTTTACAATTGTAAAATAGATTTCAAGAAGAAGCATTCCATTAACTTGGTAGGGATATTGTCATGATACTCTAAGTAACCTAACCACTTAAACTTAAGAGTCCTCCTTTAAGTCTAGAACTGAAACCCCACAACTTGTCACAATTACTGATCAAGGATCACATACCAATATATGTTCAAGTACCCCACCACTCAAGGTCCTTTCACTATTGGCATGAAGCTCTAGATTAGCTGAATGTATATCCTTCCATATTCAGTTGCCCACCTTTTTGGTTTGCTGTTCCTTTGTAGATTGCTGACTGAGCAAGCTTTCAATCTCCAGGTCCAAGTTGGAAGCATGTTTTCTTGCTTTTTTCAGAGGCTCTGATGTTTTTTTTTCCCCTAATGTACTAGCAATAGAGGAAACAGATGATGAGGTTGAAGGCTCTGTTTCTTGAATTTTTCTTTTCTTAGTTCCTGGTGGATTTGTAGATGGCTTTCTTTCGGTAACAGCCCCCATCATTGCTGATAATTTGGAGTGGTCAGCAAAAGTCACCACAGTAGGTCGATCATCATCCTCCTGACCCCAACCTTTCACTTCGATTAGCTCTTGAGCAGCAAACTTTTGCAAAAGACTCTCAACTCCCTGTCTTGTAACTGGAAAGTCAGGCTACAAAAATAAATACAAAAATGCATTGGTATAACATTTGGCACAGAAAAAACTTAAGGCGACATCCAATAAAGAAGGAAAATGAATTGCAATTCAGCTGTTGACAGACTATAGCTTCCATGATACTCTATCAATTATGTAGTTCCACTAATAAACATAGAAATTGCAATCTAACTAAAAACATCTTGCATAGTTCACCCCCACACCTTGTTTTTCTATTTTTTATTCCAGTTGTTTGTCCATTAATATTTGTGAAATACTTTGAAATAAAATATAAATCGATCCAATTACTTCACATTACTTTAATTTTGTAAAAAAAAAAAAAAAAAGTTAAAAATAATTAACCTCCCCCCCACACACGACCCAATGTCCAGTGTTTGCTTACTCATGCATACATAAAACTCAATGTCCTGTATTTGCTAATATATATATATAGCTTCTTAGTAAAAATATAAATGCAGGAAGAACAATGTCTAAGTAGATGCAGTGTTGATCTTATAGAACAGGTTTCATTTTACAGCACTTACAGTAGTAATAGCAAGCTGGATGGACACAGAATCTGCAGGTAGCACAAGTGACAGGTCTGATAGATGATGAAGGAGTTTTTTTTCTAACTCTGGATCTGGGGTAACCTCTGTAGACCCACTGGGTCCCTTTGGGGTTTGAGAAGGGGCAGATGGAACAGGGCTATCACTGCGAAAGGTTGGAGTCAAACCGCCTTCTGGATTCTGAAGATCTGTGCACGAAAGAATTTACTGTACAATACAATCAAATTACACTTAGCTACAATTACTCTTGAAGAGTTGTTATTTTGCTGAGTATTTACAATCTTGTGAAGATGCAAACAACCAGTCGTCCATTGATTCTATTTTCTAGGAGTAGTCATATTGTTTTTTTCTGGAATATTTTACCACAAACTAGTTGTCACTACATTTCCTGTAAGAACTTGTATCTAGTGTACTCTACCTACTACTTCTCATTGACTTCTTTACACAACACTTTACAAACAATGTTATATTTGCATAAAAAGGCACTCTAGGCTAGTTATGACTACCCTTCCTTTTATTTCATGGTTTAAGAAATATGATGGAGAATTAAAAAAAAAAAAAAAAAGCTGAGATACAGCTGAGTATCTCTAGAGCAAAATAATAAACAACTTTATCCCTACCTCTGACCTTTGAATATCAGAGATGCTGCTAAACTATAAGCAACTCTAATCATCGCCAGCCAAAGTGTGACAGAGTGATGGTAAGTGAAACTCACAGCATTGTTAGTACTAATGCATAATTACAGAGGAATAACTGCCCTAACAAACAGCATTGTACAATATACCAAATGCCATACCTGTATACCTCTCAAGCACTCTAGCAGGATAGTCCTAACTTGGAACCCTTGTCTCACTGCATGGAGACACCTGAAAACATTGGTCAAAGCTCACATGGAGGAAGCAGAGTAAAGATGCCAATGCAAGAGTATTTCTGAATGCAACCAGGGTCATGTTTACACCAGACAGACTTCTTTTCGAGAAGATGTCACTGCTACCTGTGCACTGCATCAGTGGTTCTCAACCACTAGCCATGGGTCTTTCCGATTTCATTATACTGGGTGGTATGCACAATTTCTAAATTAACATTTCTATTGCACGGTGAAGAGTTGATGGAGTATAAATTTGTCAAGATGCTCAGACACAAAACCACCAACTTTCTAACAAAAAAACAACATAAAACAGATTTTTCCATCCCAACACCCTCATAATCCACTTGACATAATCCCACTGCTGCCCCCAGTAATGAGAGAGAGTGAGAGAGGGACTGTGTGTGTGTGAGAGAGAGAGAGAGAGAGAGAGAGAGGGACTGTGTGTGTGAGAGAGAGAGAGTGAGGGGGACTGTGTGTGTGAGAGAGAGAGAGTGAGGGGGACTGTGTGTGTGAGAGAGAGAGAGTGAGGGGGACTGTGTGTGTGAGAGAGAGAGAGTGAGGGGGACTGTGTGTGTGAAGGGAGAGAGAGAGAGAGGAGGGGGTGTAGAGAGAGAGAGTGGGACTGTGTGTGAGAGAGAGAGAGGAGAGAGGGACTGTGTGTGAGAGAGAGAGAGGGGCTGGTGTGTGAGAGAGATGAGAGGGGGACTGTGTGTGAGAGAGAGAGAGAGAGAGGGACTGTGTGTGAGAGAGAGAGAGAGAGGGGACTGTGTGTGTGAGAGAGAGAGAGAGGGGGACTGTGTGTGTGAGAGAGAGAGAGGGGGACTGTGTGTGAGAGAGAGGGACTGTGTGTGAGAGAGAGAGAGGGAGTGTGTGTGAGAGAGAGAGTGAGGGACTGTGTGTGAGAGAGAGAGAGTGAGGGACTGTGTGTGAGAGAGAGTGAGGGACTGTGTGTGTGTGAGAGAGAGTGATGGACTGTGTGTGTGTGAGAGAGAGTGATGGACTGTGTGTGTGTGAGAGAGAGTGAGGGACTGTGTGTGAGAGAGAGAGAGTGAGGGACTGTGTGTGGGAGAGAGAGAGTGTGAGGGACTGTGTGTGGGAGAGAGAGAGTGTGAGGGACTGTGTGTGAGAGAGAGAGTGTGAGGGACTGTGTGTGAGAGAGAGAGTGTGAGGGACTGTGTGTGAGAGAGAGAGTGTGAGGGACTGTGTGTGAGAGAGAGTGTGTGAGGGACTGTGTGTGGGAGAGAGAGAGTGTGAGGGACTGTGTGTGAGAGAGAGTGAGGGACTGTGTCTCTGTGTGTGTGTGTGTGTGTGTGTGTGTGTTTTGTTGTTGTTTTTTCCAGGTTAGTGGGAGCAGCATGTGCAGTGTGTGTGCCATTACCCAGGCCAAGCTGAGAGGTGGCATCCTTCCTCCTGCGCTGCAGCCTCTCTCGCAGGTAGTCCAGCTGCTTCTTGTGAGCCTGGATGGAGCTCCATGTATCTGACATTGTGCTGCTCAGCCTCCAAGCTGCCACTACAGGGGGCAGTCAGCGTAGCACAACAAGACACCTCCCTGTGTGCTGCTCCTGGTTACAAATCAATGTATCCAAATATCGCCACTGAAATCCTGCTACTGCTCAGATTCCCTGTATCCATCTAGCAAGTCTGTCCGACATTCTATTCCTTCCCTGTTTGTTTCCCCAGTCCCTCTCTCTCATTGGCCAAGGCTAAGCGCTGTTGCATTCGGTCCTTTGCTTCTTGTTCCCCTACTTCCGGTTGAATCCGTCGCCATCTTGAGTACTGGCAAACGAGCCAGACTTGCAGCTATTCGGAGGCAGTGGACGACGACTAGTGGTAACATGTGGTAATAACAAATATTATCGGTGGAAAGTGTCGCCTGAATCTTGATGAGAAATATATTCAGTATTACTAAAAGGATCTAAGATATCCGATATTTTAATACATATATAGATTCACTGATAAAGATGCAATGGAGCGTAACTCCTGTCACTCTCAGGCAGGCAAATCTGACAAACAATGACAGCAGTTATAGCTAAGGGTGTCATGTCCCAGTTTTTTGGGCACATATAATTTTATCATGTTGATTGCCAGCACACATGGGTAGAGAAATGGGCGGGGACAAACTTTTGCTGTATATTTTAGTAAATCATTTACAATTATGTTGCTATTCGGTAAGATTCATCTGCAGAAGGTGGTCATATTTTTTAAAACTTACAGGATACACGTCCTGAATATCCATGGAGGCGCTGAGCATTCTCCATTGAGAGGCATTGATTCAATGGATCTCCATGATAAGATGCTGATTGGTGAGGCGATTGGGCCAGCCGCAACGAGACCAGCGCGAAAGGTAATGGAGAAAAGGTAAGTAAAATCGCCTTTAAAGGGACACCATAGTCACCAGAACAACTACAGCTTAATACATTTGTTCTGGTAAATATAATCATTCCCTTTACGCTTTTTGCTGTGAATACTGTCTTTTCAGAGAAAATGCATTGTTTACATTACTGACGTGTAATAACTCAACTGGCCACCCCTTAGATGGCTGCTAGAGGCAGGGCCGGTGCAAGAATTTCTGCCACCCTAGGCAAAGATCCATTTTGCCGGCCCCTCATGTCACTCACTCGCTGACAGACACACACACTCACTGACAGACATACACTCACTCACTGACACACAGACACACACTTACTGACATACATACACTCACTCACTGACACACATACACTCACAGACAGGCACACACACAGGCAGACACTCACTGACTGACAGACATACACTCACTCACAGGCAGACACTCACTGATAGACAGACACTCACTCACTGACAGACACATACACAGGCAGACACTCACTGACATACATACACTCACTCACTGCCTCTCTGTGAGAGGTGGCCAGAGAGTCAGGTGAGAAACAGCCTGTGCCAGCCCAGCCACCCCTATCACCCCCTGCCATCCACCCTCCGTCAGTCCTATCATCCTCTGCCAGCCAAGCCACCCCCATCACCCTCTGCCAGTCCAGCAACCCCTCTCACTCTCTGCCATCCACTGCCATACATACACTCCCTCACTGACAGACACACACACACACATACATACTGACAGTCAAACACTCACACACTCACTTATACACAGACTCAAACATCCAGCCTCCCTACCTTCCTGGGGTCCAGTGTGGGGCAGCTCCTCACTCCAGCGTGCCGTTTAGTAGTATGACATCATATTCCAGCTTCCAGAATCACAGAGGGAGCGCAAGGGAGGAGTTAGAGGCTGCAAGAACAGCCTCCCTCGCCGCCTGCCTTCTCCGCCCCCCTCTCCTCCTGGTCACTGGCATTTTTGGCAGAGCGGGCACCTGCCATCAAGGTAAGCAGGTGCCTGCTCTGCCTTACCTAACGCACAGCTTTAGGGGTGGCCATGTGGCCACCTCCTGGCCGCCCTGTGACAGGGCGTCTTGAGGATTGGCCCAGCGCTAGGGGCGGCTTAAGAGCCACTCACCCAGCGCTGCGGCCCCAGACAGGGGCAGGCAGCCCACTAGGAAATATCCCGGTGGGTGCCCCCAGCAGACCCGCGCCCTAGGTGAATGCCTAGTTCGCCTAACGGTTGCACCGGCCCTGGCTAGAGGTGCTTCCTGGTGCAGTGTTGAAGAGTAAGCAGCACTGCCATTCAGTGTTTACACCCTCTGAATGCAGACACTGAACTTTCCTCATAGAGATGCATTTATTCCTTTTATCTCTATGAGGAGATGCTGATTGGCCAGGGCTGTGTTTGACTTGTGCTGTCTCTGCCCCTGATCTGCCTCCTTGACAGTCTCAGCCAATCCTATGGGGAAGCACTGTGATTGGCTCAGACCACCACTTCTGATTATGTCAGCAGACAGAGGCAGTGCACAGGCAAACACAGTAACTCTGACCTAGACATACATGAAGTAGTCTAGACACATGGAAAATGTTCACCTTTGATAAAACTATTTTTCCTGTGCTTTATGTGGTGTTCCAAATATCAGAATTCAGAGATCATCCAAGTCCTCATCATCAGGATATAAACCAGACAAGGACAAGACACAATAAATAGTGCATATAATAGGCATCCTCGATAGGTCTGAAACATGGATGCAGACCCAGGTTATGGACACAGACCAAGATGAATACATCCTCATATATTGTTTAGTACAGTTTAGTAACATTGTAATTCTATAAGTGAGCACCTCTTTCTGCTCTTGATTTCCAGCAAAGCTCTACTACTAACAAATAACATAAAGTTCAACTGAAATGTCTGAATTGCAGAAATTCCATCTAATAGAAGGGTTAATATTAACTTGGAGATGGTGCATTGATGAGAACAAGCAGTAGTACGCACAATTCCTACCTGTATAAGAGAGGCCTGGCCTGGCTACAGCATGTCCAACCAGAGTTTCTTTCCCAATGCTTGCATCTTCACTCTTCCTTTTGTGGCTTTGGTTCTAATTGCTCTACTACTACTATAGGAATCATCACTCTTGCCTTCTTTAAGGGGAAGCATCTGCAGGGTCCTTTCTGTGTTGATTGTTTTCTTTTTTTTTTCATCCTGCAGTGCTCTTAAAGTAAAGTAATCAAGCTGTTCATCAAAACATGATTACCCAACATGCCTTCCCAACTTCATCAAAACCACTAGCCCCTTTACCCCAGGCAAGATATAAACTCTCAGCACTTATACAAGGGGACGGGGCTCAGCCATTGCTTTATTTAACAAAAAAGCAGCACTGTCACCTGTAGCGTCTTTTCAATTTTTGCAAAGATCCAGCAAGGTGACATGTCAACTATGTGGATATGGCAAGGGGGAGCAGATAGGAAAATATACTCACCTTAAGCGGACCGTCGTTGGGAAATAGCAATGTAAATAAACTCTGCCTTTTAACAGAGATTATCAAAGATAAGCCTCAAGTGTCCATTCCCAAGGGGGGAAATTTTTCCCTCTCAAGGGCTCAACTGTCACTCGCCATTGTACGCCATTAATTATGAAGGGAATGTCAAATAAAGATTATATCTTTATGAAAAGCTCAAAAGTGACAGAGACACTATGACATAGGTATTCACTGCCTGCTGAAGGATGCTAGCCCCACAGACAGGTATAATCGGCTTTGGGTTTGGTCCCGTCTGTACTTTGTGGCGGAACTCCCTCTCCCAATGCTTATCCATCAGAGCTTGCTCACGTCCAGGCACTAGTTAAATATATGAATACTCCCTTACCATAATTACCACTATGGGCTAAGATGTTCCTTCTGTTTTTTTAGAGCTTCTGTAATCCCGTGAGAACTATGTCACCTTCCAGAAATACTAACCAGTAGGTACTTTAAAGGTATCTGTCAATCCATCATCATGAGACAGTATTTGTAGGATTGGTAGTTGTGACGAACCGAACCTCATCACGGGTGCTTGGAGGGGCCTGCTGGCCAACCTCTTGCCAAAAGACTACAGGCCAAGTCAATGACTGTTAAGACCCATATTTTATTCCCACTGGTTCCCCTGGTTCGGCACTTTCCATAGAACCGAATGCTAGCTCCCTGGCGGCCGATCGCATGGACCAAAACCGCAAATAGACTTCAGGGGGACTTAGCCGCGAATGCCCTGAAACATTTTTCGGCATGAAGGCTTCGCAGTTCCCGGTTTGTCCGATTCTATGGAACTATTTTTGGCATGAAGAACTTTGCAGTTCCCGGTCGGTCGCCAGCGGCACTTAGCCGCGATTCTATGGAATCGTTTTGGGCAAGTGTGCGGTCGGTAAAAACTATGACTTCCAGGAAATTCCTGAACCCCTGAACTGATCTGGGTGATTTTTGGATATGTTGGTCTCCCAGATCAGGGTTATCAGGTGATGTAACGTTTGTGGTGATTTTATGTGTTTTAAGGTATTTTGGGGGTTTGTAAAAATGTGAGGTTTTTGTGTTTGGAGATAATTGAGTTTAGTATAGTGCTTGACTCAATTATCTCCTAAGTAAAGAGGAAGGCTTATTGTTTTGTATATGGGAGTGTCATGCATTGTAACACTGTTCTTATTGGTCTGTGACTTTGTAACAGATGCCCCACAAGGTCTATGTGGGAGTGCCCCTTGCATAGGGATTGTCATAAAAGGCCAAGTGTGCCATTAAAATCAGTACCTCTTCAACGTCAACATAGAGCCTCGTCTCATGTGTGGAGGGGACAGTTATATTCACTCTGGGGATTGCTATACTCATTATACTACCCTGGGTTCTAATCACTAGCTCTTATAAGAGCTGTTCCTGCTATACTCTCTGGAGTAGGAGAGGTTCACGCACTGGAAGCTGGATCCTGGTCTTCTGTCCAGGGTGGGTGGAGGACGGCGAGATCCCAAACCAAGCTGCAGCGGTTTGGGGGAATCTACAGTGCTGATGGTATCTGGTGGAGTGCTTGGAGTCCTCGATGAGCACTAGAAGCATTGATTGTCGGAGGTACCCGGTCGGGGTGCCAGGCGGTCCGTCACGTTATTTCTGTATTGTCCAGACTCATAAACTGACAAGACAGCTCTTTATCTACCCAGTCTCATGTAAATATAGTTTCTATTTGCACTATTATGTACCATCATTTTTCAAAGCAAAATAGATTGTCATGGTGATTTTAGTTTCACTTTAAAGCACACCGATCACTGCGATTATTTATTACTTCTCTGCAAACACCCATCCTTGGTAATATGGTTGCTCCTAATATCCTGGGTTTGGGGTTTAGTTCAATGAGCACCGACTTTGTAGTGAAATGAAAATTGAATTGAACTGCAAAATCAAGGCAAAAAAGTTTATTTGAATAAAAAGAAGGGGGAAAAAAAAACTATTTCCCAAGTCATTCACTGGAAACCCCATAATCTTTTAATGTTTTCCTCAACATCTGGCAGATGAGGCTGTAAGGAGCTTTGCCACTTTTAAGCTTTCAGGTCTGAGATAAAGTAATAAATGGGCATCTATGAATTTATTTGACTGCAGGATCTAATCCAGATATTCTTGCCTAAGCACAGAATAATACCACAGAGAAGATGTTTCACATTCATCACTCAGAATAACCAATGGGGAAAAAGCTAATTTGATCAGTTGTCTTTTATCAGTGTTTAGAATGTGTTAAAGTTTAAAGGAACCTTATATAAAATTGTATTGCCATAGTTCTCCTCTGCCTCCACTGTCCGCCGACCTAGTGATTATAGGGTTTAAAAAAAATTGCTAACCTCTTTCTTACGCCAGGGTCCCTGAGTACTGGCTTGATCTCCTCCTCCCGCGATGTCACATTAATGTGGGAACCTAATGTACATGAGCAGTGAGTACCGCATGCATTAGACCTTCCATATAGGAAAGCATTGAATCAGTGCTTTCCTATGGGGATTTTAAAGACACTGGACGTCCTCATGCAAAGAGTGAGGATGTCAACGTCGTTTCACAGAGTTAAAAGCCAGAATGCTCTGAAACTGCAGTGTTTTACATTGCAGGTTTAAGGGAACAGAGACACTGCACTCAGACCACTTCAATGAGATGAAGTGGTTTGGGTGCCTATAGCGTCTCTTTAAACGAAATTTCAATATATTGTGTGAACAGTTTTTAATCAAGATTAATGTAGAGTGGTGGTACAGTAGGTGAATTATACAGTCATTATAAATGGAGGTATAACAGTGGATTGATAAAAGTAGGAGCATGCTGCCCTAACAAATGTACAGTCTCAAGACATATTTCTCTGCTCCCAATGTAGAAACAAACAAAACATTAGGAAACTGATTGACGTTTATAAACACATATATTTTATAGAGGTTTATACACTAAACAACAATTGCAGTTAATTGAAAATTGACTTGCAAAACCACCACAAAAATAGCTGATCTGTAAAAATCAAATAGCTATTCTAGACTAAAAGTTGCAATTTGGTTTTAAAATCACAACAGGTTGGTGTTTAGTGAATAAACCCCAAAATAGCCTCAGTTGTAAAAATGTATATGTCATGTCATGTTTTTTTTCCTTTTTGTTCTATGTATAATACCTTTTTATTTTTATTTTTCTTGTACCATGTATACATTCCCAAACAAAATATGTCAAATGAGAAACACAGATACATGGAGAATGCGTGCCTGGACTCTTTACACATGCAGTTGTTGTCAGGTCTTTACTTCCCTCACACACAGTGGCTCGCTAGCGTCCTTTTCAATAAAGCACTTTATTTCAAACAGGTGACCTGCTTTACTTCAGTTCACAATGTTCCCTTTTCCATTCCCACGAATTCCTTTGGAGAGGTTTACACAAAATTTGCATTCATTTCTTGGTCACCCAAGACTGTTATATTGTTCAAACCCCCAAGGATTTTCTTTCTTTACATGTTTTTCCTTCTTTCTTTGTCTCTCTGTTTCTACTTCACTAATTCCCCCCTGCACCCACCCGTCTACCCCCTCTCCTATTAATCTCAGATTGCTTAGTGGTCAGAGAAACTCAGGGGAACAGAGAGTATGGGATCTTGTGTGCTTAGTAAGAGTATAGGGTTTGATCATATCCAGTGTTGCCACTTATTTTATGTTTCTTTGATACACTGGTTGAGTGTTTTTTGTAATGATAGCTTACTTAATATATGTCAGTGTGCAGTGATAAGACTGTTTGGATGTGTAAGAACATGTAAGGGTTGATTCACTAAATAGTGAATTGTGATGAAATGAAAACTTTATTGCAGACTTCAGGCTTATGTGTAGCAATTGTGGCCACAGTCGTAATGTGGCTAATGCTGATTATTATTTATTTATTAATACTCTACAGTTTTAGAGTAGGGTTATTTGTATGTTAAGTCATTAACATACAAAATAATATTGACATAGGTGAAGGAGGCCCTGCTTACAATCTGGGAATCTAAAAATGGGCATTTGTTATTTTTATAACCAGGTAATATTTTTTTTCTTTAAATTTCTGATTTTTCTTTGTATCAGCATCATCCTTGGTTTAGCTACAATGGGTGAAAAATCAGCAAGCTGCAGCAAATTGACAACAGGATCTGTTGATCCTACAAGGTGGATGAATATTTATTAGAACATTTATTGTTTTTGACAAACACATGGTCCTCATCCTCTGTATTTATTAACTATATAAAACAATGGTGTCATATTTATTGTCTCATTACATTATATATATTGGCAAAGATGCAGAAAAGCATTCTGAAGTGCAGAACCATATGACAGAGTTACTACATTCATTGTTAAAGGAACACTATAGTATCAGGAATACAAACTTGTATTTCTGACATTATAATGTTAAAAATACATTTTAGGTATCCAACCCCTTACCCCTCATAGAAAAAAAAAAAGAAAACTCATCTTATATCCAGCGCTGCGCAGATTGCCGCGACTGAACCGATCTGCTTGCTTGGCTGAGATCATCAAAATAGGAAAGCAATAAAAGACTATTGGGCATGCGCAACAAAACGCTACACATGTAAGTGGCTGCCACTAGTTGGTGTTAATAGGCAGCAATGTAAATATGGCCTTTTCTCTGAAAGGCAGTGTTTACATTAAAAAGCCTGCAGACACATGCCATACACACCAGAACAACTACATTAAGCTGTAGCTGGTCCGGTGACTATAATGTCCAAATAATTTAGAAAAGCTATTCACAATCCAGGGTTCAGTCACATTATCAATGGAATATAAAATACAATATTCGGTTTTCATTATACACAATGCAGCCATGAAGTATGCATATTTTTTTAAAGCGTATGTCTGAAAGGCTATCACCCTGATCAAAGGAAATATTACATGTTGGTTTTAATTTAGTTTATTCCTTTTCAAATGTTGACTTCAAAGTCACAGCCAGGTTTCTCTTAAAAGGCAGTGTTTACATTAAAATGACTGCAGGGACAGGCAATAGATACCAAAACAACTTTATTAAGCTGTAGTTGTTCTGGTGACTATAGTGTCCCTTTAATGTACATGCCAATTGTTCATATTAGCCATATTTAAATCTCTACTTGCACTAATGTGTCAGTTTGAAATAGCAAATTTTTATGTTACAGATTAAATTACCCTTGACTTTTGTAAATTATGTTTATCATATGCATTATAAATCTTCATTGTTATATATATATATATTTTTTTTAGCTATGTATTAGCTTGCATGATGAATAAAAGAGACCACTATGTAGGGGTGGGTGAGGAGAGACCACTATGGAAGGAAGGCGTTGAAGATGATACCACTATGGGGCATAGGGGTGGTGGTAAGGAGAAATCACTAATGGAGGTAGGGGGGTGGAGTAGAGAACACTAGGGGGTGGGGGGAGAGGAGAGACCACTAGGGGAGAAGGGGTGAGGAGAGACCACTAGGGGGGGAGGGGGAGGAGAGACCATTAATGGAAAGAGGGGGAGAGGAGAGACCACTAAGGGAGGGGGGTAGAGACCACTAAGGGGGAGGGGGAGAGGAGAAACCACTAAGGGACAGGTGAGGAGAGACACTAAGGGGCAGTCGAGAGCTCTAAGGGACGGAAGGGAGAGCACTAAAGGACAGGGGGCAGGGGAGAGCTCTAAGGGACGGAGGGTAGAAGGGAGCTCTAAGAGACAGGAGGGGAGAACTCAAAGAGACAGGAGGGGAGAGCACTACAGAAAAGGAGTCAGGGAGATCACTTGGGGGGGGCAGGGTTAGAGGCGAGACCAATATGGAACAGGGGTGAAGAGATCAAAAACGAACAGGGGATAGCTTTAAGGGTTGGGAGGGGAGAGCTCTAAGGGACAGTGGGGCAGGGGAGAGCAATAAGGGAAAGGGGCAGGGAGATCACTAAGGGACAGGTGAGATCACTAAGGGACAGTGGGGCAGGGGAGAGCACTAAGGGACAGGAGGGGAGAGCTCTAAGGAACAAGAGGAGAGAGAAGCTGAGGAAGGAGGGAAAGAGAAGCACAAAGGGGCTGGTAGGACTCAGCCCCTATCCTACCCCACAAACTCTGTCACACCAGAGGCGTAAGTAGAAACCACGGGGCAACAGTGCAAAAATTGCCCTAGGGCCCCCCCATACATCTACCTCTTACCCCACACGTCCCTGCCCCCCCCACATGCAGACACATACATACACAAACACAGAGACCAGTGGCGGATCCAATTGCCCCGTTGCCCCCCTCCCTCCCCCCGGACCCGCCAATGACAGAGACCCATACATACAGACACATGTAGAGACACACACATACACTCATATACACACACTCAGACATATACACTCGTACACTCACATACACTCAAAGACACACACACTCACAGACACACATAAACTTACAGACACACACATTCACAGACACACATACACTTACAGTAAAAAATGAGAAACCAGCGCACTCCCTATCTACTAAACAGCTACTTTTGTGCTGACAGATTTTGTAAGTTTTATTAAAAACTCCTAATCTTGGCAAAAAACAATGGGGATTTAGTTACATTATATGATCATACATTGCATAAGCCTGCCACAACGTCAATGTACCCCATATACGGCAGGTCCTACTCTAACTGCCTAATGTCTGCTAAATGAGCTACTCACTCGGGAAAATCCTCTCGAGTTCTTTGCAGTACAAGGCCAAATAGGATCCTGAGATGAGGTACATTTACACATACACTTACAGACACACACACTCACAGACAAACACATACACACACACACACTTACAGACAGGGGTGTATTTACCCCGAGGCAAACAAGGAATTTGCCTTGGGCGGCACTTTCTGGGGGGCAGCAAAAAAGCCGCTCCCAATTGCCCTGGCAAATGCCTTGCTAGCCTCTTGTCCTGGGTGACCTTAGGGCCCCCCAAGCTGGCAGCGGCGGCAGTTTCCAGGCAGACGGCGAGGGAGCACTAATCCTCCTGTTCAGCGTCATTCCGGCTCCGACATCACTACGCGGTGCGAGGGAGCTGAGCAGAGAGCTCAGGGGAAAGTGCTCCCTCGCTGACAGCACTGAACGGCCGCCCAGCAACCCCCACTGGACCCCGGGGAAAGTGTTAATCCACCCCAGCATTCCCAAAGGTATGGAGGATGGGGGGATTGAATTCTACAAAAAAAAAAGTGAGTGTGTTAAAGTGTGTGTGTGTCTGTTAGTGAGTGAGTGTGTGTATGTCTGTGAGTGAGTATGTGTGTGTCTGTGAGTGAGTCAGTGTGTGTCTGTTAGTGTGTGTGTCTGTTAGGGAGTGTGTGTCTGTTAGTGAGTGTGTGTGTGTCTGTTAGTGAGTGAGTGAGTGTGTGTGTGTCTGTGAGTGAGTGAATGAGTGTGTGTCTGTTAGTGTGTGTGTGTATGTCTGTTAGGGAGTGTGTTACTATGTGTGTGTCTGTTAGTTTGTGTGTATCTGTTAGTGAGAGTGTATGTGTGTCTGTTAGTGAATGTGTGTGTATTTTGAAGGCGGGGCCAGGGTTAAGCAGGGGGGCGGGCGGGCGGAAGGGGGCGTCTGAGTTTTGTCATGCCTAGGTCAGCACAAAACCAGGATACACCACTGCTTACACACACACACTCACAGACACACATACACTTACAGACACATACACTCACAGACAAACATATACACTTACAGACACACACACTTACAGACACATACACATTCAGACACACACACACACACTTACAGACACATTCAAATTCACACACACACACACAAATTATTAATATTAAATGTCCACCCAGCCTCCCTACCTGGAGAGCTGGTGTGGATCTGTCCCTGGTGTCCAGTGGGGCTTCAGTGCGGCGAGCGGCAGAGTTTCTGTCAGATGCGGCGATGGAGCTGTGTTCTCTCTGCTCTGCTCCCTCGTGGGCTGTCTACTGATGCCGGGAGCTGGAATATGACGTCATATTCCGGCTCCCGGTATCAGTAAACAGTGCGTGAGGGAGCAGAGCAGAGAGAACACAGCTCCCTCGCCACATCTGACAGGAACTCAACCGCCCACCGGGGGTTCCATTAGGTGGCCAGTGGGCCACCTCTGGGGCCCCCCTATGACAGGGGGAACACGAAGGGGGCGGCTTCTAGTGAGGGGCCCAGTCACAACTGCGACCGTGGTAGGTACGCCACTGTTTCACACTACACACACACAATGCATCCCTCTACATACACAGACCACACACTATGCATCCTTTACACACAGAAACACACAATGCATCCATTACACACACACAATGCAACCCTTACACACAAAGACAATGCACCCCTTGCACACATACACAAAAACACACAATGCATCCCTTACACACACTGAAACACAATGCATCTCTTACACACACTCAATGCACCCCTTACAGACACACACACTGCATCCCTTACATACACAGAAACACGCCTTGCATCCTTTACACATACAAACACAGATTCTCACAATGCATCCCTTACACACATCCAGAAACACACAATACATCCCTTACACACAAACACACACTGCTTTCTATCCCTTACACACTGCATCCACTACACACACAAACTGCATCACCTACACAAACTGGTATACCTATACACTACATTCCATAAGCACACGCTTTAGATCCTTTACAATAACTCATCCCCTACACACTCCACCCCCTGTGAGAGAAGTCATGGATAGAACATGTAGGTAGACTTATGGGTGTCCCTTATGGGCATACTCACCGTCAGGCCCTGGGGCCCAGACCTTGAGCTGTGTAAAGGGCCCCAAAAAATGGAGCTGCTTCCCATTCTCCCAGAACATTGATTTTTGTGACCACAGTTACAAACAGTCACCAGAGAGCCTGTTCTACACCAGTTTAGCCAGACTGCAGCCAGCGCCCATCATCATCCTCATCTGGTTGTAAGTAGGCAATCTAGTATATTATTAGTGACATTAAGCTCTAATTTACCTCACATTAAAGGGACACTGTAGTCCCCAGAACCACTGCAGCTTAATGAAGTGGTTCTGGTTTCTATAGCCTGTCCCTGCAGGCTTTTTAATGTAAACACACACTGTGTGCAGCACTGGCGTTAGTTCATATGGTAGATCATATGGATGGGGCATTGTGATGTCACATGGGTGGGAGGGCGGCAAACTTTTCTTTTGCCTAGGGCGGCAAAATTCCTTGCAACTGTCTCACACATGCAGCACCCTGCACTCCAAAATCCCAATGCACCTTTGAATAATGCAGTGAGGCTGTAACCCAAAACTCCTGTATGCTAGTGACCGAGGAGGCGATTGCCCCTGTCACCTTTCACAGCTACCCCCTTGTGGCAAAGTGTGAAGTAAACAGGGTACTCTACACTATAAACTTCAATTTGTGCAATGAGCATTTCTTCAAATAAATGTCAGTATTAGTGCTGCAGAGTCCAGTTTGGGTTCACAAATCATTATGTCCCATAGTATTACAGGTGCAGAGTTATACGGGTACTAAGTGCCACATTTGCAGAAAGAGCCTAATCTGCACTATTGTACTTTCAGTTTATGAGAGTATTGGAGCATTGGCATGTTTCTATCTTTTAATATTAACCACTTTCTGGTGCTTTGCTGTTTACATCCTTAGCAGAACATAGAAAATTCATTAACATTTCATATGCAAAAAGTGGGGGACATTTGTTTTAGGTGTATAACTGGAGGTGCGTTATGGGGATGGGCTTTTTGTGTTTTGTTAACAGAAACAAGTTTGTAATCATGTTTACTGTTTTTTACAGCATCGCTGTCACTTATAGGGTGTCTGCATCTTTTTAAAAAACTGCCCCCACCCTCAGTTGACACGTTCGATGCATGGTGAGTTGGAGAAGTAAGATGTCCTTACTTGAAGCTCTCTCTTCTTGAGTCACAGTCTTTCTCTCTGAAGCTTATGCTTCGAAGAACATGAACAACTTCTGATTTGCACCCCAGTCCGGTCTGCTTCGATTATTTTGTTGTTTCTTCTTCTGTTAGCTTAATTAATTTCTGTGTTGGTATCTACACAACCTCCTTCTCTGATAGTATTCTAAGATAATATGCAAAGTTGTTACCGAACACAATATATGAATTTTCAAACATTGCAAACATTGGTGGTGTCTGTGTGTGTATATAGTTCTTCAAACCTCATAATAAACTACAAGACTGAATGTTTAGAGGTAAATGTTCAGTGTAGTGTTTTAAGGTAGTACCAGGGTTAAAGACTTTACTGTAAAAATGCATGACCCAGTACTGCCTGATCTTAGTTGGAGTCACAGTGCTGGGCAACTACTGTTGTTTCAACTATGGAATGTAATTTCTATTAATTTTGGGCAGACTGGGATATGTATATCCTAGTTCTCCCCAAAATTAGTTCCCCTAGAAAACACAGAGGTGATCTGTATGTTATTCCTTGTTCCTTACGGGGAATAATTGCATGGATGATGTCACCATCTGTGCAGTATGGAATTTTCAAACATGATCAACTCATTGAAATAAATATACAGATAATCTAAAAATATAGGCTTCCTATTAGTTATAATTCCCCATAAGAATCTCAAAATATTACTTACTGCCACTCATCTGCAATGCACTAGAACTACAAAGATTGGATATTTTTGAATGTTTTCAGACATTAGACACTGGCCATTGGGGTTTTGAGATCACTAAATGGGTATTCCAAATTTGCTTAATAAACTATAAAGAATATAAAACTTTAGCACTGTTATTTAGATAAATCTAAATGCATATCTTCTTTTTTTTAAAGAGAGGACAAGCACAGGTGGATTAAAAAAAAACCTTAAAAAAAAAACTTGGCAAGAACTGGTGTGAAGAGGGATCGGGGTAAACTAAAAAAAAAAAAAGAGACAAAGAGGAAATGTTCACCCAACTGCTTTAAAGGGATTAAGACTGGGCTCAGTTGGCAGGAAGTATGGCTGAATAGAGGAGGGGAGGCCAGCTGGTCTATCAGTGGGAGATATATGTGCTGTGAGCCGAGCAAGTCAAACATAATCGCTTAAATAATATTATCTGTAACCAGGAACCCTTGATCCCCTCTTCTCCAATATGTGAAGAGAATGAACAGTAGACATAAGCTCAGCTGCTGTGATGCCTGAAAATTAAAAAGACAGGCTCCATGGAAACTTGCCATCATTATATATGCAGCCACTATGAACTCCACACTCCCAGCTTCGTCCTTTTAGATGACATTGAGATGTACTTTAAAAACTAAAGCTGTACCATTTACACCAAACAATAGAAAACCCCAGTACATTTACCCTTGGATTTTAGCAATATGTTTATCTCTTGCACGTTATATATAATTGTATATTACCATCCTCTACTGGTATCACTTGTTATAATTACCCGGATAGATTCCTTTGACCGTTGACCCTGCACATTCCATTGTGGTACCCAAACAAGTTGCTCCCCTTTTTTTTTTGCAAGACTTGTTAATGTTATGTTTAATCACATGTCTCCAACCATTAGTGATATTGCTGTAATATTGACAGTTTTCATAAGGAACTTTCTTAGAGGGGACAATCAACAATTTTTGTTAAGCCTTTGGTGGATCTATTTTCTTTAGCGGATAATGGAAATAACAGTGTAACAGTGGATTACTCATGAGAAGTTTATTCAGGCATTCTCAGCTATTATTTTATATGAATTGTTATTGAGCAGTTAGTAAATAAGTTGCAAGTACCTCTCCAGTTGTTGACCTCCCATGAATCGAGGACTACAGAATTTGTAGTTTCTCAGCATTTACTTGTATGCTAACTATAGTTTCCAGAACTCTCACCACCTTCTTCGTTGAGATGCAAAGTGTAGACCTATTGCTTTAGTGTTTAAAATATATGCTTTATGTCTGGTGGATATAGCCAAAGTTAAGTTAGACAAATTCTCCAGCACAAATTTTGTTTTCTAACTCGGCTAGATTAAGGTACATTTTGCAATTCACTTCCGTTTCTTGTTTATTAAATAATCTTTTTTAAACTCAATTTAAAATGCAACAAAATGCAACAACAATCTGCTGTATTTTTTTACCCTTTAAATTTATTAAGCATGAAACATTTGATGTAAACTATCTGAACACCTGGCTAGTGTCTCCAAAAGGTTTGTGCTATCCTAGCACACCCAACAATATCCCATATACATCATCCATGTTAGGAAGATATTTCACAGCCTACAAGAAGAATACACGAGGGTAAAGCAGATGAAACATGTCTTACTATTTCAATCTGAGTCTTGAAAGCATGAACACAGAGTTAACACATGATTACAAGGCCCAGAGTAACACTAGTGTTTGTTAATATGAGTGATTGATCATAGTATGGGTCAAAGCATGCATGGGACTAATGATTTAAGTAATGGCTTCATCTCTACTACTTCACTAACAAAAGCCATTTTGATGCCTATAACACACGATCTTAACCAGTAACTTGGGTGATTAACTTCTTGAAGAACCAATAACGGTCAATGCTGTCATAACAGTTCTTTAAGGATCTTAACCGAAAATGAGGCACTCATTTGATGACCAAAGGATGTGTGGAGCTGTCGAGAATAAATAAGGACATTTCATTCTGGCATAACGTCTTTAGGGACCAGACTGTAATTGCAACACAGTCATTGTAACATTTGACCTGGCCCTTAATGGGTTAAATGAACATCATTTTAGAAGACTAAAAAAACAGCCTGATCCTTTGTGGAAGTGATTGACAGCTGTAGATTTTCTATGCTCCATGATATTATTGGAAATCTGGATTTCGATCATGCACAGGATTGATTGTTAGGACGTTCTCGATTGTGAATGTTTCTATCATAGAATATCTTTAGATTTGAATAGACTGGCTCAGAAACATTGGAGACATTTAATCACAACAGCTGGAGAGCCAAAGTTTGTCTGTTTGCGATCTTGAGAATTATCACAAAGGACTTGGGCGTGCTATTGCACTCCAAACCCAGATTAACACTTATTCTGCAGTAAGTAGGTTTTAATTGATAGTGAGTTTTACATTCTTCTAGTATTGTCAGTGTCTGTAAAGACTTTTACATATCTCATTGTGGTTGATTTAAAGTAGATTTCAGAATTTTATATACAGTCGAATTTCTAATCCTTATTTTAATAGTTGTTATCAGAGACTTCATATGTTTACCATCTGTCAGCCCACAACACATCATCTGAAGTTGAGGCCATATGTAAAAAAAAAAATCGACGTAAGTAAAAATTGATGGATTTCGGCGCAAACTTGTTTTTGCTTCTGATTATCCTCATTTTATCAAATCAGATATGTATGGGATGCATCAATACATTTACTTGTCATTGTCATATACATTCTGTACAAACTGCTATCTCAGATAACAATTTAACATGTAAGTATGCTGTGGTGAGTCTTCTTTTTGTTGAGGAGGATGTGGTTGTAAAAAAGGGACACCTTAAGCTACCGAACACTGTCTCAGTTGGCTGTCTCCAGGGATCACACCCACTGCTCACTATTTGCGCATTGTCTCAGCATGTTTTTGGGACTTATTCCAGCATATCTACTTCTCTTCTTTTGTCAAACTGTCACATGGAGCTTCAGTGTTTGCAGTTTTTCTCTCTTTGACTTCTGCTAGCTCTCCCACAGGAATGCTTCCAACTTTAGCTGTTTGCAAGCCAAGCAAAGCAGGTGGTGAAATTACAGCTGCCGCAGAGGTAACGCTTCCACTTGTTGGGAGAGGGCCACTTGTGAGATAGGCTGTATATTGATTCCAAAAAGATAATGGGTTGACTCCAACCAACTGGGTGGGGATATCTTTGGACAGAAAGTCATGCAATTTCACAGGGGTTCCTGAAAATAGCGGACCAAGGTTATCCAGAGAGAGACGCCTTCCTCTTCTAGAGTTGTTAGTGCTCCATACATGTGTGCTCATGTGGACCTAAAAATGACAACGGATGTTATATTATTCACCTCTCAATGAAAATGGAACTAGTCAGTGATGTGCACTTAAAGGGTACAATACATGCTTATATATATATATATATATATATATATATAAAAATTTAAATATATTTTTTATTTAATTTTTCTAGCACACACCAGATTAATAACAAGAGTAGATATTGCATATACAATATTATAGTATTAATATAATATGAGTTTGGTGAAATTGCAATGGTTGGAAATAAACCAACAGATTTTAAATAGCTTGTGAGAAGTGCAGTGGGCGGAACACAAGACACAAGGTAACATATATTTATTCTTTGAGCAGATTAATATTAGAATATTACCAGAAATGCCTCATCATATTTACACCGATCATTTAACTCCTATTTGTAAAAAAAATAAAAATAAATAAAAAGAATATGACTATTATAAATTTTCAGAAATGAATTGCTTGATATTTGTAATAAATCTAAAGGTTTTTTTTAGCTTAGACTGTCACTTTTGTGCTAAGATATTACAACTACTGTCACATAGCTGGCATTTAAGATGATGGCTGCTTCACAAGAAGAGCCTAGGGTATTTTTCCTGCTCACTGCAACTTGGGTGGGTACCTACCTTCAGGTTCCCCCGTGTGGTGAACGCCCTTCCACACATATTGCAGGAAAAAGGCTTCTCTCCTGTATGTATCCTTTCATGAATCTGCAAGGCACTGGCCGAGGAGAACGTCTTCTTACATACTACGCACAGATGCTGCTTAGGGCTGCGTCTCAAAGGAGGGGAAAGGGATGAGGGTACCGCCAGCCGAGGAAACTGGACTAGTGCCAATGTCTGGGGTGGGCTTACCACTTCACTCTTCACTGAGTTCACCAGAAAGGTTTGGGCTGGAGGTGGCAAGTCTCCATTTGGGAATTTTGGGCTGCTGGTCAGCTGAGGAGGGAAGAAATGGCTCACCTGGTGTGCATGCAGAACATGCTTCTTCAGAATGGATGCCTCCAAAAAGCTTTGCTTGCAAACTAGGCAGTGGAACAGCCCATCTTTGGTGTGGTACTTGGTATGCTCTTCCAGTGATTCACTACTAGGAAGTCTGTCTGAACAAAGTGTGCATATGTGAGTTTCCTTCTGATGTGGACTTCCCACAGTTTTATTACATAGATTTAGTTCAGGATCATTTTCCTTTTCTGTGCTACTTTCATCCCCAGTGGTTTTCACATTTGTGTTTTGGGGACTTATACTTGATTCAGGTTCTATTGCGCATTCAACATCTTTCATTGGTTGTTCATCAGTTACAGAATTTGGAATCGTTTCTGAGACTGGCTTATTGTCAACAGTAAGTTCTGGTGATGTACTTGACTCTTTGGCTGCATATGGTGTGAGCTGAGGGGCAACAGAAGAAGTTATGCTATTTTCTTCATTTTTCTTTACAATAGCATTGGCCGCATCACCTTCTAAACTGGAGATTTCTGAATCAACTAGTGCTGTTTTATCATTTTCTGATTCACTACCAACCAAAGATTCTTCATCTGTACTAATTTCATCTGAAAAATCTGGGATACTCTTATCCTCTATGCATTCATTTTTGCTTCCACCTATGTCCATAAGTTCACCATTTGGGATTTGCCCTCCTAAATGCATTTTTATGTGCTGCTGGAGAGTAACAGCATTTGTAAACTTCTTCTGACATATTGGACATGAATTCTGAGGCTTTGATGATAAACTAGACTTGTGACCCACAAAGTGGGCCTTTAAGTTGCCCTTTGTAGAAAATGCCCTCCCACATATTTTGCACTTGAATGGTCTTTCTCCACCATGTTGGTTATAATGAAGCCTGAGAGCCCGGGGACAGCTTAACACCCTTAAACAGATAACACATTGGTTAGGGACAGTTGCTTGCTTGTCAATTTTTTCTACAAGTTGTTGTAGCTTTGAGGTTTCTGAATATCCCAGTGGTTCAACTGTGTACGAAAAAGGAAATGCCCCTGTTTTAAAGTGGCTTGCTAATAGTGCCCAACTTGGAAGTGATGTAACCAACTTGCTGAGCTGCATTCTTCCACTGACCCCGGATCCTACCATTTCTGACCTTTCTCCTGGAGGAGTATTTTCATCAGCCTTTGTCTTTGGAAATCCAATCGGACCCTTTAGTGTTGGAGTTCCATCTCCAGCTTTCATGAGTACCAACTTGCTAAGTGATGGAAGTCCCTGACTACTTGAACCAGAAAAAAGATTTAGACTTTCTGTGGTCATTACTGGTGGCAAAAGAGGCTTTTTGTCTAGCGTCTCTTCTTCTGCTTTCTCTGGAGGTACTGACATACCATAGGGAAGGCCTGTGTTTGACAGAACATAGTCTAGATGCTCAGGAACAGGATTTGGATTCATTTGAATATGAGGGTACTTCTCTCGATGTCGATGGAAGTGTACTTTTAGATTGCCTCTTGTGGTAAAACGATTTCCACAGATGTTGCATTTGTATGGTCTTTCACCAGTATGAGAACGTAGGTGAATTTGAAGGGCACTGTCACTTCCAAAAACCTTTGCACAGAAACGGCATTTATGTCTTCCTGATGACCTGTCCTGTTGGCTTTCACCACGTAATGGCTCACTGTTTTTTTGTTTAAGTAGGCTTGGGGCAGTCTCCAATACTCTTGCACCTAAAAATAATGCTCCTGGCAAAGTGGGTAAACCTGGAGGAAAAACTGAATGTGGGGATATCAGTTGACTTGTTGGTGAGCTTGGAAGAGATGCACTTACTGGAGAAAGCTTGTCACAGAATCCTCCAAACAACTTGTCTTTCACATTTGGAATATTTCTGCCACTAAATGGCTGTCCTACTGTGTTGTAAATATGAAGAAAAGGCTGCTTGGTGGTGTCTTCTCCAGGATAAGTCTTTGCTGTTTCTGGCACAGGCTGAGATTGTGTTGACGGACTGAAGATCGGAAGAGACTTGGCCCCAGGAGATCCATCAGATGAAGATGTTGTATGTGCCAATGGTGGCATGGAGAGAGAGCCAAGCATAAGCACCTGTTGACAGATCTGCTCAGTTATTTGCATTTGATGAATCTGCCGTTGCTGCAGAACTCTTAATTCTTCCAGTATCATTGGGATATTTATTGGGGCTGCAGCTGTCTGACCAGAAGGAAAAGCTTCCTGACTCACCGGAGCCATCCCAACCTTTGGCCCTGTCACACCTTCCACAATTAAGCCTCCACTGGGAATAAGGAAACGTTGTGATGGGCCTACCCCCTTTTTACTTATATCATGTCTCATGGCACCCATAATTCCTGTGTCTCTCTCATCTTGTTGAATAGTGTCTGTTTTATTTCCAGTTGCCATAGTATTTGGAGTTACAGGTCGTGAAACAGATCCTTCACTAATAATTGTATGAAAGCCTTTCCCTGATTCTTCTTGGTTCTCTACTATCACCACAACATGGTTGTCCATGGAGCAAGATTCCTTATGCCTGGCAAAATCAGACGGCTCATCAAACTGCGCACAGCACTTCAGGCAAACTTGAGCATCTTCTCCTGCCGTGTCTCCTGCATATACAAAGAAATGCACATATGAGTTACATATATACCCAGGACATACTTGAAAACGAGAGAATTCTCAATGTATCATTCCTAGTAAAATATTTTATAATTAAATAAATATACATATATATATATATATATCAAGCGATAAACTGGAGCACTCAAAAGGACTTCTCTATAGTGTATTTATTGTGAAAAAAGTTTACAGCAAAGTGTAAAACATCTTAATCGACGTTTCGACCCCTCAGGGTCTTTTTCAAGATCAATATATATATATAAAATGATGTCTAAGTAGTATGTATTGTATATATAAATATGTGTATGTTTTTATTAAATGGTTTCTCCAATCATTTTTCATTTATGATAGAATAATGCCCTATTGGCATTATTCTATCAGTCCCCCCTACAAAATCACTTAAAGACTGTTTCAAAATTAAAGTTACCTTAACAACCTTAATCCAGCATCAGGAGAATCTCCCAGTGCTATTCGGCGCAACCGCGTCATTTGGACCCTTGGATTGGACCATTTTACCAGCTCAGGGCGCATGCGCTCGCTCTGAGCCGAAGAAAAAATGGGGAGAGTTAGGGCGGGAATTTAAAAAAATTCAGAAGGTATTGGAAGGAGGGAAGACTTCCTTCACTGTGGGAGGGAGGAAGGGACACAAGAGTTTCTTAAAGACTTCATTTAAAGGTCAAAATGTTGCTGTTTGTAATATGCACTGATCTTCATTAAAACTGCCTTATTAGTCACCCATGAATGACTGTACCATCTCTGTTATTTTACATGTGTACTGGGGTATGCCAGCCTCGGTCTAGTATTGCACCTTGTGTTTCTGACCAAGAAGTGTGTGGATTCCTTCTACTTTAAAAAGCTATAAATTTATTTAGGTATTTATTTTACATAACGTGTTGTTATGACAAGTTATGTTGTTGCTATATTTACACGTAAAAAGTCAGCATGTGTAATTATATGCAGAAAGCTTATAAAAGATGTGAACAAATCAAAATTAGTTGTTTACAGACTTCCAAATGAGGAAAGTCGTTAGCTAATTTGAGTAATTTGAACAGTGAAGGATTAAAGTGGTTTATTTTTGACAGTGTTTGTTTTAAATTGATAACATATTCTATAGTGATGTACTATAATTTTTTAAGACAATTTGTAAATTAGCCTGTAATTATTTTAAAGACTTGGGGAAAGCACACTATTGTCAAATGAACACACAGAATGATTCAAATAAACACATAATTAAGCATCATGGGAAATGTAGTTCAGAAACATCTTGGATGCTAAAACTTGTCACTGAAATAGGACATGCAAGAGTTTTAACATACATATCATAATATTAAAAAGGGTTAATCCAATGTAACTGGGCACTTCAATACCCCTCCTTCCCTCATATTTTTACTGTGAAGCCCCTCATTTCTATCTACCCCCCTCCCCACAAAAACACACACTCTCTCTTCATTTAACAGGGCTTTCTTTGTATCCCTGCTTTTGTCAGGCATTAATACTCTGGAGAGAAAAGCCAGCTTCACAGCTCCTGGTAATTGATTTGTATTCACACAAGAGCCAAGCATTGATATGGTAATCCTTTCATGGTAACTGTCCCTTGTTCTGGCTAATTTACTCCTGGGTTCTTCGAGCTTAATTAAACTTGTTGAATTGGCTAGGGGTACACAGCCTGGGAAGAGAGGGTACTTCATACTAAGCTATCTGCTGTTTGGAATTTGCTTTTATCTTCTACAGGTCTGAATGTATACATCTGTATGACAGACTTGGTGAAACACATACCTGCTATAGGTGTTTGAGACAATGAGCCAGGGGTGATCAAATAGTAGTCTTATGACTGGAAAGCAACATGGGAGTTGTAGTTCTATGATATCTGGGATTCTACCTTTTGTCAAGCTTTGCAATAAGCTGCAAAGGATGATCAGCTGGCTATTTGTCATGCAAGCGTTCCTATCTTTTATAATCAATGTTCGAGGCAATTCCTTTCTATGCCTAGGGGTCAGGCAGAGAGCATATTGGTAATTCTATGATAGTAACCATACCAGAAATGCAATGTCCTGGATTTGTTTTCAACGTGCGCTCTTGCATATGAAAGGGGGGAACATAAGAATTGAAAGAGCATTCCCCTGTATATTAAAAACATGGAAATCTAATGGGAAATAGATCATCTCTTTGTAGACGTGTACATGACTGACAGACGGATACAAACTTCTATTGTGAAACAGTGGCAGAATAAGGGAGCCCCTGCCTTGTGTGAGTCATACGGACACGTTACTTTTCTGACTGACATTGCTTCTAATTCTTTTATTGACTTGACACAGGGACAGGATGACAGAAAAAGGTGCCAGTCAATGTATACAACTCAATTGTACAACATCACTTCTTAAACCAAGCATCATACTGGAGAAGGTTATCACTTGCCAGTGACATTATAGTCACCAAAACAACTTTAGCTTAATTAAGAAGTTTTTGTGTATTGATCATGCCTCTGAAGTTTCACTGCTGAATTCTCTGCAATTTAGGAGTTTAATCACTTTTGTTTCGGTTTATGCAGCCCTAGCCACACCTCCCCTGGCTGTGACTCCCACAGCCTGCATGAAAAAAAGTTTCACTTTTAATCAGATGTTACTTACTTTAAAAGTTTTTTTCCTGCTCTGTAAATTCAACTTTAATCACACACAGGAGGCTCCTGACGGGGTCTAGCAATCTTGAAAAGTTGAATTCAACAGAATTTGCAATAAAGGAAGTATAAACATTACATTACTCTTTACAGGGAGTGTTTAGGAGGTGTGACTATGGATATATATATAAAGAAAGTGATTTAAATCCTAAATAGCAGAGAATTGAGCAGTGAAACTGCAGGGGCATGAGCTATACACCAAAACAACTTCATTAAGCTAAAGTTGTTTTGGTGACTATAGTGTCCCATTACATTTCTGTAAATAGAGGTGATAATTCCTCCTTCTTATACACAATAAAGTAGCATTCTTTATTCCTCTTTCCTCTTTTCTTTTCACGGGAGAAAAAGTATCTGCCTTCAGACTTCTCATAATTATTTGGATGCAATAGGTGGCTAAAGAATAATGGGTGTTGTTTAGCAAAATGTGTGTGTGTGTGTGTGTGTGTGTGTGTGTGTGTGTGTGTGGGGGGGGCGGCAAGATTTCAGAGTTGTGTTCTAAATTCTAGTTTATGCCTCTAATATCTAGGTTTCACTTTAATTCCACCTATAAAAAAAAGCTGCTAAATACACATCTGATTACTAGACTAAAAACCACAGAAGCCAATGGAGCACAAAATACAAACTACCAACACATGCTGGAACAATAACTGAGGATACCAAAATACCTGTATTGTTATTACCTTGCCTGAGTTAGATATTCTACTATTTTTTACTGCTATCAAGCATGCATTTTCTAAGCCCAGTATGTCAGTCCATCCCTAAAGTTAACCTTTCACTTCATAGAAAATACATAAATACATTCAGGGCCATCTTTAATAATGAATGGACCTTGGGCAAGCATTAGCTTGGGCCCCCTGAACCCTGTCCCCCATCTACCGCTCACTGGCATGCAATCACACCCTACACCCCATCGCAGTGGTGGCACTAAAGTAGAGAGGACCCTGGTGCAATAATTTTTTGTGCCTCTTATCGCAAGGGTGGCCAAAAAGTAAATCCCCATCTGTCGTGCAGCTCTAACAATGCTTTGACAGCTGGGTCTCTACATTTTCCCATCCTTTAAGGTTGTATTTAACACTGAGCAATGTTTGTGTGTTTGAATGTAAGCATGTTTTTGTATGGAGTATGCTTGTATGTATGTAGGAGTGTGTTTGCATGTGGTGTTGGTGTTTGAATGCAAGCATGCATTTATAAGTAGTGTTGATTTTTGAATGCAAGGGTGTGTTTACATGTAATTTGGGTGTTTAACACAGAGGTGTTTTTGTATGTATTGTTGTTTCATTGAAGGAGTGTGCTTGTATAAAGTGTTGAAGTTTGAATGCAGGATGTATTTGTGTGTCGTGTTAGTGTTTGAATGCTGAGATGTATGCACATATACACATATACTGCCCCACAAACACACACGCAGATACACACACACTCTAAAAACATGCTGACACACACCGACACACATGCAGATAGACACACTGAGACAAACACACACAGATAAACAATGACAGCAGACAGATACTCAGACACATATGCTGACAGACATACTGACACATACACTAAGAGATACTGACACACACAGACACACATATACTGACAGACACATATACTGACACATATACTGACTCACTCAGACACACACACTGACAGACGTACTGACACACATACACACACACACACACAGACACATACACTGACGGACATCCTGACACATACACTGACAGACACGTATACTGACACACACACTGGCTCATATACTCACACACACACATATACTGACTCAGTCAGACACACACACTGACAGACATACTGACACATATATTGACAGACATACTGAGACACACTCTGACACACACAGACGCTGACAGACATACTGACACACACATTGACAGACATACTGACACACTGAGAGACATACTGACACATACACTGACAGATACAGACACATATACTGACACACACACTGACAAACATACTGACACACGTTGACAGAAACACACACACCAACAGACAGACATACTGACACAAACACAGACTGACAGCCATACGGATACAAACCTGACAGACAGACACACACTGAAAGGCATACTGACACATATATTGACAGACACATATACTGACAGACATACTGACACACACACCAACAGACAGACATCCTGACACAAACAGACAGACATACTGACACAAACACAGACTGACAGCCATACGGATACAAACCTGACAGACAGACACACACTGACAGGCATACTGACACATATATTGACAGACACATATACTGACAGACATACTGACACACACACCAACAGACAGACATCCTGACACAAACAGACACACAGACAGACATACTGACACACATACACAGACATACTGACACAATCAGACAGACATGCTGATACACACACAGACATACTGACGCAATCAAACATACAGACAGACATACAGATACACACACAGACATACTGACACACACACATGCTCTATTTACACTTAGCCACCATCCAGGTTCTTACCTTTTTCATGAGGGTGGTTTCCCTGGGGTCCAGTAACAGGCCGAGACAGTTGGGCGTTAGGCTCTGGCACTCCCGGCCTGGTCCCCTACTCTCTGCCTTCCCCTTCCTGTGCGCTCTGATTTCTCTGTGGGAGGGAGTGACTTGCGGCAGTCACTTCCTCCCAGCTGGCTGCCGAACAGAAAGGGGCCCAGTTGCACTGTTTAAGCGGCACTGCGCCCGACCGGGCCCCTGCTGACACATGCCCATCAGGTGGCCCTCAGTGCATGGGCCACCCGGTGGGCCTCCTTCCTTTGTGTGCGAGCCGCACCGCCGGGTCCATGGGGCTCAAATACATTACGGGGCCCCGTTTGCCCCGCTTTAACCCTTTAAGGACACGTGACATGTGTGACATGTCATGATTCCCTTTTATTCCAGAAGTTTGGTCCTTAAGGGGTTAAAGACGGCCCTGAATACATTTAAAAAAAACATATCACAAACATTAACTGAAAAAAAGTTTAAAAAGTTGATCTGGATTGGATCCATTCAAATTTTTGTGTCTCAATAATACATTTAAGGTGTGTGTGCTTAATTCCCAGGGCCTTGATCAAAATAACCCCTATGTTTACTGAGCCAGGATAACTCCGTCCACAGTTTCATGTTTATAATTGTCCTTACTGTTCTTTATAGTATATGGTCTCATTATGACCATGGTTGATTAAATAAATTTCACTACCTACTCTCATTTTGCTTCTTAGATTTATTAGGAATGTTCCTTAACCCTTTGGAAAGATTTACATATACTTGCATTTATTTCAGGGATGCCAGCTGTAGCCGTTGTACTCATCTCAGTAACATACGATAAAAAAAAGTCCCCAAATATGTAAAATGTCAGAAGGTTGATGCCATTCTTCATAATATCAGATTATAGGATTTGACTTTTTTTGTTTGATGATTTTTTTTTCTATACAGACTATATCTAAATTCATATTTTTACCCAGAATATCAATATTTTGGGTTCTAAAAAAGAAAAGTAAAGACTGGCTGTAAATCTAGTTACTCTGCTCCATCATTTTTTTTTTTAATTTTTGGCCTACGTAATATTTGTACTTTACTCACACTGTATATTTACTGAAAATGTAAAGTCTCTGATAAAGACATTCACCTATGTGGATAAATTGAAGCCTTAATTGAGTAATTGATAATGCCAGGTGGTTTAAAAGAGTCCAGGAATATCTGGAAATGCTTCCACTCACAAATTGTGACTTAGCATTTCCTGTTTTTGTTTCGCTACCTCTCATTCAGAAATACAATAAGTATTCAGAGCAGGCAGAATAAACAAAAACTCAGCTCATCTGACAGTTTGTGTGTGATTGATGGTAATCTTTCTTAAATACTATCTGTTACAAGCACAATTCTCTAAAGTAAGATAAGGTCATTAGTTTACATGTTATGTCATTATGATGTAATTTTTCTTGATGTGTTGAAAGCTACAGACTTAGCAATATGTGATACTACCATAAAAGCAGACTTCAGGAGGAGCATTCCTGCTCAAAGAGGAAGCTAGCAAGTTGACACAGATGGCAAGAGTTATGCCTTTTATACAAATGTGCATTACTAACACTACAGTGCCCTAATCACCATTTAGGTGACAGGCCTCCTCCCAGAGGGTAAACATTAACTCCCCGAGAGTTAACTTGCCTTGTTTTCCATGCTGTGCTGCTATGTCTGCGTATGGCTGCGCCTCCGTGGTTGAGATCATCGAGCATTGGGAGGCAAGGGCGCATGTGTGGCCAAATGCCACGCTGTACCAATCAGATGGTATTCTCAGACCATCTGAATCAAATAACATAGTTTTACTCTGCAATTTTAAGGAAGTGTCAGTATGACAGTCACCGGAGGCAGGTTAACCCTGAAACAAAAACATTGTCTTCCTGCAGAACAGCAGTGTTTTCACATTCACATTCAGGGGGTAGAGGGGAGAATGGTATTAAAACCACTTCATTGCGATGTAGTGATCTGGACGCCTATAGTGTTTCCTAAAGGAAAAGGAACCTTCCTTTGTACAAAATTGTGCTGTAAGCCAGTTTTCTGCAGCAGCGCCATTACAGCATAAGTATAAATTAGTTGTAGCCCCTAGCTTGAGACCACACTCAGGATAGATAGCCCCCTTAGACTCTATGTGTACCAAAGAAAAAAAAAGGTGTTCATCACAGAGCATAATCCACTGCTCATTCCAAATAGCAAAAAATCTTTAAAAACTTTTTCGACATACAGTGGAAGGCACACACCCATGTCCATACACCTTCCACTGTATGTCAATGGTTTTATGAAGACTCAGTATATACAAGTGATGGACTGCATTCCAGGAACTTCACAAAGCTCTTTGATAAAACTTAACTTTTATTTATGTTAATGCTAAAACATGTTGACATTTCAGCTCCATACCAGGAGCTTCCTACCCTTTCCCATGGAATGCAAGCCACATATACACATCTATGTTCTCCTCCCAAAGCTATGTAAAGCTCCCTAAACCTTCAGCTTCAAACAAAAGTGAAAAAAACTGTTTGTTTGACTGTGTTAATTATTCACTTCTGGTGACTGTGTGATTAATTATAAAGTTATAAAATTAAGTTTACACATGCCTGTGACTTCTGCGGAGTGCACACTCATCTTTGCTCTCACATACTTTCTTCTGCAGCTAGAGGGTTTAATATCATTAATATCAGAGGCATACTTAGGTTACATGGTACCTGGGGATAAAATGTATTTTAACACCAACTTTCCAACTGTAAAACATTTTTTTTTTTTGGTATCCCTCTTTACCATCTTCCATGGAGTGGAATCTCATCATTGGGGTACAGTTGGGATCAGTCTCTATGCACTGATTTCCAAGGCCAATTTTTAATGCAGCTTTTCGCTACAAAATGTTGAAACTTCATGAATCACCTCAGCAACTCTTTAAACTCACGTCATTAAACTTACAGAATTGGGCCAAAGCTCTGCTGAGTTTAGTAAAATAAACACCTTTTTTTAGAAATAAATCCAAATGCAAGAACTGAAGTCAGAATACCTGGTCTGGAACAAATTCTCAAACTCAGGCATAGTAACCAACATGGCTATTTGTGAATCAGTTTTTCCATTATGAGTTAATGCAAGAGAATTTGGAGTTAACCTAATAACCCTGTTTGACTTAATGGTTTCTAGATATGTGAACTTTTTGCAAATTTCTTATGTGTTTTTTTGCTTTGCATTACATTTGGCTGGACCCTAGTTATCAGTAATGCTGCAGAGTTTAAGTGGGCAGATTAAATAAACTGTCGCAAGTTTAATAAAAATAACTGTCATGCAATATATCCCATTTTAATATTGAGAAAAAAAATCATATTGCGCTTGGTAAAATGCTGCAAAATATGTGTATATAAATAAGTTATTTATATGTACTATCACACTTGTGTGATAATGCTGAACATATCCTTTGGGAGACAGTGAATACATCTCCTTGCATGCGCTGTTACAGCTATCTTGGATGACGCTGGTAAGTATCACCTGTGTTATGTTAGTGCTACTAGACAAGCCTTAAATGACTCACCTGAAAGCCATGGCATACTCACAAGGTGTCAATTTCTAATCACAATTGCTAGTGGTGAGGGACACTTTGAGCCCTGATGCAGAATAGGTCCCTTGGGAGACACTTCCTGAATGACTAGTTGTTGTTATTGCCCAACTTACTGCTGACATGGCTATATTGAACTTTTACCTGTGAGATTCCACAGCTTGGGTACTATCCATCTTTTTCTCACTGGCATGAAAGAATACCTTTACAAGAATATTCAAGGTGAAGACTGCCAGATTTCTCGCTGATGCTAAAGTATATCTTGAAATTTAGATTTTTAAAACAGCCAGTGTTTAATGTGTGAGCATTATTTCTACCATCTATGAAAAGGATACAGTAAAGTGGTTCTGTCACTTCTGAGTATTTCATGAAGATATGCTTGTCACCGGTGTTGGAATTTCAATGGAATTCTGACAGAATTAAAAATGATCATAAGACAAAGGAGAGACTTCTTTGTCTTAGGTTAAAGTCTTAAGCTGACAACACTTGACAACAGGCAGCTCTTCCACCATCAGGTTTTGTCAAACTTGACACCCTGGGGGGAAAAGGCTTCTCTTTACACATCGCTAGTTCTATGGAGAAAAAAGATAGTGGCAAAGTATACAGAGAACCCTGAATGAGACAGGGTTAATTTAAACTAACTATGACCTGACCATTTTCAGCTATTTGTTGTTTTTCTGGTGCAAAGATTTACTTGACATATGTGCTAACTCTAGTAGGTTGTATTGCCTAGAGGATACCTTTTCTATTATGTGTGTAGGTTATGAAGAAAGGTTTCTTCAGTATAAAATTCTTAATTATAGGACGGCCAACAAACGCACACACATGCACGTAGGCACAAGGGGCCTCCAACAATGTTGTTCTCACTCTATATCCCTCAGTGTATGTATGTCACATACACAAACACAAAGGAGATTGTTTTATTTAGAAGTTGCATACTCACAAGAGAGGCTTTATTGTATGATCCATGTTGCACACATAACAATGTTTGGTTATCCGAATGTTTATAAAACACCCACGAACTGCATACACACACGTACATGCACGTACTGGAAACTTACATATACACAATAGAAGATTTCTAACAGTGTAAGAGTAGTGCTCACACGTGTGTCCAAGAAAGGTCTATGTGTATGTATGTCAAGACGCAGTCATGAATAAGCGTCAGTAGCCTGTCTCCTGTATCTTTGTGACATGAATAATCCAAGTGAGCCAGTTTCCCCTGTGTGTTAAAGACACTTCCACAGTCCTTATTGATTCCTTCCCCCTCTACCCTGGCTCTGCTATTGCTTCCCCCTCCTCTCCCCTCAATATTTTTCTATTCAGACCCTGGGAAAGAAATTTTGCAGCTGGCTGAACTAAGGTTGTGAGTCACAAAAGCCCCCTCTCATCACTGTGACAATGCAAAGAAAGTATCCCAACCCAATGAGCTGAGAATGGAGTCAGCCCCCCTCAATTCCCATCCTTAGTGCTGTTTCTGACTCTGCGATGCAGCAAGCCTTCTACTCATCCACTCTGTGTGTGGCCCTGCCTTCCTTATTATGTATGTGACAACATATTCCATAGTGCTGTACAATGAGTAAATGCCAAATCAAGTGCTTTTGTCCACCTTTAAATTATATTGACACTTTATAATTTATAAATTTCAAAGAGTATACTGTCTCCTTTTTGGCATCACAGTGCCACAACATCACCCTAATGTATTATTTAAAGCCATAGGATTGTTCATAGTTTTATGAAATGCAGGTTTCTGTAAAATACTAAATGTACCTGAATTTGAGTCCAATTTACAGAAAAAAAAAGAGAGAGAACTTTTTAAATTATCTGTAGGCCTTTTGACATATTTTGAGCTGAAGGTTAAAGTCAAGTACTTGTCAAGGTCATGTAGATTTGCCACAGTATGATGGGGTGCAGAAAATCGGGGCACACGTCTATTTATTGCCATTAGTGTGCTACATTTCTGGAACTTGCAAAACACATTGTTCAGTTGCCAACTTTACATCATGCAAATTAGTGGACTCAGTACATCTGACAGATTCAAAGTCCTATGATATTTTTTAATACAAATAAGGATGCATATATATTACTTCTTTAGAACATTATATTTTTTTACTTTTTGGAGTGCCTTATAAAATATATGAATCTCCCTAATGTATTTACTGTATCCTTTTTAGAAAAAATCTTTTAGAAAACAGAGGGGGGAAAGCTTTTCATACTTAACATTGTGTTACCTTGTAGTAAATTATATTTCAGTTATTACATGTCTAAGTGTTTTAAGTGAGTTTAAAGTACATAAATTATAGTAGCAATCTAAAGTTATTTAGGGGCCACTTCACTAAATAGCAAGTTGTGCCACTTTAAAATTGTGATTAAGTGTGAGGCGCACATAAAGTGTCAAGCAGCCTGTGTTTACCTTCTGCCAAAACACACAAAGTTATTCACTTAAGTGAGGATTGTTGGGAATTCACAGTGAATTTCAAATTTAAGGCCAAAAAAGTCCACAATTCAGCTAAAACTAAAGCATTAGATTAAGAAAAATTGTACTGCACGTTGATGTTCATACACACATTTTTTTCAAAACAGCAGAGTTGGACAATACCTTTGTACAGCCAGGTCAGCAAGGAAATACTTACTAAAGAGAGACCATTAGAAACAACGATCCATGACAATAGACAAGCCAATAAAATAATTATAAAAATATTTATCAGAACCGGTAGCATATATATCAAAGTAACGCTCACATCAAGGGATTGTTGCTCACTAAACACAGAGTCCCGGAGAGTTTGATAAAATCTCGTAGTGAATTTTAAATATCAGGGCAAAATAGCTGAACTCTAAAAAGTCCACAATTCAGCTAAAACTAAAGCATTAGATTAAGAAAAATTGTACTGCACGTTGATGTTCATACACACATTTTTTTCAAAACAGCAGAGTTGGACAATACCTTTGTACAGCCAGGTCAGCAAGGAAATACTTACTAAAGAGAGACCATTAGAAACAACGATCCATGACAATAGACAAGCCAATAAAATAATTATAAAAATATTTCTCAGAACCGGTAGCATATATATCAAAGTAACGCTCACATCAAGGGATTGTTGCTCACTAAACACAGAGTCCCGGAGAGTTTGATAAAATCTCGTAGTGAATTTTAAATATCAGGGCAAAATAGCTGAACTCTAAAAAGTCCACAATTCAGCTAAAACTAAAGCATTAGATTAAGATAAATTGGAGTGCACATTGATGTTCATACACAACTTTTTTTTAAAATAGCATAGTTAGTTAATACCTTTACCTTGACTAAATCCAAGATTTTATCAAACTCTCCAGGACAAAATCCCTTGATGGGATCGCTTCTTTGATATAAATGCTACAGGTTTTTTGAAATATTTTTGAAATGATTCTGTTCGCTTGTTTATTGTCATGGATCATTGTTTCTAATTGTTTCACTCTTTAGTAAGTATTTCCTTTGCTGACCTGACTGCTTCCCATGACCCATTGCATTTCTTCCTTATTTTAAATCTTTGAAAAACAAACAATTACTTACTCTCTGTAACTGATAAAAATATAAATGCATTACAAATATTCTCATGTCTTCATATAAGCACGCAACATGCTTTGAGACATTAAACTTACAGAGATTTTTTACTAAAATGTGAACTGTTAAAAAAGTTAATTTTACATTTTGGCCGCAACAACTGAATTTAAGACAGCTGACTTTATACCAACTCCAGCTAGTTCAGTCTAAAACTGGCCTCACTCTGAATTCCTGGTGATGCACAGCCTAGTTTTTATTCCAATACTGTTTCATCACATTCATAAACATTTTTTAAGCGAATGCAATGTTTACACTGATGTGTGAATAACCTCTAAAAGAAAAAAGATATAATTAAAAGCTTGAAGATGCAACACAAATAATAACCACAATCAAATATGGAAGATATTAGTTGTGTGTTTTGTTTGCTATAACACATTATGTAAACCCTATTAGATCATTTATTTTGCCAACAAGATCCACACAGAATATGTTTGTTGGACCGCCTATAAATAATGTATTGATTCGTTGAGCTTAGATGAAAACGGCAATGCAGCAAATGTATGCATGGTTGTATTTCCAAGTTTTGTATTACACATTTTTTTTTTAATTATTCTTTTTAAGAATTTAGAAGGTGATTGTCATATTCTAAGACAGGAACACACAACCTGCCCCTTCAGTATCAAAATACTGCATAGTGTCTGCAATGAGATATCTTATTATATTGTATTGTCTTGTTGCCAAAGTGACTATACACTATTCATGATTCAAGTTGACCTGACACAGCTAAAAGTAGTATAGTTAACTTAATCCCGCTACATTTAAAACTAGGTTTTTAAAGAAACTTTAATTTGATCTGCATTTTCCAGAAAGGTAGAAGGATAGATTGTCCAAGTAATTAACCTTTATAGTATTTCTACGCTAGAGATGTTTTATCTGAGCAATCCAACCTAATGCGAAGCAGTCTGGGAAAAGCGATCTAGAACAATAATATGGGAATTCATGGTTACTAAAAATGGATATTACTAGATTATATGGTTATGTAGAGGGAGTTTATGAGTGCCAGAAGGAAACTGGTTTGATTTTATTGGATACTGTATATATGAGTGATGGGAGTTGTGTGATGTCAGTTGCATTGTAGTGGAGCTGACAGTATGTATGAAGGGATGTATACATTGTAATGCATGTATGTGTTAGGAGTTACATATGCACATTGGTGCTGTGTATGTCATGAGTGTAGTATGTATAATGAAAGCTTTATGCATGGTAGAATGTGTATACGTGTGATATTTTCTGATGGCTGCTATAGGTGCATAGGTGTTCTTATGTGATAGTTATATATCTTATATATAAAGTTACGTGTATTTGGGAGTTGTATCTGTATGTTTTTGCTGAGTATCAAAGTTGTGTAAATATATATACAATAAATATATCTAAATGCATGAAGGGAGATTTATAGCTCATTTTAATGATGGACATATATAGAAGATGGGGTTTATTTAGCAAATGGTAAATGAGTGTGAATTCAAAATTGAATTGCAAAATCAGACTAAAATAGCCAAGTTGTGACTCATTTCTAATCAGCAATTTTGGCCTGAATTTAGCACTTAAAACTGCTTAAAGTAGGAAACTGTATCATTGCCAGTAATAATGAAAACATCTGATTTTCTTTTTTTTATTCTTTCATTTCAAATTGCTGATTATCAGATGAGCAAACACTTTTATCCCAGCTACTGCAGTCAACAACCCCCATTGTGGCCACTCTGGAATTCCTGAATGGGCATGATGGGCTTTGCAGTGCAACAGTGACTAAAGAGACAGGTTTCCTACTTTCCCATTACTTCACTAATCTTGAATTTGAATGTAAGTTGGAATGAAATGATAAATAAGCATTTTCTGTATTCCATACACGTTTTTAATAAATAACATTGGCTGCTAGAGCTTTTATACTACTAAGTCACATATGACTTTATTATCTTATCATAACAACAGTAAAAAGGTACAGCAATACATCTCTGCAATATATGACAAAAGACTAAATGCAGAAATAGGATCCAGGTACCAGAGTTAGAAGGTTCCCTTTGATACAAGCCGAACAATAAGTATTCACTCATTTTATAAACTACGGTACAAGACTTGTAACTGAGAGACTGTGAACTTTTTTTCTTGCCTCCCCCCTCCTCGCCCCCTCCTGTGGACTATTAAGACTTTCCCTCTCTTATCAACATCTGGATCAGGGTGGCTAAAAGGTAGCTACCCAGCTCTTGTAGAACCACAACTCCCATGATGCTTTGCCAATCCGCCTCTGAATAGTTCAATAGTTTTGTCCAGCTAGCCATTACACATACAAACTTGGCTCAAGTGTCTGTCCTTACCATTTTCGGAAGATGTTGAGTTGTCACAGTCAGAGATGAGCTGCTGGGGTTTCCTCTGCTTCCTGCGTGACATCCTTAGCTCAGTCACTTATTCCTTTGGATGGGAACTTGGGTGAACGCTCCAATGAGCAGATGTGGAAACTGACCTTTACCTGAGTTTTAATATGTTATTTACCTGAAGCCTCTGCCCTTTTCCCTTTTCCTTGCTTAAAGTAGTTGGTGTTTTTAGCAGCTGTCTTGGTTCCTTAAATAACATTTTTTTAAATAACCTGAACACTCATATCTATGTTTCCTGCACTCCCTGCTTCCACAAAATGTATTGGTAACTTTCTTTGTCTGCTACTAGTATTTAATCTCTGCATGTGTTTGCTTTATCTCCAGTTCTTGTCCCAAAATGAGGCACATCGCTGATGATCAGCTCCTAAATGGACCCACCTACTTTTTCTAACTCCCACTTATTGTGACAAATAAGAGAAGAATCCCATGAAAATGACTGATGATTGCCAATTGTGAATGGGTTCTTAACTCCCTCCCCCTCCCCCTTCCAATTTAGCAACAAAAGGGGAATTTAACTTATATGGCTTTAGGTGCAACATGTACCACTGCTATTGTTTCATTTGTTTATTTATTTTCAGTGCAGAGATCTTTATAATGTTGTTTTCTCAAATGGTGATGTTGATAATGATTCTGTTGTTAATTCTGATGGCGTATATTTAGAAAGCAGTGGCTTGGAATTTGGAATTATAATCATGAATAACCTGACTACCTGTGATGCAGGGAAATAAAGTTTAAGGTTTAAGTCATTCCTCAAATTGACCCCAACCCCCAACATTTTTCTTGGTGTGGTTGTACCGTTAAGAAGTATGCTTTACACCTTTGGGACTTTTCTACTTTTCAGCTAAAGTTATTCATTAAATTGGAAATTGTGAAAAATGAAAAAAAAGCACATTTAAAATTGTAGCTAAAAATAATGAAATTAGAAAATGTTCCAACCCAGCTATTTCCCAAATTTATATTATAAAGTAATTATCTGGGTATACTGAATTAACTTCAGAGTGTGGATTCTGCATTGGATGATTCTGTGGCCTACATTTGAATTCGTTAATTAAATTGTATCTGCCTTTATATTACAGAGGCATTTTTTATTTTACATAAGCATTTTTTGTGTTACAGAAGCAATTTTTCTGTGATCAGAATAAGCAGATTTAAATGTTTAATCAATGTTCATTAGCATTTCTTAAAAGAAAAGAAAACTTACCTCCAGCTACTCCCTTATAGTGAGTGCATATTGAGGG